AAAAAACGCAAAAGCCAAAACGCAAAAGCCAAAACGCAAAAGCCAAAACGCAAAAGCCAAAACGCAAGCCGCACCACACAAGCCGCCCTCGCTTTCCTGCTCCTCAGGCGCCATGCCCGCCTCCCCTCCACAGGCGCAGCACTCAAGCCACCCGCCGCACAACACCCAAGCTGCCGCACAACACTCAAGCTGCGCACAACACTCAAGCTGCGCACAACACTCAGGCTGCCGCACATCACTTAGACTGCCGCACACAGTGCGCTTTAACACGCAGCTGCGCACAAGATGAAGCTTCTTCCGCATGCTCGCCTCTTTTGCCTTTTCGATGCACACGTCGCAAAACGCGCGCACGCACGCGCCGCAACAGACATACATGTTGCAACACAGACGTCTTCACTTCACGTCAAAAGCATCTTTTTCCACACGAGCCACGACTACATGGCGGTGGTCCACATGGATACCATTCAAGGAAGGGGATTTGGCTGGGTTGGAGGAGTGGTGTTTATGGCAGCGTACACGAAGAAGTTGCAGTTGTCTTGGATGATGGTTTTGGTGGTGTTCATGCTGATGGCGAGAATGATGGCGCTGGAGGAGCATGCTGAGCGTATGTTGGTGGCCGGTTTAAGTTCTGGGTTGATGATGTGCAATGTAACGGGCTTCTGTATATATCTATGGTTGCATGTATATATACAAGTACGAGTGCTTGCCGCGATCGCATACGTTTGTAGAACTCTGCCTCTGCGTTCCAAAGTCAAAAGGTGCATCGACTTCATTTGTATGTGTCTCGACTTGGGATCGCTGGCACGCTAATCCATGTTGGGCCTAACACCTTCACTCATTTCCCCGTTGTATATAGGCGCTCTCTTTCATAGCTCTGATACAACCATGATTCTTCCCATCAACTCTACCGCTCAACATGAAGCTTATTATGTGCCTCACTATTTGCAGATGTCATTCAAGCAATGGGAAGAAGCTGGTCTGGGTCACTTCAATTGCGAAGAAGCTCGTATTTAGTGATGCACTACAATAGCTACCTTCTTGAGTCCTACGACTCTGCGAGGAGCATACCACAGTTGGCAAGAACAGTAGGTATCGTGCTAGATAGGGCTGTAGTACCTCAGTAATAGCGTGCGCGTCTTACGTCTATGTATAATGTATTATAGTACTCCTCGCACAACAATTGTAAAAGTTCAGATGGTGGCTGGTGCGGTTCATCACCAAACACGAGCCCTTCGTATATGTAATCCTGGAGATCGTGGCTCAAGGCTGTCCTGGAGGCGGTAAGACTACTAAAAGACGGTAACTAAAGTATGAACGCGTTACCCGCGAAGGTCGAAAACATCTGGGATGCTTCGCAGGACTGCGCCATTTTTTAGTAAAAGAAATTCGGATTGGTCACTTCTTGTAAAGGCCAGATCTCTGCGGGGTCGACGTATTCTTGGTGCCACATCGTGCGCTGCACTGCCTTGTGAATTGTGTCCCCTACCTAGGTACGCGTGACTACCTAGGTACTTTAGATTAGTGACCCAGCCAAATAATTTTTCTGACCCAGCTGAATATCTTCCGCCTTTTTTTTTTGCCTCAACTTCAGCGGTACAGGTTCACTAGAGCTTGCGCTAAGTATGCCCGGCTGTGATGATATAAGTATAGCATATTTAAAGTGTGGAACTCAACCATCCAAGTACTATGAACCGTTCTAAAGTTGTGAGTCATCTCATACTTGTTCTTTGGTACTCGCTGTGATAATTCACGGGCTGGGACTTAGTCTGTAGGCCAAAACCTATAAAAGCCCTCTCGCTCTCCATCTTCCACTATTACTCCTTTACAACTGTTCTTCCTTTACTACTAAGAATAAGCTATACTACTACAACTACTACTTAACATGTCTTTGATTACTATCCAAGCAATCAATCAACCCTTAGTAACAAGAGCGCCTGCTCTATTTCTGAATGCATGGAGGCTTTGTCCACTAGGCCGAAGGGGCCTCCAAACAGCCGCCCAGCAGACGGTGCCAAAATCAGATACCATGCTGCAAAGAACCCGGCCCCGAAGAATGCAGCAGCAGCGGCATCTGGAGCGGATATTTGCCTATCCAGTATATCAACAGAACCCAAAAAGGGTAACAGAACTTGTCAACCAGTATCGTCAGACCAGTCGGGCAGAAATCGAAGACAGAACGAACATAGGCCTTGCCTATGCGATCCTCTTTGCTGCCTTTATCAGAGCCTGCATAAGGTATGTTGAAATCTCACGAAGATACTAGTAGAAAAAGTAGCTAATTTTGAGATTCTAGATTAGAGGACAAGTCCTGTCCTAAAGAGGACAATGCGCAAGAGGAAATCTTCGCACTAGATGAGAATAGTAAGTCTCTGAACTTAAATGCAGGAGAACTAGGTACTAACATTATATCTAGCAGAGGAGAACGTATTTGATGAGCTCTTCTAGCTCAGAAATTGTTAAGAGAGCGGATTCCTTGTTATTATAGGTGTTAATACTTTAATTTAATTATTATGTGTAATCTCTCGAACAAAGTAATCCGCATCCTAAACATACTATTTAATCCATCCTACTTCCTTACCTTACCTCTACCTCTACCCACTATAGCACATAATTAACCCCGTTAATTAACAACGTTAATCTGTTAATTGTTTGCGAGTTCTTTGCTTAACGCGTCTATATCGTCAATGTCGTTTTTAGATCACTTATAGCAAGGCAAACACTATTTCGCTAAATATTGTATTATCCTATGGGAGCAGAATAACAAAAATAATCTGACAATTTGTTACGCCCTCTACTTGTTAAGCATAATGGCTTATGCCCCCAAGTGTGACATAAAAATCTAGAACGAGTACAAGCTATTAAACAGGTAGTATAAGATCTCCAGCAGTTACTAGAATAATACGAGCGGCTGAGTTACAAAAGTTCTAAAAAAAGATTAGATTGAGATACTTATATAGACGGCAGGAAGAGATCTGTAAGGGTGCTAATTCTTTTATACTGCGGACACTAGCACGTATTTCTAACAGAAGCTAGGACCAACTAGAATCTTTTACTACAATTTTTATAACTGCACGTCAGCATAGAGCGTGCCAACAGGTAAGCATTTAGTACGCCACCTCTAGCGTTTACTAATCTGCTAGGGCTATTTGTACGTCTTGGAGATAAAATTCTCTATCCTACTAAAGACAACGAAGACAATAAAGACAACGAAGACAACAAAGACAACAAAGACGACAAAGACGACGAAGACGACGAAGACAACGAAGACGATAACAACAACGACAACAACAACGATGATGATAAAGGCGACAAAGACTATAACGACGGAAATTAATGATACAAATGTACTCCGAAAGATCATAGAATTGCTAGCCTGACATGTGTAGTAGTCGTAGTAACCTTAGTCGAGATTTCTAATATTCAGACTGCGTTCGGAGTTAAGTTGCACTTTACTTGTGTAATACACTAGAAAAACATGCCATACCACGATCTTTCCAGATAACGCCTCGATAGGGATATCTCAAAATCAGCCCCGTCCACTAGACACTCGTTAATCCAATTCTAGTCATAGAATTCTCACAATCCCCAGCCCAATGACCTCATTAATGCCATTGTTTGCAGTCGTTTCTGCAACAGTTCTAGGCACCACTCTTCCTTTTTTATCAACGGTTTTACGACTCCTACTATAACGTTGCCAGTGAACACCTGGTCGTAGCAGTGTCGCTGAGACAGAAGAAACTTCGATAGCTTTCGACAGATTTCTTCTTTAAAGACTACCCAGCCGTGCGCAGACATGCGTTCCAGCAGAGGGTGCGTCGCTTTCCGAGCGTTTCCGATGTTTCCGAGCGCTGAACAGGGGAGGGGGTCTCTCACTGCCACAGAATATCCAAACCCCAAGTCTTTTCGTGGCGAGTGTGAACAAATCAAACCCTCACCCACTCAGTAAGCTCAGTTTACGAACACTTCCTCTCCGCACACCACCGCAGGTCGACCGCCAGTCCGCACCAACCTATCTCCCACCCACCTCCCAGAAAAGTCAATACCCCTTCTCACCGGGCTCGGTACACCAATCCCTTTTCCCATACACTCCATGACGCTTGCTGTATCAGCCTAGAAGAAAAGTAGAAAGTAGAAATGCGATGCTGAAGGACGCCCGTAGGGATACCCCTTCGCTGGCGACAAGAACAACAACCCAGCGCTTTGGAATAGTGCGTTCCTGACGATGGGAGCTCGATCTCATGACCCCCTACTTTTCTTGGGATATGCGGGTTCAGTGTTGTTGCGGTAGGGGTCACTCACTGTTTGGGAAGACTTTTGGGGGACTTTGAGGGTTTGACTATTTTCGTTTTTATGGGTAGATATGCAAGGATGATGGGAAGTGGGGATGATGGGAAGTGAGGATGATGGGAAGTGAGGGTAAGGGACGCACGGGGGAAACAAAAAAAGGTGGGCAAAAAAGATGGACTTGCGGCGAATCGAACGCCGGACCTTTCCCATGCTAAGGGAAAATTATACCACTAAACCACAAGCCCGATTGTGCTTTTGATGGAGTGCTCACCCAATCTATCATTCATAAAATCAATGGATGGATAGGTGGGTGGTGGAGTTGCTCTGGGCAAAAGAGGACGTGGGTGAAAATTTTTGCAAGTGGGGAAGACTAAGATTATCCAGCCAAACACTATGTGGAACGAGATGATATAATACTATCCCAAGCTAATACTCCGACAACCTCAACCTACGCCCGATATTCCTGCGTATAACGTCTCTTTCCGCTGACGGCTCGGCGGACGCGGCGTCGCCTGCTTTGATGGCCTGGCGCAGCATGCCTGCGTCGAAGAATCCGTCTGTTTTGGAAGTATTAGTAAGTTGACTACGACATGGGGAGGACGGGGGTGTTTGGTGGTGGGAGTAGTGTCAAGGAGCGATTGCAAGTGCGGGATTTCCACGCGCCGAGCGTGTTGGCCAGTGTTCGGCGGCGCGCGGAGGTAGTGAGGACTGCGGCGATGTGCCTAGGTTTAGGGTGCAGAGGGACATGCTCAGGGGGCGACTTACATCCGCCCAGACCGTCGTCGTCGTCTTCCTCCACAATACTTTCCGCGGGGGTCTGCGACTTAGTCCCATCAGCGACGAGGATGCGGCCGCGGCTCTTGAAGCGGCTGGCCTGCGGGCGGTCCTCCGCCTCACGCGCGCGGGAGGCAGTTTTATCAGCGGAGGTGCCGCGGCGTTTTATCTGGCGGAGCAGTTTGCGGACTTCGAGGAAGTATGACTCTAGGGCGTCGATGTAGCGGGATGTTTGGCGGTGCTTGGAGGACGCGCAGATGGAGATGCTGCCGTCTTTGATGATGTAGCCGATGCCGAAGCCGTCGGCGGAGGTTGGGCCGAAGCCGAATTGGCGGAGGGAGGGGTTTCCGCAGTTGGAGGTGGAGAGGATGGTGGTGTTTATTTTGTCCCAGCCGTTGTCGGCGAAGAGGGCGGGCATGGAGTGTTGCTGGACGGGGGCTGTGGGGGGAGGCGGCGAGCTGGATATGGATTCGTTTTCTGACAGGACGGAGGTGCGAGTTGGTGATGCGATGCTGGATGCGTCTGGGCTTGAGGGGCGCGTCGAGTCCCATCCGTCGCTGCTGGCGACTTCGGCGGACTCGTCCATGGCTCGCTGCCAGATGCAGTACAGTGCATAGAGGTGGCGGTCTGGTCCTTGGGCCTTTGCGCATATCTTTGTGTTCTCGGTGTGTTTCTGGCACGCTTTACGGAGAGCTTCGATCTTCTGTGTTGCGGGGTTTTCGCCCCAGAATGTCTTCAGGAAATCGACAGACTCGTCAGTGACGGAGCGTATCGCCTCGGTTCTTCCGTGGTAGTAGAGTTTGGTCATCGCTGGCTCGTACACGCACTCTATCCTCCCGTAAAGACCGTAGTACGCTGCTTGAAACGCCATCTGCACGAATGCGTCGGGCGAGAAGCCCATGGAGGTCATAAAGTTCTTGCCGTAGTGAGAAAAGTCCAAGGTCGCAAACTCGTTCTGCTGGATGAGATCTGCCAGGCGTGTTTCAGCGAAGCGAAGTGCTGTACTCAACTCCGGGATCATATCCCACTCGAGTTTGTGAGGGGTGGCCTGGACATCGCCGAAGCTGTCAGGGTCTCGCTTTGCCGGGTCGGGACTCTGGGTCGCCCAAAGACTGGGTGCACTTCCATTGATCGTGCGTGCGAAGCGAAGAATCGTATCCGTATACAGGTCTGAGGCGAACCTGAGAACAGTATGACCATCCACACCTGTGTGTTCAAAGTTGATACCCGCGCTTCCGTTTTTGCAGACGATGATCTGGAGCTTATCGTACCAGCGGTTCGTGCAAGTGCCGACTTGGACGCCGCGTTCAACCTTGCTGGTACCACAGAGCATGTTTGTGCATAGATCGGCGCCAGTCTGCGGCTCGGTGTAGTCCAGACACAGAATGAACAATGCGGAATCAACAATGTTCAGGCAGTCGGAGTTGTTTGACCCTTCTTCCCGGTGGAGAACATCGCGCAGACCGGCCCACACCTTTCGGCCTTCTGTGCTCAACACGCCCAGTGCTCCCTTTGCAGCGTCCTGGATGGGTACTTCTTGCGCGTCGTCGACGATGACAGACAAGTTGAGGGCAATATCCTTCTCAGTCATGATCAAGTCATTGTTGTCATCGAGCACGTCGAACCAGTAGAACTGGCCATAGCAAAGGACGACAATATGTTTTGAAGTAGGATCCTGTCCAATCTGGCAGCCATTCTCGGTGGGTATCCTGGCGGTGCCAAACAGTCGCGAATACTGGTACATGCAGAGTGGTTGGCCCCGGATTGTGTCGGGCGGCAGCTCTTCTTTGCGCACTGCTCGAACAAAGGACAGAGCCGAGACGACCAGTGATGCTGCACGAGTGACCTGGTTGTTTCGAGCTGGGGTGGGGTCGTCTTCCAGCAGGAAGAACGGGTTGAGATTCAACACGACTGGATTATCAAAGTTCAAGTATGAATCGTACCCTGATGTAGTCAGTATTATGATGCACTTGCGAGTGATGACTCAAAACATGTCCACGCAGCAGTTTGTGGAGGTTGTATTCACTTCAGAAAAAAGGCGACTCACAAAACTGCTCGATGTAGTTGGCCTTTCCACTGGCATACTTCTTGAGCTTCTCTTGCAGTACGGGTCCATCTGATTTCAGAAATTCCTGGACTGACGCGGCGGTATCGTTGCGCTCCTTCGTGGATTGCAGGGGCTTCAAAGCTGCGACATACTTCTTGCAGGAGTTCTCGAGTTCTGGAATGGGAAGCTTTGGGAGTTTGTCTTGGCTCGCGAATGTGATTCCTGGTTTCGAGTCTGTCTTGCCAGAGTGAGCCAACGGTGCTCTTGCTTCTGCGGAAAAGGACTGGGCGCTATCTTTGGCAGAAGCCTCAGATCGAACGTCGCCGTTTGTTTCTTTGGTGGACATTTTCACGGCGGTGATTACAGACGCGTCCAGGGATGAGGGTCGGGTAAATGTGCGGACTGCCATGGCGGGTAAAGTCAGTCAGGCGTAGAGTGGCGAGATGAAAGTGCTGATGGAGAGTAGGCGCAAGGCGCTGCGGAAGAAGTAGTGGCAATCTTGCAGGCAGTAGGCGGGCATGAGTGCGAAGGCTGTTCGCGGAAAAGGTGGTAGTGGGTGGAGAGGGGTCTTCTTATGAGAGAAAGGACGAAAGGAGAAAGTGACATTGTGGATGATCCACCTGACGGCTAAGCATGTGATGTGTGCAGTAGGATCCGCGAGTATGGAAGCGGTAATTCAGAAGGGTTCTCGGATTATCAACCGGTGACCCGGAGAAGGATAATTGTGAGAGGTAAATGACCCGACGTACATGCAAAGAGATGGACTGACTCGGGTATGCTTAGGTCCGAATAGAGAATGTGGAGTTTGACAGATGCGAGAGACTAGTGATAATATGACCATATGAACGCTCGAGTCGACTTACTGCACAGCGTGGACAACCCTGCGCCTTGCGGGATTACAACAAAGACGAGAAAGCAGACACAACCAAGCACAGCCGGCTAAGAGGATGCAGAGTTCGCGCAAGGCTGCCCCGAGGTGAATAAGGATAAGGACCCTGGGGGAAATCAGATCGCGGTGCTACGGACGAGTGGAAGTGTAAGGCTCGAAGAGATTCGTCATGACATGGGTCTGGGTGCCGGCTAGTGAGAGGAGTAGTACAAAGGCTAGACGTATCTCCCACAAATGGCGTGCAGGAGAGACGGCAACTATCAGAAGGACATGCTGTCATGGTTTACATTATTCCCCGAGCCTCGACCATGCAGAAGCTCTATGCGGGGATGATGGCGGGGGGCAGGACGGAGGAAGGGAGCCCCACCACAGAAAGTCCATTACTCAGCAGACGTTCACGACCATCGCGTCCCCATCACGCGTCGCGCCACGCCATTGTCAACTCCTCGTCCACGTCCACGCGCCTCGCCGTCCCAATGCTAGACAGGCGTGACCCGTGACCCATGACGGACCTGCTGCACGTGCTTCCTGACTTCGACGCGAGGCCCTTTACCCATCTGCTGCCCAAGCTCGACAAGGCCCTCATCACCACAAACGACCTGCTCACCCTCGACGCCGCCGATGTCGCCAAGCGCTCCCAGTTGCCGGCTGGCGAGCTGAGGAAGCTGACGGATGCCGTGATTCCTGCCCTGCACCAGCAGCTGGGCTTCGGCGGGGAAGAAGCGCCTGGGAGTGCCTTTCTCGGGGACGTCGACGACCCAGAGCGTCCATGGCCCTATATAAGCACTTTGGACGAGGGGCTGGACGCGGCGCTGGGCGGCGGTATTCCGCCTGGATATGTGGTTGAAGTCACGGGGGAGAGGTGTGAACAACCATTCCTCACTGCATTTAAAAATACAACATACTGACAACAACCCAGCGGTGCCGGCAAAACGCAGCTCCTCCTCACGCTCCTCCTAGCCGCACAGCTACCCTCCCCCCACGGCCTCTCCAAATCCGCAGTCTACATCTCCACCGAAGCCGCCCTCGCCACAACGCGCCTCACCCAACTGCTCACCTCGCACCCACTCCTCGCCTCCCTGCCCGCCTCCTCCCAACCCTCCCTATCCCGCATCCTCAGCATCCAAACCCCAGACCTCGAATCCCAAGAGCACATCCTGCGCTACCAGCTCCCCGTGGCCATAGAAAAGCACAACATCGGCCTCGTAATCCTCGACTCCGTCGCAGCAAACTACCGCGCAGAATTCGACAAAAAAGGCGAAAAGCCAAACAACGTAGCCTCCCTCGCAAAACGCGGAACCCAACTCGTCCAGCTAGGCGCCCTACTCCGCGACCTAGCACGCACGCACAACATCGCCATCGTCGTCGCAAACCAAGTCGCAGACCGCTTCACCCACCCACCCCCAACCTCAACACCAGTATCCCGCACTACCTCGACAAACACAAATAGCCAGACAAATACGCCACAACCTTCCCAACACCAGATGGAACCTACACTCCTCCTCTCCCCCGACCCCCTAGCCCTCGACCACCAACAGCGCTGGTTCACAGGCTGGGGCGACGCGCTGTCCGAGCCCGCGCACACGCTGAAAACACCCGCGCTGGGCCTCGTCTGGACGAACCAGCTTGCGTGTCGGATTGCGCTGACGAAGCAGCCTGTGTTTGCGGCGCGGCCGTCGCTGCTGAATGCCCTGGCGAGCGGGAGTGTGGGCGAGGATGCGTGGACAGAGGACGATGCGCATGTGTCGAGGTGGCGGAGGCGGTTTAGGCTGGTGTTTGCGCCGTGGGCGCCGCCGAGTCGGGGGAGGGGGGTCGAGTTTGAGATTGTGGGGAGTGGGGTGCGGTGTGTGGGTAGTACATGAGCTTTCATCTATAAAAGAAAATTGGGATGGTGGTGATGCTGCTGCTGGTGTGTACATTCCATCTACTCAAAACTAGCTAATGTGCAAGAATTGTGCGCGTTTGAGAGAATGTGTCCTCCTCGTCTGCTTCCTCCTCCTCCTCCTCTTTACTTCTTTCCTCCCGCGCAGGATTTCTCACAGGAATAACAGGCGCAAGAGAAATACACAGTTCCTCATCCCACCCCGGCGGCGACAACGACGGCGACCTCTCCCGCGCCATCTTGCCCCTACCGTCTGCATCCCCATCTGACCCCCGGGTCAAACGAGACAAATCCATACCGTCTATATCTATATCCACACCCCCTTCATCCCGCCCCGTACTCGCCTCAGAAGCCTCACTCCCCGTCTCCCACGACCCATCAGGCCTCGCGAACCGCCTTGTAGCGAGGGGACTTGTCGCCTGTGTCTGTTGCGGAGCGATTACGGTGCAAGATTGGCGGGTGAAAGCGCGTTGGGGTGCGCGTTTCCGCCGTGGCTTTTCCTTGTTGTCTTGTTGTTCGAAAATCTCTCCTTCCTCGACTTCCTGCTCTTCGACGCGTTGGATAGGAATTGTGTCGTCTAGTTCCACAACCGAGACTGTACCCCCCTCCTCGTCATCGTCTTCGGAAGGTGGTAAATACCGCCGAATAGGATCTTTCGCGCGCTGCTAGTACGCTTCTGGCGTCAAACCTCGAATCAAAATCTGCGGCGGAGGTTTGGGTGGATGAATAACGAGTCTCGGACGGCGCTTCGGGAGTGCATCATCTACCCTATCTCCCTCCTTCTCTTCTCGAACCACCTTCTCTTCTCGAACCACATTCTCTTCTCGACCCACATTCTGTTCCCGCAAACTCGGCAGTCGTTTCGCAAACCACGCATTCCCCGCGCGCACCGGTGCAGGGGCGTAGAACCTCCCCCTCCTCTCCCTCCTCGCGGGACCTCTCCTGCGCCCCGTCTGGCTGTACACCCTCCACGCGTTGAACAGCGCGCGGAGCCTCGCGCTACGCTGCGCTTGTGCGAAGCGGCGCCGCGCCGCGACGTCCTGGAGCCGGCGGGCGTGGTATTTCGCGTGCGCGCGCCATGGCGGAGGGGGCATGTCGTCCGCCTCCGCCTGCGTGACGGTCGCCTCACTGCGTAGCTTCGTCGAAACATGGGATTCAGAGCGAGGACCCGGACACCCTGCGTCGCACCCGCCGTTCTGGCACGGGGCGGGAAGCTCGCTATCCGCGAGTGGTGCATGTCTAGCGTTGTACGCCGGCAGCTGGCGCGAGCGCGGTCTGTACTTTACGCGACTCACTTCGGGCCGGGGGTCGAGGATGAGAACCTGCCATGTGTCGTTGCGGAGGAGGAGGTCGCCGCGCCAGCCAGCACGGGCACAGGCGTGCGAGAACCAGCTTCTGAACGCATTCCCTGGATCAAGGGGCGCGGGCGTGTCGGCGATGTAGTCCAGACCCAGATTAACCTGCTGCACGAAAGTTGCAGGGAGGAGGAAATCGCTATGGATGCGGCGCCAGGACGTGCTCAGGGGGCCGTGGGGGTGTTTCCAGCCGCGGTCGCTGGGTGGTGGTGGTTCGTCTTCTGCTGCTGGGCTGGTGGGACCGCGGAAGACGACACCTTCGTCTATTCTGGCTACGGCTTCCGCGTCCTCTGCTGCTTCTAGGGCGTCGACTTCCTCGCTGTAGCAAGTGGCCATGGGGTTGATATGCGGGCGGCGACGGGACGGGCGGGTGCGCAGGGCGTCTACGACGCGTATTGTGTTTTCGTAGCGGCGTATCTTCTGCTTCTAGTCGAGGATAGACGTTTCGTCGTCGATAACCACACCTTGCAGATCTTTTAGTCGCGGGGCATTGGAGCGGAGGTATTCCATCAGTTCACCCAGGGTCTCTGCCTTCTTCTCCAGATCTGCGATTTCTCGGTCTTGTGTTGAGGAAGAGACAGATACGCTATCGTCACTGCCAGTGTCGGATTCTGGTCTTTCCGCTTGCAGTTTCTGGGCTAGTTGTTCCTCCATATCTTGTGGTAGCTTCCCAGTAGATGTTTCTTGGTGCTCATCAATCCGCGCCGTATCCGGTGCTTCGACATCCAACGTCTCCGCTTCACACCCACCCCCATCCCGAACTATCTCACCCCCAGCCCCCGCCTTCCGAACAGGTCTTTCCTCCGCCTCAATCCGCGCCTGCACTTCCGCAGCGAAATGCCTATCAGCCGCCTCTTCGAGCGAGACAGCAAGGGGATCGTCATCCGAGTCTGGTTCTGACCAGTCTGAGACGCTGGCGGGAGATAGCGGGGTGTCGTCGCAGTCGTTGGTGTTTTCTTCGTTGGTGTCTTGTTCGTTGTCTGTGTCTGCTGTATGGTCGTTGGCGGGGGAAGATGCGTCCTCGTTTTCTAGAATGAAGGGCGTGGGGAGGGGAGCTTCGTCATCTGATGGTTCATCTTTCAGGGTAAAGCATGCGGGCAGTGGAGCTTCGTCATCGGAATGGTATGCTTCATCTGCCATGTCGGTGGGGAACCGTTTGGGGAGGGTGTTGGGAAAGTGGTGTATGTAATGGCTATGTGTGTATATCCGAGTGTTAACGATAGAGATCCCGGTATTAACGATAGAGATCTAGAACAATGGTGGGATGTGGTGGTGTAAAGTGAAGGTGATGAAATAATATAGTGTGTGGAGAAAGAGAGAGATAGATAGAGAAAAGATGTGGGAGAAGGTGCAGTAAGTGAGTGAGTGAGTGAGTAGCTACTGTCTGTACATGATTTGCATGGCAAGTTCGTTCATTCCAAGGGGCGAAACAAGTAAGGTAAGAGCAAAGCAAAGCATCGATTCTTACCAGCAAAACACTAGCAAACACCACCAATATCGACACACATAACAGCAATCTTCCAACATGTCCAACCCCCTACTCAAACCTCACCCTATTAACCAAGCTCCCAATCCCCTCAACATAAACCTCCACCTCATCCCCATCCCCCACAAACCCCTTCGGCTCCATAAAAAGTCCCACCCCACTCGGCGTCCCCGTCATAATCGCCGTACCGGCCTTCAACGTCGCCCCCCTCGACAAATGCTCCACGATCTTCGCCACGGGAAAAATCATATCATCCGTACACGTCTCCTGCCTCTTCGTCCCATTAACCTTGGTCCAATACCTCACCTTCTGGGGATCAGGAATAACGCGCGTGCTGGCGATACACGGGCCGATGGGCGCGAAGCCGTCGAAGCTCTTTGCGTAGCCGAATTGGCCGCCGCAGACGGAGGCGGGCATTTGGAAGTTTCGGGCGGAGACGTCGTTGCCGACTGTGTAGCCGAGGATGTAGTCGAGGGCGTTGGCGGCGGAGATGTTTTTTGCGTCTTTGCCGATTATGATGGTTAGTTCGCCTTCGTAGTCGAGCTGCGATTGGCAGTCCGGGTGGATGGAGATGGGGGAGAGGGGGCCGGTGAGGGCGGAGGCGGATTTTGTGAAGATGGCGGGGTTGCTGGGGATGTCGAGCTGGGTGGGGGGTTAGCTGGGGGTGATGGGTGAGACGGGGGGTAGGGGGGGATGTACGTTGCATTCCTCAGCGTGCTTGCGGTAGTTGAGGCCTATGCACGGGATTGCGGACACAGATGGCAATGGTGAGAGCAGCTGGAAGTTATCAGTTATCTTCTCCTCTCGATCAATCATTTAATAAACATACCTTGGCCACTTTCTTCTGCCCACCCGTCTTCTTAAACCCACTCGCAATATCACCCTCCAACACCTCCACCTCGCTCCCCTCAATCTCCCGCGTCGGCACCTCCTTCACCAAGTCGCCATAATACGTCTTCCCGTCCTCGGCCTCGAACCGGATCAATCTGTCGAACGTAGCGGTAACCATTTTGCTGACGCTCGTGCTGAATGAGTTCCTCGAGTGCAAGTTCAAGTTCAAGTTCAAGGTGATAGATTGGCGGAGACGAGGGCTGAATGCGCGGACAGCTGTGGATGAACGCGGAGGAATTGCAATGCGTGCGCAGGATAAAGGGCGGAGGAACATGGGATGCAGGTAGCGGCTGGGATGCCAGCGGGGATATAACGTGCTCTTCCAGCTTGAGCTCGGGGAGTTGCCCCACGGCGGGGTTCGAGTCGGCACTTGAAAGAGCGCCGGTGGGTTGATGTGGAACCCGCAGGCGGATAAGTCTTCCTCCGGACGGGGTTCTACATGACAAATTAAATATCCTCTGGTGAGTTACGCGGCTCTGTATTGCACTGCTGTGTAGGATGGAGAATGTTCAACAGCCTGAGTAGACTACCTGTGAAATTACAACCCAGTCCTCACCCACATCCAATTACCAGCTCGTCAAATGCTCATTACATAAATATAAATGACAGCACACATGGCTATAGATTCACCCGCTCATAACGACATCCCCATTCCCATTCCCATCCCCATTCTGCGCCGTCCCAGCATCAAGCCGCCCCAAACACCCAGGACAGTTATGCAGCACCATATGCGCAAACATATCGCAGTCGATGCAGAAGTGGTTCTCGCAGGCGCGACACTCATACCTCGCCGACTCACTCGCCTTCTGATCCTCCTCCTCATTCTCCTGCCCTCTCTTCGCAAGCCCGTTCGTCTCCCCGTTCTGCTCTCGCCGGTCGCTAGAAGCCGGGATCTCGGGAAACGGATTGAGACACCCCACGCACTCCTGGCTTCCCTTTTCGCGGGCGCGCGACCAGCTTACTACAGCCCAGTTACGCAGGGGAAATAGGTGGTGGTAGCTTCGCGCAAGATGTGTGGAGAGGAGGAGTGTGAGCTGGCAGCTGGGACATGTGACTGGTAGGCTGCAGACTTTTGCGCTGCAGCGTGAACATGTGTACCCTCCCAAGGTCATGTTGCCGTGGCAGGCGCATATTGTGGCCACGTCCTCGACGACTCGCGAGGGGAAGCCCATCATCATCAGCGCGGCGCCCGAGTCTGGTTCCGGCGCAGTTGTGGAAGCGGCTGTTTGCCGGACAACGGGGGGTGTTGTTGTGGCTATGAGGAGTTCCTTCAGCATTTCCTGGTCTGTGGCGATTGTATATTCGCCCTCGTCTCCTGCATTCGTCTTTGTGACTATCTCTGTGCAGATCTTCAGTCGCGCGCTCATCCCGATGATGCTGACACGGATCCGATCTCGCACGCAGGCTTTGACGGTTTGGTGAATGTCCCCAGGGTCGAGAGATAGCAACGAGCCAAAGACGATGATGACCTCTCTTGTTCCGTGGTTTGGTGTGTGATATAGCGTCGCCCTCGCCAGCTCCAGCGCGTTCTGTAAGCTGGGCGCACCCTTTGGCTCTTTTGGGCTTTCTTTGCTCCTGAGGTTCTTGATAGCCTCGATATGCTCCGCTGGATTGCCCGACAGCTCTGAAATCCGTATACAAATCCCATCGTGCATGCCCAGCACACTCATCTGCGAAATTGGGTTCTGCTCAAAGAACTCGCGCACATAGTCTTGTGTGTAGTTGACCATTGTAATGAAGCGATTCGGCCGCATGTCCTTCTCCATCATTGCCTCGGACAGGTCCAGCACCAGCACGACATGCCGTATGATGCCTCTTTGGAAGGGCTTTGTGTCTTTGCGCAACCGCTTGCGCTTCCTTTCCTCTTCTCGCTCTTGCACGCTCTGCCCCATCGACTCGTCGTTGATAGGCACAATCTTCTCGACTGTGCGAGAGTACTCCGTCTCCCATGCCTGGCGTTTTGGCGCTGCCTCCTTCGCCTCTGCCGTCTGTCTCTTACTTGCCGGCGGTGCTCGTGTGCTCGGACCGGCGTTCTTGGACCCGACGTACTCGTCCTCGGACCCATCGTCGTTGTCGAATTCGTAATCGGAGTCTGCCATGGTCGCGTGAACGCTCGTGAGCTGTTTGGAGCACTTGCACGGTGTCTGTCGTCCACAAGTCTAGAATGTCGTCAAGCCGTCGAGTCGCTTGGAACGCGGTTGAGGAGCGGAATGTGAATGTTCCGACGATTGCGAACGCGACTGTAGAAGCGCAGGGTATCTTGCGACGGGCAAGAGTGCGAAAGACAGTACTCGGTGAAGTCGACAGTCAAGGTCTTTCATATGCGAGGATTGAAAAGTAAAGGTGCCAAGCATGGTTTGAGCGGCGCGTTCATGCCCATCATCAGACGGTCCCACAAAGGTGGCAAGGTTCAGGGTACTCGGGAGTTTTGTGAAGCTTTCGGAGTAGTTCGTTGGCGATCTGGAGTAGCGAAAGCACGTGACATCAATATACGCGTTTGATTTGCTTTGCCAATACGATGTTGACTTGGTCTGTGACAACCTCACGGAGGATCTCGCAATCGGATGAATGTCTCGTTGATGCAGCAAGCATTAATACTTGTATATTGTGTACTAACAAACAGCATAACACATTTCGTGTCAGGAATTCCCAAGATGGTATACGCTATGCTGGAAAAGTCATGAAACATTACGCCGTATCTCTCGTCCACCCTCCATATATCTCGCGATTCTATTAGTGGTATGAACCTGTTTCCACTGGCATGGGCCAATCGTCCTCCGTAATGCTCGACCAGAATATCCAAATCATCACTACCGCGAGCAGGGTGAAAAGCGTCTCGAACAGCCCTCCGTTGATCTTGCCGCTGGTGCCGGTGCAGAGGTGCGTGCTGACAACATACTGGAAGACTTGCCCGATGGCAAAGAAGATTGCGGCAGCAAGCAAGTATACTACACAAGCATGTTAGTGATTGCCACAAGAAAATCGCCTGCCGAGTACGTACGCATTGGTTTGCGCTCGCCGAGAATGCGCAGGACCAAGAATGCCTCTAATAGAAAGAAGATGACGAGGAAGACTAGTGGGACTATTTGGTAGAGAACGTAGAGAGCATACGCCTGATTTGGTAGCGCCAGTGTGTCGTTCCAGTAGCCGGTCCAGCCAAATCCAGTGTCGAGCGCGATGTAGCCCGTTCCAATAAATATCAAGACGGAGGAGATCAGGAGGAGGCCGACTGACATTGCAGTACCGTCATCGAGGAGCTGGTAGCCAACTGCGCCGTTGAGCATGAGTACCCAGCAAGTCGCGACGATGGCAGCGATGTGGACGCCGACGAAAGCCTGTGGGATAGTTAGACAATGCTCTCGTGCGAGGTGTGAGGCCGACAACGTACGATGCGCACGGTGCTATTGAGAGGGAAGCCGCCAATCGTGAATATTTCGCAAATGGATATGACTATGTAACCAAGGAGGAATAGCTGCATCTCTCTGTTTACAGTTAGCAACAGTTCCAGTCAAATTCTTGCAAGCCACATACCGTCTCCCGACAGCGGCCTTTTTCCGTTCTGATCTCCATAGCAAGAAGGCTGAGATGAGGATTGCGAAGCCACAGAGTATTATCGAGCCTGCTACGGTCAGCCGAGTGTCCAGCCCAGTCACGTCGCCAAGTACTGACCCAAGTTCTTGAGTCTACTGCTCCCACCGACACCAAAGCCTACGAGATTGCAGCCACCCTGCCATCCTGTTCCTTGCCGTGTAGATGCTTGGTCGAAGAGCTGTGAGGTGTTGCGGTTAGCGTGGATTCGCGGACAGTGATGCTAGGGTTCGGCGTACATAACAAACTATCAACAGTCAGTAAGAGTCTAATTCGAGATGCACAAATGAGGATGGGAGTGGCAGCATACCTGGTAGTGTCGAACCAAGATTGCCTGTGTCGCGACAAAAGTCGTCGAACTTGCCGAATCGCGACATGGCCGTTTACAGGGGCGCGCAGCCTCGCGATCGGTGAATTGCGGTGAGGGCGGACGAGCGGTCGTGGTGGAATTGCAGGTCCAGCGAGTGTCAGAGGAAGAGGGAACGGATTGGCGCGCCGTGGGTAGGTAAAGGTTGCAGTGGTGAATTGTGGAGGAGTTCAGGCCAGTGCGGGTCGTGAGAGATGATATCCCAACGGCTGCAATCTGCAAGGTCGGTGCCGTGGCGTGGCTGGGAGAATCAAGGAAGCAGGCCAAGATTCGTAACCGCGCTGTCACGGGCGCCAGACCAACGCCTCACGATTCGCAACGGCTCGAGAGGATATTGCAGTTAAGAGGAACAGTGGCCAGACAATTCGAGGGCTTGCAAACTTCTTGAGGGCAACAAAGACTGGCGCGGACAAACATAATATCGTGGTACAGCCAATCACGGGGTGATAGTCTCAACCTAGGATTCGATCGGCGAGGCTTGCGCACCAGCCACTCTCAGCTTTGCTTCTTCAACCAACACCGTGGTTTCGACGATGGTCGAGATGGTCATATGACGAGATCGTCATCTCATCCGTACGTCTTTAGCTACTTGGTGTGCTGTATATGGAGATGCACGCAAATGACTTCTGAATTATTCAAAGCCTACGTGTATCTCTGACGTGTATACACAGCTGTACGTACAGCCATACCTACCTAGTCGTTGCATCGAACGGACATGTTTCAGGTCACGAACATTCTTCCCTTGGACTTTTGTTTTGTAAACATCTGGAACTGCCAGGATCTCTCCTATTAGGAGATTTCGGGATGTTGCCAATTTCACGAGCATGGTCTCAGGCTTGAGACATAAAGCCATGTTGTCCACGTTGAGTGCTGCACTGAGAGCTCTCGTGATACGGTACAGACAGTTACGCGTGCAGTTGCCGTGCTGTCGGATGAGCTGTTGTGGAACGCAGATCCGCGATCGAAGGCGATCTATCTTGCACTCGACATGGTTGCTCGGTGACGAGCCATCATGATGTCTGAAACAGTACAAGACTGAAGCAGCCCGAGGAAATGCGAGTCTGTCAAGCTTGTCTCCTCGTCTTTTGATTCATTCCCGCCGTCTCCTCCGAGAAGTAGAAAGCTTGCATCGACCGAGTGATTGTGCATAGGAACCTGCAGAAGCGAGACAGGCGCCCGCAAGCAGACACGCATCCGAAATAACGCCCGTCTTCCTTCTGCAGCGAGACATCATCGCACATGGCGTCCCGCTTTCAAAAGTGACAGCAGATTGAAAGTCACGATTTATGCCCAATCTGCTCGGACCCGGTTCGAGTAGGGACGCGCCAAGGCGCAGCTACAGGGTGCTTTGGGTGGATCGCTCAGCCAGACAAGGCAAGGAGCTCACCGCATGCTGCTCGCAACTGTATCGCTTCCTGATCACGGTGCCAAACCGTCCTTAACCCGTCTCGACAGCCGTCAGATGTGACTGGGCTTGACCGCTCTTGCTCTAGGTCTCTCCGCCGTGCCCATCGGCCCTGTGACCATATCGCGTTTCTTTACGAACTGCTCGTGGAGTCGGCTGCTCCCTAACTGCCTGCCACCTTCAAGATTCCTTCCTCCTCGCACAACCACAGGAGGCCAGCCAACATCCCGCTGCACGACTTGTCGTCCACAGCACGTCGGCGAGACACCGACTCGGCTTATCTCCTCGACGACCGCGATAAGGATAGCGCGTCCTTTGACACCCCTTCGTCTGATTCTGACCTTTCGCTCTGGAGTGACACAGGCGATCTTGTCGACCAGCTTGCCGACCGCGAAGACCTGCTGCGCATCCGTGTGCGAGACTCGCTCGAAGAGAGCCGTCCCAAGCAGCGCCGCCAGCACCAGAAGCACGCACGCTTCCAGTCGCAGGACAGCTTCCGCGAGAAGGGCTCCCGGAGGCTCCAGAAGGAGGACATAGAGATACCCGACCCTGGGCCGCGAACAATCTCGCAAGCGGAGAAGCTCCTCGTTGCCATTATGGCGCCCAACGATGGCCCCTCCCGCATCCACGGGCTGCACGGGAAGAAGTTGATGTGAGCAGCTACGCGCACCTTCGCATGCAACCATTACTGACCGGCCAAAGCTACTTCACCAGTGTGTTCGTGTCGTTGGGAGTGTTTCTCTTTGGCTATGACCAGGGAGTCATGTCTGGAATCATTACGTGCGCCGCCCCGAACCCCTCCATCCTCGAGCATTTCTAATGGCGCATCATAGTGGAGTCTACTTCAAGGACTACTTCAACCAGCCTACAGCTGCCGAGCTGGGCACCATGATTGCCATATTGGAAGTCGGCGCATTCATCTCGTCACTAGTGGTCGGCCGCATTGGCGATGTTCTAGGCAGACGCAAGACCATCATGTACGGGTCGCTCATCTTCATCGTTGGCGGCGCCCTACAGACCACAGCCAACGGCATGGCGATGATGATGCTGGGGAGAATCATTGCTGGTCTGGGAGTGGGAGCGCTCTCGACCATCGTCCCGGTTTACCAGTCGGAAATCTCACCACCTCACAACAGAGGGAGAATGGGCTGCATTGAATTCACAGGCAACATCGCTGGCTATGCTGCCAGCGTCTGGGTGGACTACTTCTGCAGCTACATGAAGAACGACTGGGCCTGGAGAGTTCCATTGGCTCTGCAGTGCATCATGGGACTGCTTCTGGCGAGCGGCAGCTTGCTCATCTGCGAGTCCCCTAGGTTTGTAGTATTCAAGTTCGCCGACGAAATCAGCTAACAATTTCAGGTGGCTTTTGGACAACGACCACGATGAGGAGGGCATTGTAGTCATCGCCAATTTGTATGGAAAGGGTGACATCCACAACCCTAAAGCACGAGATGAATACCGAGAGATCAAGATGAACGTGCTGCTTGCCCGCCAAGAAGGTGAACGTTCATACTCGGATATGTTCAAGCGATACTACAAGCGCGTCTTCATTGCCATGTCTGCCCAAGCCCTTGCGCAACTCAACGGCATCAACGTCATATCGTACTATGCACCCCTCGTCTTTGAAGAAGCTGGCTGGGTTGGCCGTCAGGCGATCCTCATGACGGGCATCAACGCCATCACGTATCTCCTGTCTACGATTCCGCCTTGGTATGTTGTGGATACATTGGGACGTCGCAAGATCTTGCTCTCTGGAGCAATCGCCATGGCCATCTCGCTCTCTGCAATTTCCTACTTCATCTTTCTGCAAGCGAGCTGGACGCCCAACATGGTCGTCATCTCGGTCATGATATACAACGCGGCTTTCGGATACTCATGGGGCCCTATTCCATGGCTGTACCCGCCAGAGATCCTGCCGCTTACCATCCGTGCCAAGGGTGCCAGTCTGAGCACTGCAACTAACTGGGCCTTCAACTGGCTCGTTGGAGAGATGACGCCTATACTGCAGGAGCACATTCAATGGCGTCTGTACCTCATTCACGCCTTCTTCTGCGCCGCTAGTTTTGTTATCGGTAAGTTCAGCTGCGCATAGTCATTCCATCACAGCTTGCTAATCATATTCCAGTATACTTCATCTACCCCGAGACTGCCAACGTTCGTCTAGAGGACATGAACTCTCTGTTCGGAGACGCTACGACTGTCGCGGCGACACCCCAAACTCTAGCCGAAGTAGAATCGCTCTTCAGCGGCGACCGTGGCTCACCTGTCCCATCTCTGGATATCCGAGGTGGTCGCGGTGCAGATGCTGCCATTCCCGGACTCAACATCGATCCGCCTGATCTTGAGAGCGGCAACTCGTTGTCAAAGGCGGAGGCTGACGGTGAGGGCATCGGCGGCTGGATCTCCAACATGGTGAAGAGGAACGGCAACGGAGGCGACAGCTCAAGCGGGAAGTACAAGCGGATAGACCAAGATGAGCTCTGAGCAGCACACACTCGTTGTTGGCATTTCCTGGACGTTTTGCATCATCTGGCCGTGTTTGGCAGCGACATGGTTCGATACCCGGAGTGATATCACTTGGCACGCGAGTTTTGTGTTGATAGAGGACGCATGGCATTTCTTATAGCGAGTGTTTGGGGCTGTTTAGGCTTGGATAGTGTGCATATAGGCAGCTTGAAATAGATTATTACTGGGATTGAAAAGACGTCAATGTGAGGACAAGCTCTTCGGCGGCGTTGCTGTCTCGCGTGCGTGATAATATAGTTTGCCGGCCCGCTGACACGGGCATTTCCTTCCTATTTTGGAATTGGACCCTCCCCAGGTTCTTCCCTGAGCATGTCATGGCAGATCATGGTCCAAGATGCAATTGTGCAGCTCCATTGCGTAGACGATGATTGCGTGTTGCTTCTTTCACTGTATTTAGGAGGGGTGCTGACGTGACATGTGAGCTGAACAAGACAGGTGTCCAGTATGGTTCTCGGATTACCCCTTGCGCCTGCGTGGACAGGCTTAGCGTTCAGCAGCTTCCCCGTTGAACTATTTCAGCATCCTTCCAATAACCTCCTCAACGCAGGGGGCTGTCTACTTTGCTCTTTGCAGTGAGCATCTTCGAGCTCTCAACTCCTTTGAGCTTCTTCTTCTCTCTTTAATCCCTTTTTCCTTTGGCCGGTACCTGTCTTGTGTGGCGCGCGGCCTCGACATCCCACCAACGCAGCCCCGAACACGATTTCTCTCCTGATACTGATACACGGCAACACGTCGCAAGCTCTGTAGAAGGGCGAAGTCAATCCTCAGCATGGACCCTTCCGTGCGCACCACGGGGGTGGATGCACAGGCGGAGGAGCTGCGGAGGAGAAACGTCGCAGCTGCTCAACCAGCACCACCAGCCCAGGCTGCGGCCCCAATCCAGGAGAAGTCAAAGGACAGGGTACGGCTTCCATGCATGCGCGACATTGGAGCTCGCAGAAGCTTCACGCCACATGCTCGAGTCATTGGCTAATTCCATCACAGGCGTTCAGCGTCATCTCCTTCCTCGACGACTACGAGTTCATCCTGGCGCCGCTGGTATTCACCGCCCTCGCCTTCTTCACGCGCATGTGGAAGATTGGTCTCTCGCCGATTGTTACCTGGGATGAAGCTCAGTAAGCAGAGCAGCCACACTACACACTACACGTATCCTAACAGAGGGGCAGTTTTGGCAAGTTCGGGTCCCACTACCTCCAACGCGAGTTCTACTTCGATGTCCACCCTCCGCTGGGAAAGATGTTGGTCGGCCTGTCTGGATACCTCGCGGGATACAATGGCACGTTTGAGTTCAAGTCTGGAGAAACATACCCCGAGGAGCTGAACTACACCTTCATGCGCCTCTTCAACGCGGCGTTCGGTGCTGTTTGCATTCCTCTCGCCTACTTCACCGCCAAGGAGCTGAACTTCCGGAGGCCAACCGTCTGGCTCGTCACGCTGGCGGTCTTGTGCGAGAACTCGTACACTACCATCAGCCGTTTCATCCTGCTCGACTCGATGCTGCTCTGCTTCACCTTTACCACCGTCTTCTGCTGGTCCAAGTTCCATCGCTTACAAAAAGACCCCTTCTCTCCCGAGTGGGCGCTGTGGCTGATGTTGACTGGTGTCTCGATCGGATGCGTAACCAGTGTCAAATGGGTCGGCTTCTTCGTCACAGCTCTGGTTGGACTCTACACTATTGAGGATCTCTGGAACAAGTTTGGCGACTTGAAGATGCCAAAGGTAGGGCAGGATTCCTCAGTTTTGTACCTCCTCGATGCTAACTTCAACAGATGGAACTTGCGTCGCATCTGGCATTCCGGGTTTTCGGCCTGATTCTCATTCCTGCGGCAGTCTACATCTTCTCTTTCTATCTGCATTTCTTGATCCTCGAGAACAGCGGTCCGGGAGATGCGCAAATGAGCTCGCTCTTCCAAGCCAACTTGCGCGGCACTGAGGTTGGCAAGGACAGCCCTCTCGAAATCGCGTATGGCTCCCGCGCTACACTGAAGAACATGGGATACGGAGGAGGTCTTCTTCATTCCCACGCCCAGACGTACCCAGAAGGTTCTCAGCAACAACAAATTACCTGCTACCACCACAAAGATGCGAACAATGACTGGTTCTTCTACCCCAACCGTCACGAAGTCGAGTACCAGCCAGACGAGCAGCTCCGCTTCCCTGGAAACGGCGATGTCATTCGGCTCATCCACGCTCAGACTGGCCGCAACCTCCACTCGCACCAGGTCGCTGCTCCGGTCACCAAGGGCGATTGGGAAGTGTCCTGCTATGGCAACACGACTGTTGGTGACACGAAAGACCACTGGGTGGTTGAAGTTTTTCGCGATGCTGCTTCCAGGGACCACTCCAAGCTCCGAACTCTCACCACCGCTTTCCGCCTGAGGCACAAAGATCTGAACTGCTATCTCCGCGCCGGCAACACCAACCTTCCTCAGTGGGGTTTCAAGCAGATCGAGACCACATGCGTTAAGAAGAACAACCCCCGCGATGTCTACACCCACTGGAACATTGAGAGCCACACGAACGACAGGCTCCCACCTGGCAACCCCGGTGATTACAAGTCGCCTTTCTTCCAGGACTTCATCCATCTCAACGTTGCCATGATGACCTCCAACAACGCGCTGGTTCCGGACCCGGATAAGCAAGACGATCTGGCCTCCTCGTTCTGGCAGTGGCCTCTTCTTCATGTCGGTCTCCGTATGTGTGGCTGGAGCGACGAGAGTAAGTCTTTCTCTACATGAAAAGTTTTGATCACAACTAACACTGCTGCAGTCGTCAAGTACTTCCTCCTTGGTAACCCGTTTGTTTACTGGGGCAGTACTGCCAGTCTCGGCGTCTTTGGCTTGATCGTCGCATTCTACACTATTCGCTGGCAACGCGGCTACAAAGATCTCAACTCTTTCGAAATCGACCAGATTCACTACGCTGGCTTTTACCCTATCGTTGGTTGGGCTCTTCACTATGCTCCCTTCGTCGCCATGGGTCGTGTTACCTACGTTCACCACTACTACCCCGCTCTGTGGTTCGCCATCCTGGTCATGGGCTTCTGTCTTGATTTCACTACCAGGAAGCTCAGCAAGCAGGTCAGCTGGGCTATCTTCGGAGTAATGTACGCAGTCATCATTGGTCTTTACTGGCTCTTCAGGGCAACTTCGTTTGGCATGGTCGGTTCGAGCACTCAGTGGAAGCATCTGAAGTGGTTCGACTCGTGGAAGATGTCGGATTGAGCGGTGTTGGAAGATCCCGGCGATCGTACTCTTCTTATCTGAGGGTTTAGGTGTCGTGGGAGGGGCCAGGGTCTTTGACATGGCCTGGAGTTGAAGGGGAGGTTACACCTTGTACCATTATCTTTCGTTGTTTCATTTATCTCGCTCTGATGAGCTACAAGGGTTATGGTTAGAGAGCATGCTTTTAAGCTGGGGTATCGATGGGTTATTGAGCATGGTGTTGAGGAGATACCGTCATAGCGGACGCCGTGCTTGGCAGAAAATCACGATGAATATTCAATTCTGCATGCTCTTGCACCACCCCATGTCCATCAGGGTTGATTGGAGCTGACTTTAGCGAGCTGACTCCACTGCGGTACCCCAGATTTACCGTGCATGGATCCACGACTCATCGGGCACGTCAGCGATGCGCCGCCCAAAACCACGCACATACACACGGTCCAAGCAGATGACTGGGACCGATCTGCCTCGATCTGCGGGCCGTAGAGCTACAGTACACCTACGTGCCCTAAATAAACTAAGTAGACCACTGCGCGCGGCGATAAGATGGAGCAAAAAGCCGAGGTCTGACATCACTTCCGCCCGATGCCATCCACGCCAATGGATAGATATGCTAAACCCCCCTCACCCATTGATGATGATCTAAATCTTTTCTCTCTCTTTTGACCTCATATTTCTCTGACGATACCTACATACATATCCACATCCCTCTCCAAAAAGAAACATGTCGCTAGCCCTCCGCCACGCCTCCACCCTCCTAACCCAAACCCTCACCCACACAGCCCTAAACCCCCTCCTAACAGCCACCCTCCTCTACCTCCTCACCGCCTCCCCCCGCCGAATCCGCTCACACCTCACCCACCGCATCGCCAACCCCGTACGCTACGCCCGCATCGTCACGGCGCTGAAATGGGTCCTCGCGCTCGGGCTAGTGCGCAAAGCGAACCAGACGCTCAATGCCGTTGCGTTGAATGGGGGGCGGTGGGGGGCGGCGAAGTGGGTGGTTGAGGGGGAGGTTTGTGTTGTTACGGGGGGGTGTGGGGGGATTGGGGAACTAGTTGTAAGGAAGTTGGCGGGGAAGGGGGTGCGGGTTGCGGTTGTGGATGTTGTTGCTTTGCCGGAGGGGATGCGGGGGTGTGAGTCGCCTACTTTCTCTTCTTTTCTTTGTTTGGGGGTGGAAGATGGGAGATGGGAGATGGCGACTGACCAACACCCCCTAGATGCAAACATCAAGCACTATCCCTGCGACCTGACCTCCCCCCAAGCCGTCTACGCCGCCGCCGAAAAAATCCGCGCCACACTCGGCCCCCCCAGCATCCTAATCAACAACGCAGGCATCCTCGCCGCCCACACCATCCTCAGCACCCCGGACGACTATCTGCGCAAGATCTTCGACGTCAACGTGCTGAGTAATTGGTACACGGTTAAAGCGTTCCTGCCGCATATGATTGCGCGGAATAAAGGGCATGTTGTGACGGTGGCGAGTACGGCGAGTTATTTGGGGGTCGCGGGCGTGGCGGATTATACGGCTAGTAAGGCGGCGGTGTTGGCGTTTCATGAGTGTGCGTTTTTTGTTCCCCCCCCGTTCTGTGGGTCTTCAAGGCTAAACGTGCGGCAGCGCTGAACCAGGAACTCGCCCTCCGGTATAAAACTACAGGGATAGTTACTACATCCATCCACCCGGGTTGGGTGCGCACGCCGCTTGTTAAGCCTGTTGAGGCGGAGCTTAGTCGGAATGGGAGTGTGTTGCTTGAGCCGGGGGCGGTGGCGGATGCGGTTGTGAGGAGCGTGTTGAGTGGGAGGGGGGGGCAGGTGTTTTTGCCCGAGAGTGCGGGGAGGGTTGCGGCGCTGAGGGGGATGCCGAATTGGGTGCAGGAGAGGGTTAGGAAGGGGGTGGGGAGGACGATATTGGAGGTTGTTGAGTAGGGGGGGTTTGATAGCATGGTTTGACTGGATGGTTGGCTGTTTGTTGCTTGGGGTTGATATAGTCCCCGGTTCTGATATCTAGATTGGTCTTGGCTTCGTGGATGGTGATGGTGATGGTGAAAGTGGGTGGGATGTGTGAATGTGCTTCTCTTCTCTTACTGCTACGCTTTTTCTCTTGCTACTATAAATTCTCTTACCACCACTACGCTTCCTCCTCTACTACTATTACACATCCCCTTACTATTGTTTGTCTTCTGCTACTATAACCTCGTGCGGTGCTTCTTTCTACAACCTACATCTCACACAGCGTTTCAAAGCGCGCAACAATACGTGAGAGACGGTGATCGAAAGTAGCCGCTCATTAAAATATACCCTCAACATCAAGCGAGAGCAGGTACTTGCGAGCTCCCCCTCTCAATCATCCCCAGCAACCTCCACTCCACCTCTCCGCCACCTCACACCCCGCTCCTGGGCTTGAAAACAAGCTCACAACGGCGTAAGACACTTGCACCAAACTCTCGGCTGCAATCTGCGTTTATAGGTAACTGCTACGTTCGCAGTCCCGAGGGAGAGACAATACTTGAGCACTTATGAGTGGTCACCGATGTAACCTCAGCATCACTGCCAATAAAACAATATCGAAACTCTACCACATAGGCAGAATGTCTTCTACTCATGCAGGCTCAATGTCTCAGACCTCAGTTCTAACGTTCGGAGAGTTCCGAAAAGATGAAGTCCTACGGAAGGTACAGCAAACCCTCACAACAGCTAGGCAAACTACATAGTATGTAGGTTAGATTTATACAAAGTTTGTTTGTAGGTGTCTGGCTGTTGGGAGATGTGGCTGTGCTCTGGGATCTGGTGGGTTGGTGGGATGCTTGGTATTCGCGAAGTTGTGGGGATTTGGTGTGTGCCTGGGTACTGGGTTATGGAGGGAGGCTGGTGTTGGGGGATATGGTGTTGCTGGTTCTTGGGATATTCTGCTCAATACTACTTGGAGTTGTCTAGGCATAGATATAAGCTTTGGAAGGAACGGATAGCTTCTAAATTCTAGACTTGGGATAAATGAGGGATTGGTGCTTAACTACAGTACCAAAAACGGGTTTAGGTGTGTGGGGCTCGGCAATCGCATCGCGTCGCGTAACTGGACCGTTCGACGCGTCGTCCCAACTCGACTACAACCACTCCAAAACACGAAACATTCACAACACTATTGCAGCCACACACACAAGCTCTCACAATTTACGCAAACATGACCGACACAATTGAAGACGTCCAGATGGACACACTAGAAATCGAGCAAGCCACTCCGTTGTCCAACGTCTTCATGGCGCCGTCAATCCACAAGCCTGACATCCTCGCGGGAAAGTCGTATTCGCATTTCTCGCCCATACCGCAACAAATCGCAGACGACATGTCGACAGAATGCGTGCTGGGTGTCGACGAAGCCGGTCGCGGCCCCGTACTCGGTATGCAGTCCACCCATAAAACTCCTCCCACCACACCGCGACTAACACACAAGCCCAGGCCCCATGGTCTACGCCCTCTTCTACCTCCCCATCGACCAGCACCACTCGCTCCTCGCGCAAACCCACCACTTCGACGACTCCAAAGTGCTCACCCCCGAGGTCCGCTCCTCCCTCATGCGCACCCTCTGCACGCCCGGCACCGACCTCCACGCATCCGGCGGCTGGGCCACGCGCTCCCTCTCCGCCCAAGACATCTCCGCACACATGCTCTCGCCCGCCGTGTACAACCTCAACGCACAAGCCATGGACGCGACCATCGACCTCATCACAGAAGTCCTCGCCCGCGGCGTCAACGTAAAGGAAATCTACATCGACACCATCGGCAGGCCTGAAACCTACCAGAAGAGGCTCGAGCGCATATGGCCCACCATCCACATCACCGTCGCCAAGAAGGCGGATAGCTTGTACCCTGTCGTCAGCGCGGCGAGTGTGTGCGCAAAGGTCACGAGGGATGCTGCCCTCGATGTCTGCTTCGAACCGTACCACGTCCCAAACCCCGACGCACATGACGATGCTGAGGTTAAGGTTGCGTGGGGCTCGGGCTACCCGTCCGATGCGCGCACTACCACGTGGCTGAAGGCGAACATGGACCCGCTGTTTGGCTGGGGGAACGAGTGCCGCTTCTCGTGGGGCACGGCGAAGGAGCTACTCGAAGTTAAGAACGCGCAGGTTGGCGTCGACTGGCCTGTTGAGGAAGACGGGGATGATATGCGCATGACGGACTTTTTCTCCGGCAGGGATGAGACCAAGGGCGATGAGCTGGTGGAGTGGTTTGGTAAGCGCGTTACGACGGAGATGGACGTCTTTTGATCGACGATGCTCTTCCTCGTGTGGGTGATGGAAGGGGAGTTTACGGAGGAAGCATTGCATGGCCTGAGCAAGGGAGGATATGTGCTGTGTGATGGGGATCGCAACTCGACCACCCGCCTACGAGGAATGCACGGCTCCCGCGTCTTTTGCCGCTCAGTTCATGATAGGCCACGTCTATGGTCGTCGGACATTTCGCATCTGCAGCTATGATTCAGCCGCACGAACGTCGGGCGCCATCCCACTGAAGTATACCACCAAGCGGCGACCACCCAACTACGTCCCTCCGTCTTGCGTCATAGCCATACAAGCCATTTGCTACGAGAACGGGCAGGGGAGGGAAAGAGCAGACTCCTCGCTCCGTCGGCACCCACATACCTTACTGTGCACCTTGCAAACGGCGGAGTAGAAGTAGAAGTAGAAGTAGAAAGAACGGAACATCTATTCATCCATCGAAGCTCATCGCTTTTGTGCCATGCCATGCCTTGCCTTGCTATACTTGTTTGCTCTGCTGCCCCCGCCGTACCTATGTTCGACGAGGGGGTTTATCTCTATGAAGATGTGGTCCGGAGGCGTACTATGCATGCATGCGTGCAACGGTAGCGGGACGGACCGCGGGCTAGGAAGCGCCTCTGCCTTCGGGCATCTCTGCTTGGTGGATTAAATGTAGTCTGGAGTTTTGGATAGCTTTATCGTGGAGGGGGAAGGGGAAGTGAAAGTGAAAGGGAGAATGTGATGCGGGAAATTTCCTAGTGATGGGTTCAACGCGCTTTTCTTCTGATCGTGTTGAAATTGTATGTGTTTCCTGACGAATTCCTCGTAGTGATGTAGGCGATATAGGCTATGTGTTACGAAGCCTCGCGGCTCTCCTTCTTTGCAAACCCAGTTCATATCATCATACCTTTACGCCCTAATAGAGAACTTTACCCGGCATTGACCACCCAGACTACGCGTTTGATGCGTCATCAGCCTCTACTTCTCCTTCGTGCTCGTTGTCGGCATCGGTATCGCACCCCCCGGAGAATTCTCATTCCCCGCCGTCAAGACCTCCACCCCCGTCTCCGTAACAAGCAAAGTATGTTCTGCACAGGTATCAGCAACCAATCACCTTCCACAGAACACCCATAAACCCACCAAACTGCGCAGTCCGCTTCCCATCAACAGTAACATTCGTCCACTTATCCGGCCAATGCACCTCACGCGGTTTCCCCAGGGTAAGAATCGGTTCAATCGTGAAGGTCATACCGGGCCTGCACACGCCCACAGCGCGATTCTTGCTATAATGCGGAATCCACGGCGGGGGGTGGAACTCCGTGTTAATCCCATGTCCGCCCCAAGTCGCGACCACGCTGCAGTTGCGCGACTTGGCGTGTTTCTCAATCACGTGGCCGAATTCTCGAATCGGTCTGCCGGGCCGGACGAGCTCGATTGCTTTGTCGAGACACTCGCGGGCTGTTTCGACGACGCGGACGGAGTCTGGGTCTGCTTTTGCGCGGTCGCCGATGTAGTATGTTTCGTTGAGGTCGGCGTGGTAGCCGCCGTGGTAGAGCGAGATGTCGAGGTTGAGGATGTCGCCGTCGAGGAGGATGCGGTGGTCTGGGATGCCGTGGCAGACTACTTCGTTGGGGGATGTGCAGAGCGATTTGGGGAAGTGGTTGTAGTTTAGGGGAGAGGGGTATGACTGGTTGAGATTTAGCAGTGATTGATTGACCCCCATATGGAATTGAGATGGGCTTACGTTCCGCTCCACACACGCGTTGTGGCATATTTCGTCGAGATAGTCGGTGGTGATGCCGGGCTTGAGCTCCGCCGCCGTGATGTCGAGTACTTCTCGAGCTAGTCGGCATACTTTTCGCATTGCCTCCTGGCCTTTGGCGTCGAGGATGTCGATCTTGGTGCTGTGCAGGCGCTGTTCACCCCTGGGTATGCCGGTTTTGGCCCAGTCGGGGTGTTTGATTGATTTGGGAACGGCTCGTCTCGCGGAAAGCGGATAGACTGGTCGGACGGAACCGGTGAAGGCATACGTTGGGAAGGGATTGTGAGGTCCAGTGGCTGAGTCTGGTTCAGAGACAATATTGAAGGGATGAGAGCGTGGACTATACCAACTTGGGGTTTATCTTTGGCTGTTTTGTGAAGGGTCTTGTGTTCGTTCTTCAAGACGGGGTTTGTCAGCTTGGAATCTCAGTAGGTAAAGAACGAATCAACCAACCCAGCTCCTCTTGAAGCAATCTTGGGAACAGAAGTAGCTGTCTGTCACGCCTATCTTCAGACACGTTGGGCACTGTAAAGACCCAGCATCATTTTCACAGTCTGTTCCCAAACACTGCCTCTTAGATGGTGGTTCTGATGGATTATCGGCCATTATGGCGGGGCTTGCTTCCTGAGTCCGAACGTAGCAACAGCGCCAACACCAATAACTAATTCGTCGTAGAAATTTGTGTACGAAGAAATGTCCCTGGCTCGTCGTGCTAGGCAAGGTTTTAGTGAATGAGGCCAGCCGTTGATCAGCCCACTCTTTAGACTAGGGTAGGTGCTGTGCCGCAATTGCGGAGACGCGGACACGTGACCATCGGTGATCTGTCACACGGCGGGCGTTGGAGTTAACTTTGTTCTTTTCACACGAACCCAAGTAGTCACATCAATCGTCAAAATGGCTGCCAAAGTCTCCGGAGATGAGCCCAAGACGCTCAACGGTGCGTCATATGCTCCGTGAAAACTAAGCGACACTAACTAACGGAAGCTTGTATAGTCGCAGAAGCTAATGGAACTGTGAACGGCGATGCTGGAGAACATTCCGGTCAAGATTCGGATGACGATGCTGACGAGAATTCACCTGAAGCTACTGCTGTCGCTGGCGCGAAAAAGAAGAGGAACAGGAAGAAGAAGCCCAAGAAGAAGAAGAAGAAGAGTACTGTCCAAACTGATCCCCCCTCAGTCCTGATCTCGCAACTATTCCCAGACAACAACTACCCCAAAGGCGAGGAGGTGGAATATAAGGATGAGAACCTCTATCGCAGCACTAACGAGGAGAAGCGTTATTTGGACAATATGAACAGCGACTTCCTCTCGGATTATCGTCAAGCGGCCGAGGCACATCGTCAGGTTCGCCAGTGGGCACAGAAAAACATTAAACCAGGCCAGACACTCACTGAAATCGCCAATGGTATTGAAGATAGCGTGCGTCGTGTAGTCGGACACGACGGGTTATCCGAAGGCGATGCTCTGATTGCCGGCATGGGTTTCCCAACAGGTTTGAATATCGACGAGATTGCAGCCCACTACAGCCCAAATGCCGGCTGCAAGCGAGTGCTTCAACAAAGTAACGTCATGAAGGTTGACATTGGCATCCACGTGAATGGTCGTATCGTTGACAGCGCCTTCACAATGGCATTCGATCCCATGTATGACAACCTCCTCGCAGCCGTCAAGGACGCAACCAACACCGGTCTCCGCGAGGCAGGAATCGACGTCCGCCTCGGCGAGCTAGGTGGGTACATTCAGGAGACTATGGAAAGCTATGAATGCGAGATCAATGGGACTACCTACCCAATCAAGCCGATCCGCGAACTATCCGGCCACACTATCTTACCATACAGCATTCATGGCACGAAGAGTGTTCCTATCATCAAGACAAACGATACAACGAAGATGGAAGAAGGTGATGTGTTTGCTATCGAGACGTTCGGCAGCACTGGCAATGGGCGGTGTCACGATCAGGGTGAGGTCTCGCATTACGCTCTACGCAGCGATGCGCCAAACACTGACCTTCGTCTGACTTCGGCCAAATCGCTGTTGCGTACTATCAAGAACAACTTTGGTACCATTCCCTTCTGTCGACGCTATTTGGATAGGATTGGTCAGGACAAGTATCTACTCGGTGTATGACAGTACAGAGCTTTAATTCATGCTCGGAGTCACTGACAGATCGGCAGCTAAACAGTCTTGTCAAATCTGGTATCGTTGAAGACTACCCGCCTTTGGTTGACAAGAAAGGGTCATACACAGCCCAATTTGAACATGTAAGTACACAAGTCGATAAACTACGGAGATTCATATTAACGAAGCACAATAGACCATCCTGCTCCGACCTACCGTGAAAGAAATCATCAGTCGTGGAGACGACTACTGAACAGATAATGATGTGTTGCACCTAGAGCAAAACAAGAAAAAGTTCTGAGTCACAAGAGTGAAAATAAAACATGTCTACCTACAAAACACATCCTGAATTATCAGTCTGCTCTCTTCCAACATCTAGACTGCATCCTCATCCCAGTGTTCTTGGGCAAAGCGTTCTCTGAGCATTTTTGTCGTGTGGTTCGAAGACCCGAGAAGGATATCTGGATGTTGTTCCCTGTCTCCAAAGTACTTATCCTTGCGAGTATCATCCCCCTCTCGGGTCGTATCATCAAGCATCCTGGTGCGAAAGTTGGAAGCATAAAGAGCGGCAACACACTGTATCGCAAACGTATCTCGAGCAAGCTACTAACATGTGTTTGTGCGAAATTACTCGAGATTGAACGTCTGTTAGGATGTGAACCTGCGAATACCAGTGAACATGGATGGCCAAGAGGATCGGTGGCACAAATGAGATGCAGCGATCTGCACACTGTCTTTACACATGTCATAAATGGCAAGATGGTCTTAGCACCTTTTGACCATGAGCACTGGGGTAAGAGAATCCATCACTCTGGCGCTGCTGCCAACCAGCGCCTCCAGCGCCTCTTCAAACGGTGCGGATGCTAGTGATGGTTAAATTTGAGAACATGATATCTGCAGGATACATATGCCAGATGACCAAGTTTCCACAAGGCCTCACCCGATCCATCAGCCAAGAAAAACAAGGCAGAAAGCGTAATACCAGGCAGCGAAACAAGATGAGCAAGAACCCTGAACAGACGAAAGCTTGCGCCATTCTCAAACACGATCCTCCCACCCAACCACGTCACCCCACCCCGTCAGACGAGGGATCACCATGATCTCCATTCTCCAAGAAACACCACCCCCGTCCACTCGAATCCGGCAAATCTCCAATGCTTCGCACCCCCCGCCAGCCAATAAGAGGGGTGAAACAGCCCAACGCCCACGCTAAATGAAACTCGGAAATGTCGGAAATTTCGGAAATGACTTCCTGGTGTAAATCTGATTGCGTATTTTACGTTTGTTGCGTGCTTGCGTATCCTGCGCAATTCCCTGCATGGTTTCAGGGTGTGTTTTGCGGGGGTCTGTCGGTGACCTGCACAATCGACAGATGGCGTGTTGGGTGCCGGTGGATATTGACGACGGGTGATTGCGCCGTAATGACAACGACGCACAACCTGATGGTGGGTGTCAGTTTATATTGGGATGAGCAAGAAGGCTTGTACGCCCTCTGGCGTGAAAGACGATCGCAGTCATTCATGCCGGGTTGGTCACGTACCTGGAGCTTCCTGAGCCCCCCAGCCCATATCCTCTTGATTGCTCTCGCAGATGCCCCAGGGTTTTGCTTGCGACCTCAATTATTGGTGTGGATGACGCCTGCGCCCTCGCACACATGGCATTTTTGCCTTCCGCTCCTCTTGCAGTTGCAGCAGCCGGTGCCGTTACAGTCATCGCACTTTGTTGACCCGTTTCCACGGCAGTTGGGGCATTCTCCTCCCATGTTGAGTTCGATGTTGAGTTTGGGTTGAGTTTGGAGGAAACGGCTGGCGGGCGTGTATATCGAGCGAGAGCGGTAGACAAGAACGGAGCGAGATGTAGCAAGCTGAGGGAGATTCGCGAGATCAACGGAAAGGGATAGTCGAGAGGCGGCTGATCACTAATATCTGGCCTGGGAAGGAGCAGAGGTCTGAGCGCGGTATGAGGGAAGGGGGAGTTTCGAAGCAATCCCCCAATCAGCAGGACAAGCAATGTCTCTTATACGTATACAGTGTAATCTCCCTCGACGGGAGCGACCAGGTGCCCTGTGCAGGAACGATGAAGCGCGCTCCGCCACGCAACAAGCAACGAACGGTTGGTGCACCAGAGTTGCACAGACAGCTTACGGCTTACGCAGCCAAGTAACAGCGAGGGACCTTTGAAAATCATCGCCTGTACTACTCCGTTTTGGTAAACTTATCGAAAACCAACACAGCAGGCAGCAGGTTTATTCCTCCTTGGACCTATCCGTACAGGACGGTACGTCTGGAGCCCCCCAAACCAGGAAGGTGGAACTGTGGCTCGTAAAATGAGACCGAAGCGGCCTGCCGCCACAGCCGGAGTGAGGCTTCTACACGTACGTGGGTTCGATCAGCACGGGATACCATGCCGGTGCAGTAACGCCCTTCCTGTGCAGTCTTGGACTCATTTCGTTTTTGCTCTTGGCTTGGGGGCTGTCTATTGCTGCCACATCCGGGAGTGCAGCTGCATCGGTGATACGGAAAGGGCTCCCTGAGTGGGAAGGCGCCGACTGGGATGTCAATTCGCGGCACGCAAGTTGTGTGTTTTGAGCTGCGGAACCCGAAGGAGTGGATAGGGCTGAATTTCAATAAGCGGAGTGTGGCTGTGCAAGAATCGTGGTTGTGATGGCGATCTGTGCCTTTCTGCGTAACTTGTTCGAGCATGTTTTAGTGAGGCATAGACAAACAAGGGTGATAGCGGAATTGGCGCATTTGTGAACTTCAAAAAGGAACATGCCGTTTGAAGGGTGGAGACGTGCATAAGAAATGCAGTTCGCGATAGCCGGGCATCTCCGACGCGGGACGAGCCCGTATCACGACAGACCCTGATGATGTCGAGCACACAATATGTATATATTATATCAAATTGCTCTATCTTTCATCAACAGTACCATCTCCGGTATAGTCCAGAGGCTAGGATATTCCGCTTTCACCGATCTTCGATGATAGAGCCGGAAAGACCCGGGTTCGATTCCCGGTACCGGAAACTTTCATTTTGCCCTTTCGCGCAGGTAGCTCCTGCCTTTTTGCCAGTTGTTGGATCAGCAAGCGCATTGTGTCAGTTACTGGGAGCTTCCATCTCATATTTTCTGGATGTGCTCGACTGCTTTTTGCCTGATCTCGAACATAGAACTCGCCCAACACAGCGTAGCTGTAAAGTAATAAAGGAGCGGCGCCGGCACGTTCGATACAACTTTGCTTAACGTTTGCTCTTCTTGTTCAACACAAATCGTATATTTGCAGGACACCGTCACAGCAAATGCATAGCATTGTGACATCACGAGAGAGATGAAGAGGTCATTCCAAGCCCATTATATAGAGATGATAGCAGTATCTCGCCCATAGCCATGTAGAAAGTCCGGCCAGCCTCAAGCCAGCATGATAGAAGTAATACATGTGGCTCCCACGTGTTTAGAATTACAATAGCATCTATAATCATACACATACACACGCGCATTCCCGCGCAAACGCCCTTCCCTCATAATCACATCAGCAATCCGTAAAACCATGTTCCCAACCCCGCATACACATGTCTAAGTATACCGCCACGTCTCCGCGCCTGCACCGTGGACCGCCGACTGCCCTGGCACAGGAGACGGCGCAGCGACCGTGGCGTTGCCGTCGTCGCTGATAGGACTGTACTCGGGTCTCTGCGGGCTCGTTGCTCCGTCGCTCAGCGGGCTTGGGATCGGGCGCTGGGATTCCGTCTGCGGCGGCTGCGTCCACGGTCCGCTTGACGAGGGTGTGTATTGGGGCTGCGGCGGATATGGGGACTGCGACGCATATGACGGGGGCGCTGTGACGGTCGGCGCAGTTGCAGAACCCGTCGACGTGGCCAGCTGCTTGAGCATCTGCTCCCATTTCGGCGTTCCGTTCCCAGCCTGTGGTGCTCGCTCCATTTCGCGCTGGAAGTCGTGGGGAGACTGAAACTGTGCTGTTGGCCGCGGGGCAGACGCACCAGCCGGCGGGTGTCCTTGATGGGATCCCTGTTGCGCCGCAGGGGGAGGCCTTGGAGCAATCGCAGGACGTGCTGTCGTCGGCTTGGGCTTCCACTCTGGTGTAAAACCACCACCAGGACTATAAGGAGAAATGTAAGTTTTTGCTCGCCGAAGGTACGCGTTTTTGAGGTAGGGGTAGTTCGTTACGTAGGCAAGATATTCAATAGGGGAGGTTGCAGCATAAACGATAGAGGAGGAGGGTGAGACGGCGTACATTGGAGGGTTGGGAGTCCCAGATGGGTTGCTCAACATGCCATGCGAAGATGGAGGTGGAGCCTGCGTGGCTCGGTTGTGAGCACCTGCAGGGCTATATGCCGGCGTCATGTTCTGGCCTGAACCTGAAGCGTACGGGAATGGCGGCAGCTGTCGAGGGCTCTGCGAGCTAGCCGGAGGTTGGTATGGGTATGGCGGCAAGGCCTGGTTGGACTGATACGGGTGAGCATATTGATCGATACCATTGAGCAGTGGCCCTGCGGTCACGGGCTGTTGCTTCCAACTCGAGGTGGAGTTGTTCTGAGGCGGTACGTATGGCTGATACTGGTACTGCTGCTGCTGCGGGGGACGATGGCTGTGATATGCGGGATATGCCTGCTGTCCATTCGGAGGGGCCGGCGCTCGGTGGTCGTAGCTGACGTTTGGTTGATGAGCAACAGGAGAGTTTGGATTGTTTCGCGTATCCGCCCCGGAATTGTAAACAGGCGACTTCCACGTCGTCATCATGCCCTCCCTCGGCTTGTACGTATATGGTCTGTCTGCAGGTCGAATCTGTTGCTGCATCGGCGTGCGCGGGGGCATTTGAGTCTGGATAGGAGCTGGCTTGAGTGGGTACGAAGCCGGGTAGGAGCGCCGGTCGAATACCGGAACGGGCGGAGGCGGAGGTCTGACAGTGTCCATGAAGTTGCTCTTGGGGTTGTTTCTTCGTAGCGCCAAGTTCTCCGTATACTGCGGCTTTGCCTCGGTCGATGGTTTTCCAAGATAGTACCAGAGTCGATTCTCCTTGCTAAAATCAATCTTGGGAGCTCTCCGAGTAACCTCCGGCGCAGTGTGCCACTCGGCCCATCTTTGTTCAGAGTTGGGATCATGGAATGGGTCGCCAATCTCTGGAACACCATCCGTGCGGTTGGTAATGTCCAGAGATGCGTCGCTTTCTTTGAGATGCTCGGGGAGTGGCTTGGCGTTTGCGGATGGCTTGAGGCGCTGCGATTCTTCAGGATGGAGCTTCAGGATGTACTTCCACTCAACCTCCACACGGTCGCCATCCGGAAGTACATCGACCAGCGCAGACTGCTCGCCAGGCCGGTTCTCGACAACTTGTGCACCATAGATCTGGTACATCTCGCCTCCAACATACTGGAATTGGATGACGTCCATGGGCTTCAGCGTCTTGCCATAGTTCATGACGAACTTGTCCTTCTCCAATGACTCGACATCAACAGTCTTGTTATTCCTCTTCTTCGGCCGGTGGAAGCGACATCGGAAGTCATATCCATCATAGAAGTACTCAGTGCCCTCCTCGTCAAACGTGGGCATGGGACCAAGATCGACCTGCACACCAGCCGCCACAGCGCAAGTGGCGTGGAAAGCCCTAGTGCATTTCTTCTGGGAACACTGGAAGACCGCGCCACGTTTCGATCGACAATAGTTACACTTGAGCTCGAGACGGTCCTTGCCGATATTGGCGACATTGCATACTTTCTCGTTTGGCTTCGAGGATATCCACGTCTCTGGAGTGTAGTCGGCGCAAATCCTATGGGCCTTCATACCGTTGTCCGTTGGCAGGAGTTCGTCGTATTCGACATCGTTGGGGCACAAAATACACGGCATGCCTCTACCCGGTATCTTAAGGCGGATTCGAATGCGCTTCAGCTTCTTGGGTCGCGGCGTTTCTTGAACCTCGTCGTTTGCTCGCTTCCTCTTGTTTCCTGGTTTCCTGCCAGGCTTCTTCTTGGGCTTACCGACAACGCTGGGTGGAGGACTGGGAAGAAGGTCCGCACCGTCCTCATCATCTTCGTCGTCCGTTTCTTCGTAGTATTCAGGTGTTGGTTCACCCCTCAGTTTGCGCTCGATTTCGTTCACATCAACCCAGACACTGTCCGACTCGCAGTTGCACTTTTTGGCAATTCTTCCGTAACTCAACCAAGACTCGTTCGCGAAGTTGACCGACTCAGCGCAATTGTAACCAATGTTGTAACCGGAATGGTATCCATACGGATACGTGATGACGAACTCGCCCTCGTAGTGAACCAGCCGATTGACCTTGATGTTGAAGTCCTTCTCCAGTCGCTGAGGAGAGATCAGGTAAGTCTTGTGTCGCAAGAACTGAGAGCAGTGCTTTGCGTCATTCGGCCAGATGCTCTTCATGGCAGCCTCGAATCGTCGCGCATCTTCCTGCGAGATGCTGTACCACTGCTTGGGGGCGCCGAAGTGGATGTAGTTGATGCTGTAAAGATCCACGTCCTCCAAATGCCAGGCAAATGTAGCCTTCCACATGCCTAAGTAAAGGTATGCAGTATTGACACCCGGGACTTTTGTACCAAGAACATCGAGTAGGTTGGGGAGCTTCGCAACGTTCCACGAAGTTGTCCGGTCGTCGAACAGCGAGCCTGGCATATCAGCGCCGTACATGGGCTGGCCGTAGTTGATGGTCTTCCAGTAGTTGTCTTCGAGTTCCTTGCATCGCTCAACCGTGTATTCCTCAAGGCCTTCCAGGTGATAGTCAAACTCGTCAAAGGCTTCTTCGTCAATGTAATCTGCGACTGCACCTCTGTTGTTCAGACGGCGAGACGAAACGGATTTCTTCTGGTCAATTTTGGGCTGGCGACCACGTGCTTTTGTCGGTGGTGCATCATCCTGGTCCTCTTTCTTGACTCGTCTCCGCGTCGTCCTCTTCTCCTCCCTGCCTGGCGAGGTGGGCGTGGGAGGAACGTCGATGGAATCGGCGTCATCATCCTCGTCTTTCTTCTCAGTCTTGGTCTGACGTCTGCGAGGGCGTCCGGGTCCACGTTTAGGAGCATCGTCAGTCTTCGTGGGGGCGGCCTGAGCTCTTGTGGAACGCGTCCTGGACGGTGCTTCTGCAGCAGCTTTCCGGCGCTCGCCTCGCTTTGCCGGGGGTTGATGATGCGGCTCGTCGGTAACAGCCCGCCATTCAGGCAAGTTGTATGAGCGCTGCTTCTCGATGTTCGCTTGGGTGTAGATACCGTGCTGGCCGGCGAATTCTTGCATAATGGGGTTCTTGACTTTGATCGACTTGATCTGTTCGCTGAGGTCGGGAAGGGCGTTGCGCCTGCGTATGGTAAGCTACAAGCTGTCTGAAGGGTATCGCAGCAACGACTTACCAATCGTCAGGCGGAATGACCTTCACAATGCCAGACTTCATTCCGTGCTTGTCAATCTTGTCGATGAATCTCTTGAAATTGCGGAACTGGTCCATGGTCTACCCAGACAGTCAGTACCCTTGCACGTCCAACGCACCCATCTTGAAGCCATTCTTGCGCGCCAATCTCCCTCGGCGCACACAGCAAGACGACGTGCGCACGGCATTGCGACATACCGGCTTGAACACTGGTATCTTTCCGCCCTCGAAATAATGGTCAGGCTCGATATCCTCGCCATCGTCGCTGTCAATATCAGATAGCTCTGACGACATCCTCTCGTCTCTCTTGTCGTTGTCTTCGCTCGTCGGCGGCGTCAGGGCAGCTTTGGCGGCGACGTCGTCATGGTGAGTCGTCGGCGTGGATGCTGTCTCCACCGACGGCACGACTTCTGTCAGGGCCTCCATTGCGAAGGAGCCTTGTGCGAAACGTGTCGGTAACCTCGGGGTAGGTGTGAAGCGTGTTGGTCGCCTCAGGGTAGGTGCGAGACTAGCTGCTATGGCAGTTGAGCGAAGTCGGGCGCCACCGCAGTCGCCACCAAATAAAACGGCGCAACGACAATTTTACCGTCGGCGCATCGACGTCGCGGGGTGCGTGAAATGACGGGGAATCGTTTCACGGGGTGTGAGTGACAGGCAGGGTGTTGGGCGTGTCGGGAGGGCCAAAGGCGAGAACGAGGAGGTTCGAGCCTGCCAAGATGAGCTAGATTAATCCCGGTCTACCTCGCCTGATCATCACTCCATCACTACACTTCCAGACGCAATCAAGGTGGATTATTCGTGCTGGAAAAGGGCTTAGAGTAGATATATGCTTCTGGGAAGTTGTAGTATTCTGCTTTTTTAGTTTCTCAGGTGTATTTAAAGACCAGCTGGTCTCACCCCCCTAAATCGCCGACTTTGATGAATTTCCACATGCACGTCATTCTATGCAGTATCATCTAGCAATCTGCACCTCCATCTTATCAGATGGAAGCCTTGCCGTTCGCAGATCAAAGAACTCACTCACTGCATGACGCCTTTGCCAGAAATCAACTCACCTGACCTAAGCATATTCTCGATCCCAAAAACACTGCACATCAACAACATATCTGTAATCTTCACCCAATGCTCACAACTCCCCAACAGACCTTCACCCGCTATAAACTCTACGCCGCAAAATACGTAGCAGCGTGACATGCGACACACCCAATGAAGTTTTTTGCATCGAAACAATCCACTACACTCATCCACCCGCTCGAAATATATATATGCGTCCCCATTCTATCTCCTATCGACATCCACTCCAGTGATAAACCCCCCGTTCATGCGCCCACCTCAAAGCCTACTCACTGCCCAATCTATCGACATCAACAACACATCACATCACGCTCGAACAAGCCATCAGTTTCTCAATGAGCGAACACACATAAACGCACCACTCTCTCTATCTCTCTCTCACCCTAGCCTATTCTCCTACCCCCGCAACTCATCCCATCCAACGCACCTCCAAACCAAGCCCATCAAGAACCCCCCGCCTATCAGCCAGAAACCATCCATCCCCGTGCCGCACTGTGCCGTTCCTGCATATGTACACCAGCATCACACCATCCAAGCAATGTCGTGCAGTAGTCTAACCGTAGCGGAAAAAAACTCCCCCCCAAGTCATTTTTAATTCCCCGAGCTTCCGATCCCCAAACTCCGATGCTCCCGCCGCCAACGCCTCCACATTGCAACTCCACACTTGCATCTCATCTCCACACTTGCATCTCCACTCTTCTCGGCATCAGGGCCATCCAGTCAGGGACGAGGAAGCCCTCTTCCCCAGTCCAATCACTCAATCACGAAACAACAATAAGAATGTCAGATTCAGCATCGAGCAGAAACGAAAAAAAAAGTCACAGTTGCACAAAAGATCCATGATTTACAAGCTCATAAAATTCGTATTTCTCAAGCGCCAGATCGTAACCCCCCAGAAAGACCATGAATATAGTACAAGGCCCATGCCCGAAAGATCCGACGCTCCAACGCTATGCAGTGAATGAGATGAGGCTGTACATTTGCTTCGTAAGCTGGGTTTTTTGTTTTTGTTTGGTGTGGTGTCTGTCGCTCAAACGCCCTAGAGCTAGAAAGGTACACATGTTCCAGCAACCCAAGAAGAGGTTTGCGTAGAACCCAGTCCCTTCGTATGCTCAAGGTAAGTTGATATGAAGACGGTCATGGAGCGTCTTACGACGTCGGCGTCGGCTCGCCACGGGGAGCGCCACGGAAGCCGCCTCGACCCCGGAATTCGCCGCGGAACTCTCCACGACCGCGTCCTCGACCGCGGTAGTCGCCTCGGGGACCGCCTCGGCCCCTGCCCCTGTAGCCTCCACGCCCCTCGCCGTGATGTTGTCCGCCTCGTCCTCGACTACCACGGTTGCTCTGGACCTCGTGGAAGCCGTCGGTGCCAGTCGCCGCAGCAGCAGGCGCCGCTACCGGCTCGGGAGTGTCATCAGCCCAGCTCTGCGTGCTAGTGACAGGGGCAGCTACGTGTGGAGTCTCAGTCTCAGCGGGGTCTCGCGGAACGATTTCGAAGGACTCCGAGAGAGGATCGTCTTGACCACTTGGCTGCTTGTCCCACTGCTCAGTCGCTGCAGCGTTCGCAGCCTCTGGCTCAATGCTCGAAGCCGCCGGGGCGGTGGGGGTCTCGGTCTCTGCAGTTCCGTCAACAGCTGTGGCACCGGCATCGATCTCCGTGAGTCCAGCGTGAGCAATGGTGGGGTCAGAGCCATGCTCTGGTGACTGTGTCTCAGGAGGAGCGGGCTGTGACTGTGCCACCTCGTCGACCCAGGCCTCCTCGGCGGCGAAGGGAGCTTCCTCGAGCGCAGACTGCTTGACCTGGGCGTCTGATGTCATGTCAGCTTGTGGGTCAGTGTGGCAGTGATGTAAACGTACATGTAACGTTCAGAACCACACCCTCTGTGTTGGGAACACCATCCTCCGTGCCGTCAATGAGCTTCTCTGCGGCGAGCACAGCGCTGGCGTCACCTCCATATACCTGCAGCAGAGCGCCCTCAAAAGCCTTGGTAAGGTCCGAGTCGTCGTCTCCAAGCTGGCGTCGAGCAGCGGCAGCCCTCAAGAAGCGGGACAGAGTGAGGAGCTTCTCGCGGACGGCCTTCTTCTGCTCAATAGCCGCCTCAGACTTCAGCGTCTCCTTCAGCGCCTCGAGTTCTCCAGAATGTGACTTGGAAAGGATCTCCTTCTGCAGCTCCTTCTCGCGAGCAATCTTCTCTTGGTACTCCTGGTCGAACTTCTTGTACTGCGCGATCTGCTCCTCGAATTGGGCAAGCTGGCTCTGGAGACCCGGCTTCCTCTCAGCCTGCGCCTTCTGGTCAGGGTTGATCTTGCGGGATGCGAGGAGGTCATCAAGTGAGATGCCGGGATTCGCTTCGACTATGGAGTCGACCTTCTGGGTAGCATTCTGAATAGGTGTAAGCTGTGGGCTACGACAAGGCTAGTATGGAGTAGTCATCTTACCAGCTTCTTGTTGATGTTGCGAATGTTCCTACACACATTCAGATCAGCAAATGACTCTCGTCTTGAGCAGTGACAAGCTCGCGACTCACTTCTGGAGCTCTCTAATGTACGAGTTCTCGCTGTCACCACCATTGGCCTTTCCTGCTGGGTCAGAGCCGCCTGCGCCAGCCTCCGAAGACGTCTGCTCAGGCGCGGCTGGAACAGCGGTGGCATCGCCCTTGGACTTCTTCTTGCGGGCGCTCTTTGACTCGCCAGTCACCAACGTTTGCAGCTTCGCAACGACTTCAGAAGCCATTTCAGTGTGGGATTTGGGGTTTGTTTGAGAGTTGAATAGGATTTACGCGTGATTCGCGAAAGAAAGAGTGGGTTTGATGCGGGGATGGATTGTGGTGCTGGTTGTGCTGTAGCAGTATGGTCGACACGAGGGGGCTCCTGCTCCACGTACGCCAAGGCTCGCGTGGGGCGCGCTGAGGCCCATCGAAGCTGCCAGATCGTCTGCGGGCGGGCATCAAGCACGCTTTCTCGAGGATTATGGACGCCCGAGCTGATTTTCACTAGGGTCATGCTCCAGCTAAGCTCTTTTCCGGATGCAAAGCGTTGGCAGAATGCAAGATTAGCATATGTCTGCTGGCTTCAACACAATAGGAAGCGGATATTCAGCCAGTATTCACACCTAGGAGCACTATTCGACAGCGAATCCCAATGCAATCAGGTAATAGTTTTCAATGCGATCTAAGGTGTGACACAACAATGCCTCCGGAGGTAACACGCTGGTCACGATCTTGGAGTTGCTTTTCAAGATGAGCCTTAGAAAAAACAACCCTATGATCGCAGGGTGGGTAGACATTCTTGTAACAAGTATCCGCCCAAACAAATCGATATCGGGCAACGAATAAACTGTGTTCAACTCTTCAAAGGTCAATGAGAAAGGCTTGAGGATAGCATGTCATCCCAGTCAGTGGGCGGTGTAACATCTTCCCCGCAATTCGCAATCAGCGTCACTCATCAAGTACGCCTATGTGTGGGATGAATACGGGCGTGTTACTAGTTGAGGTGTGGTGTTCGTACAAGGCGTAGGCTATAGGAATGGGTGTCCAGACCATAGCCATGATTGCGAGGTTGGCATCGACTTGATTGAGAACGGCCGTAGACTCTGGAGGAAACCGTACATTGTGCAATGGCTATCAACGGAAGCGTGTGTAGATCTATATTTGAGGTTAGTTGTGAACTTTCAGATGCTAGTGCTGAACCGCAATGTCTATATGTGCGTTAGGTACGTACCTCAGTGCTCTTGCGATGTAGTGCGTGATGTTGCTGGCTGCCACTCCACTACACAAAAGTCCCTTATCCAAGACAAGATCTGCACTGCTATAGATGTGTGAGTGTTGTCGACGGTCGGGTGATTCCCACAAATACGAGGAGTTGCCAGCTAGACTTGACTTCCTAACCAGCCTCAGGAGTGAGTGAGGGTTCACACGACTACGAATGTTGAATCGGTTCCCAATACGTCCGTAATCGCTCCAGGATGAGGTTCAATGACTGTGTTACGATGAAACTAGGCAGAACCGGAAGACGCGTATCGTGTGGAAAGAAGAGGAACACTTCAAGGACACGACACTGAAGACACCATCTGGTAAGTGAGATTGTTCATGACGATATACTGCATGCTGTGTGTCATGTTTGCATAGAGATTAGCCGTGGCTAAACTATTCCGAATGTTCTTTTGCGTGTTCAAGTGCAAGAAGTGGAGTTTGTTTGTTTCTACTTCAGCTGTGGCCCTGTTAAGAACAGGTGATTTAACCCACCAAGACCAGGCTTGATCCTCAAACGCCAATGATGTTTACCATCCTGGAATGAATACGTAATTCCTCACCATATCAGTTGCAGTGGTCAGAATTGGAGAAGGCGCCAGGATAATTCAGAATCGAGTGAGAATGGCAAAGCAATATGAAATGTGTGTGGACCCTCTCTGGAAATTGGTGGTCGGACTGATTGTCCAGCGGGTAAGGCAAGGCAGACGAAACGACAGCCTTGGTGTGACTGGCTGCTGATAATGTGGGGGAGGGCATGTCACATGCCACACTGTCTCGGTTGGTGGTCATGGGGTTGACCTTGCGAAGGTGTGGAGGCGTGATCAGTACAACCAAGTATCAAATAGACACATTTGAGACGAGAGATGTGTGGAGCAGTGCCTAGCTGAATGTGATGTTGTTGTTGATGTTGTTGCATGCATAGGCCGCGGCTCCAAAACTGCATCAAAAGTAAACCGGCAGACTGAACTCGGATTGCTAGATGGGGAAACTCGTTGCAAAGACCAGACGTTCATGACGTTTCGTGATTGCGGATGCATGTACACAGTAAGAGCATAGCTAGAGGGATCCTGCAGCCTTTGAAGACAAGCTTTGGACGACATGCAACTGGACAGCTTCGAGCGGAACTAGTGCATGTCCTGCATATTTCTTGGTCCACAGAGCGTGATAGCCTGCAGCTAAATATTGATAAGAGCAAACAACTACCAGGCTGGTAGATACGAACTGGAGCAGAGAAGACAGGCTTTTTGTGCGGGATGATCGCGGGTTGCTGCACGGCTGGGAGGTGGGGAAACGGACATGGCGTCGAGGGACAGGGTGATTCGTCGAGTGTTTTTGGGCCTAGCCCGTTCTGCACTGAGCCTTCTTGGCACGAATCAGCATAAGACATTGCGTTCTGCACGTGTGCTCTCAGGTGACCTTCTCCTCTCCCAGCATCAACTTGAAGGCAATCGCGCTGAAGCGGGTCTCAAGCAATATCGACAAATCGAGGTATGGTGCCTTTCTCTACAAAATCTGCATGTAGCCGGCAGAATCAGATATCCAAAGCTCTCGCAATTCTGTGGTATCTATCGTTGTTCATGACTTACTGATAGTCGAAGGACTCACGTGTCTGCGAACAAGCGGCCGAACATCAAGCACCAGGTACGTGAGCTCGTCTCTCTTCACAGCACGTCGAGTCGTCGTCATGTCGTTCGACAAAGCGGGACCCCGAGCCTCGACAGCATGCGATCCGCTTGCGACCACCGCGTCTGCCTTCCAGCGGTCGTGGTTGCCTCTGGCAGGTCGCTGGCTGTCCCGCACGTCTTGACGCGCGCATTCACGACGAAACGCAACACGACGACCTTGTGCGCCGCCTACGACCCGCATGTTCGCACGATACGACGGCTCCCGTTCGAGCAGTGACAGCTTGGTCTTACAGCGACTGGCAATCGGTGCGATTAATCGCTTGCCTGCCTGCTGGCGCTGCGTCGCACCACCTTCACGTACTCACCTGCCCGCGCCCGTGCTAACGTTTGTCGTCCCCCCAGGAGTCTGCGTCGCATGAATACTGGAGCAACTCGGCATAGCGACTGCGCGTGAACCAGTGGACTGCGTGCCGCCTTTCCCCGCCTGTGTGGTTTGCGCCTTCGACTCCAACTTCGAGCGCGTTCTCTCTCGCGCGTTCTCTCTCCCACCCCGCCCACTCCACCCTCCAACCCAGGCCCTGCAAATAGACACTGCTCTATACCCACGACAGAGCTCCCGCTCATCATTGGTACGCCTACTGTTTAGGACTTGAGCAACCATCTAATATCACGTCACCACACGAGGACGCCTCGAGGACCATGGCTGATACTGCTGGCTATCCTGTCGACGGAAAGTTGGGCTCTCACGACTCTCATCACACAAACAAACGCAAGCGGGACACCCGTGACCACGGCCATATACGACCCAATCCCCACGTGAACGACATGACTGATCAGGCTACTGCCTCGTTCCTTGCTGCGCACAACGCTGCCGACGACGACATGCAGCAACAGTTTGACGTTCACCAGACTGGCGCCAACACCGCAAGCGTCGGCGACACCGCTGCCGCTGCGCTTGCCTATCATCAGATGACCGTGCCTCAGGCGACTGAGCTGCAGTTCCAGACACAGACTGCGGCAGACGGTTCCTTTAGCATGGGAGATCACCATCAGCAACAGGGCATGCAAGACTTCAGCCTCGAAGCTTTGAAAGCAGCCACACAGACAGGTAGAGCAGGTCAAGTATCTAATAATGATTCGCCGCCACAAAGCACCACTCTCAAGCCTCAAGTTGGCTCTGACGAATGGCATAAAGTCCGGCGTGACAATCACAAAGAAGGTGAGTTGACGTGAGCTATTTGTTGGAAGATGACGTGACTGACACAATGGCAGTTGAACGCCGCCGTCGAGAGACAATCAACGAAGGTATCAATGAGCTGGCAAAGATAGTGCCGGGATGTGAGAAGAACAAAGGGTCGATCTTACAGCGTGCTGTCCAATTCATCACCCAGCTAAAGGAGAACGAGCAACAAAATATCGAGAAGTGGACGCTCGAGAAGCTGCTGACAGAGCAAGCCATTACCGAACTTAGCGCCAGTTGCGACAAGTTCAAAGCTGAATGCCAACGGGCCTGGGAAGAATGCCAAATCTACAAACGCACATGTGAAAACAACGGCATCATTCCGGAAGAAATCAAAGACCGCGAGAATAACGGCGAGCAGTCTGGGTCAAGCTAATTCTGACCAATGTTAGCTCTCGAGGAGGTTTAATTGTTATGCGGCCGTGTGCCTGTTTGTTGATCGTCGTTAGCTCGACAAAGTTTCTCTATGGGATCTGTCTGTTCTCTTCTTCCACTTTACGACATTTGTTGATTCTCATCCGGCGTTGATGAGCGGTGGCATCACTCATTTGATAGGCGTGGACCTGTTTATGCAATGTTCGCATTTTGGCGGTGGGAGGTGCGATGTAGGTGTCAGAGCCTCTTGCGTGTAGAGGTAACGGAGGCCTTCTTGTTTCTTTCGCAGCTTCAGTATATGTGTTTCGAGAAGCAAGGACGTGTTTTTTCTAGGTTCGGACGAAAGTCTGTATGAAGTTATCTTGCACACACAGCCATTGCTGGCGCTTGAATGTGAGCATGCTCCTATTTCTACGATCCTCAATTTGATGTCTTGACCGTACCATGTTAGTGTGAAGACAATAAATAAACTGTTGATCTACCGCAAACATAACGAAGCTTGACACGTCGTGGCACGCGCATCAAAGGGCAGAAGCTGTAGTCGTGTGATTGCTCGAGCTTCATTGGCCAACACTGCAACCCACGTCCAACTCGACGTGCGGCGCAACTGCCTCGATCGCGGGTTAACCACGTTCTCCACATTCCTTCACTCTGCGTCCGATACCCGGAAACAATTAGTCACGAATAGATTGTGGTATCTGCACTAGACATGGTGACTTGGGCAAGATTTCGCCGCCAACACATCGACCCTCCACCCAATACTCGGCACAAGCTGCTATGGAACACAACAACGTGCCAGACGCCTCACTCGTCCCCCCGGTAGTCGATGAGGCCGAACTTATTGGCAACTCGAGCGCCGACATTCCCGTGTTCGAGGCAGAGCCCGAAGAAGAGCTGAACCTGTCACTCCACGCCGCAGGGCAGCAGGGACTCGTCAATGGAGAAGCCAGCGGGCTCGCAAACCAAACCGAACCTCCACTGACTTTCTCGTCGCGTCCTGGTCTCCAGCGAGGAACCTCGGCTCCTCATCCCGCACCACTACACTTGCCTCCTCCAGTTCCCAGTGCCCCGCCGCCAGATGCCCCGCCAACCGACTCGCTCTCCCTGTCGCAGCTGCAGAACCTCGTCCGAGAGGCACCCAAAAGCGAGCCCACGCCATACGCCTTCACATACGATGACGCGTCATCTTTTGAGGAAGAGTTGGAGGAATGGTTTTCGTACGCCGTCGAGGAACAGGCTATGCTGCTGAAGGCGCAAGCGTCGTTTGCGCTGGAGTGGACCGCTTTCAATGGCCTGAACGAGACATCATACACGGAAGGAGGACTGGATTGGAACAGGTCAGACAGGTCCCAACACAAGAACTTCTTAGAGCATCTGCTCGAGGAGATTAAGCAGACGGACCCTGTCTCGAGGCTGAAGACGCTTGAGGCGTTAGTGTACGTTCTCCTGGGCTGCTGGCACGAAACCGCTGGACGTCCTTCTCCCAGCGTAAACGGCGAGCCAACATCAGGACGAAGCTCGAGTGCACACAACACATCCGCTGCAGCTTATGACAAGTCGGGTCAGCAGGCATCGTTGATTCGACAAAACGTCTTGTTACTGGCCGAGAGTAACGGTATTCAGACCCTTGTCGACGTACTGCGCTCGTCATGTCTGAGGGCCTGTGGTGTTGACGTTGTACCGGATGCTCCGCGCGAAGGCAAAGAAGCGGAGCGCCGCGAAGTCTGGTGTGCCATGACGGCAGTCTACGTGGTTTTGGAAGTTGCGCGTACACAAGAGAAGGCAGAGAGCGACTTCAGCCTCAGAAGCACCATCCTGTGTCTTGAAAAACCTGGCCTTCTTATGTTGCTTGTTGAATTGATATCGAAATTGCGATGGGATGAGTCCATCACCCTGCCCCTCAGCAAAGTCTCCTTGCTTCTATGGAAAACGGTTCTGGTATGCTTTGGCGGCATTGCTGAAGCTGAGAAGGCGAAAGACTCTTTCAAAGACAAGACGCTCGAGTCTGCGGATGTCAGAGGACAGCCCATCATCACTGCATCGCCTCTCGATTACCATCTTTTTCGACAGGAGATCAGCTCAAAATACCCAGCCTACAACCCTCCGCCTCCATTCTTTCCTCTCGAACCCGAAAACAACTCCATCCTCCCACCCCTGAAAAATCACCCAAATAAAGTAGCTGGCAATCATGTTTTCGGATCTGGGCTTGGGGATCTGAGTGGAAATATCAATTCGATTCTCCATCAACCTGTTCACATTGCGACTCCAGCGCCATCGCCTCCTCCCTCGCCGGCAGGTCCAGGTGGTAAGGGCGGAAAGAAGCAAAACTATCAGACGAACCAGATGTTTCCATTCCTATATCCTCCACTAGATGAGTCGAGCAACAAACTAGGGGGCAAGGGGTCCACCGATTTGCAAGACTTACTCGTTGGACGGAAGTGGGAAGGATCTGATATTCCAGCCTCGATCCTAGAAGCTGCTGATCTGTTTGCAACGCGCATGAGGGCTACGCGCGCTATGAAGCAGCTCTGGGAAGAACGCGTGGCTTTCATGAAATATGAGCGAGGCTGGATGGGGGCAGACGATGACAACGATATCGATCATTTGTCTCTGGAGCCGAAGCAAAACGTGCCCAAGAAAGACCCTCATCCAACAGGAAGTGTGCAGGAGAGGATGGAGCTTGTAGAAGAGTTCTATGTAAGTGGATTGACAAGGTCTAGGTGTTGCAAGCTAACAGTGCCAGCGTAATGCGTTGCCCAATCTACAGTCTATGATCATCGTACTGATCAAAGCCATCCTGTCACATGTTACTGCGCTTGTTACTCAGTCAAGTGGGGCCAACGGCCTGCAGAGCGGTTTCCAATACCAAGACAATCAAACCGGAACGACAAACGGAAGACCCGACATGAACGGAGTCAATGGTCACGGTCGCACTGTAGCTACGAATGAGGAGCTGGATGCTATGCGCACTCAGGAAGTCCTTGACAAATCAGTCACTGGAACACTCATTCTTATCTTGAAGTGGTTCAAGGTTTCTCGTGAGTAGTAGAGTCGACTTTTGGAACATCGACAACTGACATGATAATCATAGACATCCTGAAGTTCGAGTACATCACGCAGCTACTCGTTGATTCTAGTTATGTGCCTCTGATTCTGAAGTTATTGCAGCTGCAAGAGATTGAGAAGATTGTCAATTTCAAGAGTGAGCAAGAGGAGCTGAAGTATGTGAGCAATGCTAGATTTGATATCACCTACTGACTGGTACAGTTTCTTCAACTTTTGCCGAGCTCACTCGCGAAATGCACTGGAGGAGGAAGAGGAAGAGAAGGTAGAGACTAAGCAGGATGCCGACTCGGACTCGGACGAAGCAGTCCCACCTCCCATTCGCAAGTTACGGGAGGAAAACAGGGCCGACTCCGAAACCGATCCCTCGCGTCTACCAATAGTGTCGCAGCCTCCAGAAGTGGATGAACTGGGATTTCCCACAAACGAGCTACCCAAAGAACCCATCACAAACTTCTCCTGGAGGGCATTCTTCACCTCGATCAACTATCTGCGAATTATGCAGAAGATCTGCAAGAACAAAGCACACCGCAACCTCATGCTTGTGTCGTACAAGTCGTCCCAATTTCTTCGCAAGAGCTTGAAGGTGCCGCAACCAGAACTTCGTCTGTACACGCTCAAGCTGTTCAAGAATCAGGTTCCCTATTGTGGCAGAAAGTGGCGACAGTCCAACATGCGAGTTATCACTGCAGTATATCTGCACTGCAGACCGGAGCTCCGAGACGACTGGCTAGCCGGTAGCGACGTCGATGCTGAAGTCGACGAGAGTGTGCCACTCGAACAGGCCCTACGCTCATTGACACACTGGCACAATCTGAAGCGCTACCCCGAGAGTCTAGGCGCGAAGCCCGGCATCTTGGAGGAAGAGCACGACTTCTTCCGCAACGAGCTCGAGAAGATGGATTGGGGCGATGAGCTTGCAAACGACGCCAACTACGAGCAGGGGTGGCAGGATCTGCAGGTCGAGGGTTGGTGAGCTGTGTGTGCACATCGTCCTGGTATCTTAATCATCGCGCTCACTGTTCCCTGATATTGCGGCTGGAATTCCCCTTTAACTTGCTTGATTAGATGCGTACGACCGTAGTTCCTTTCTTGACCACCCGAAGCTCAAGGTCCATCGACGACGGAATGCTATAAGAGGAGGTCGAGTCATCAGGCCTACGATATATCAGCGCGCCGCGCCGAGGACGTGGCCTGGCGGGATAAGAGCGCAGCACTATAGAGAAACGGATATTCGCGGTTTGCTCGATCAGCTAATTATTGCGAGTGGGGAAGATGACGATAGCGATGGTGATAGTGGGAAGGTGGGTAGTTTGAGTATGGGTTGTTTTGGCTGGATGAGGACGGGTAGGAGGATGCAGGAGCGCGCGCGCAGAAGGACTATGGGGGCTGACAGTAGAGCGGAGACTATTTAGCTGGTCTTGCTGTGGTCAATCCAACCATGTCACGATGAATGGCTTGGCACATGATGTGTGTTGTCAGATGCCGCGGTGTATGATTATTCTACAATACCTAAGTGTGTCCATGGCTACATCAACACGTGCTTCGACTGGGTGTTTTCACGAATGCACCAATCACCATCTTGAGCATCCGGCTGACTTCCGAGCCAGGTGGCCAAAGAAGAAATGCGGCCCGGGTTGCCAGAGTCGGGTGTAGAATACCCCGAGATCTAACAGATCCCCGCATAAGCTTGGAGCTTGGACGACTCGCGGCCGCATACAAGGCGTCGGCGTCTGCTTTGCTGTCGCTCGTAAGCCATTTTTCTGCTTCTGCTTGTATTTTGCGGTGTTCATCGTTTGGGACATTCTGTGAATACTATATTCTTATCTTAGTTTACACATCAAGACATTGGCAAGATGGCAAAGGTGTTTGACTACGCAGAGGGTTAGTTGCGCTCCCCCGTTCGCATGTATGTATCTAATGTGTATCCAGTTGCAAAGCACAACACGCCCGAGAGCTGCTGGGTGGTCCTCTACGGCGCCGTCTACGACGTAACCGACTTCCTGTCCGAGCACCCCGGCGGCTCCAAGATCATCCTCCAGCTCGCCGGCACCGACGCCACGGAAGAATACGACCCCATCCACCCGCCAGGCATCCTCGAAGAGAACCTCAAGCCCGAAGCCAAGCTGGGCACAATGAACGCAGACTCGCTGCCGAAGGAAGAGCAGACCCCCGTGCAGGCGGGCGAAGTGCAAGACGACGGGCCCGTGGACCTCGACAGCCTGCTGAACCTGCAGGACATCGAGGATGTAGCGACGAAGAACATCAGCCACAAGGCGTGGGCGTACTACTTCTCCGCCAGCGACGACCTCTGGACAAAGCAGAACAACGGCGCCGCTTACCGCAACATCCTGCTCCGCCCCCGCGTCTTCGTCGACTGCGTCCCCTGCGACACCTCGACCGCGCTCCTCGGCCACAATGTAAACCTCCCCATCTACGTCTCCCCCGCCGCCATGGCGCGCCTCGCCCACCCCGACGGCGAATGGGGAATCGCCCAGGCCTGCGCCAAATACGGCGCCCTGCAAATCATCTCGCAAAACGCGTCCATGACGCCCGAGCAGATCGTCGCCTCCGCCGGGCCGACCCAAATCTTCGGCTGGCAACTCTACGTGCAGAACGAGCGGGCGAAAAGCGAAGCAATGCTATCCCGCATCAACGCCCTCGACGCTGTCAAATTCATCACCTTGACCCTCGACGCCCCCGTCCCGGGGAAACGCGAACACGACGAGCGCAGCAAGAACGTCGGCTCCACACTCCCCGTCCGCGCAGCAGTCCACGACACAAACCTCAGCAAAACATCTCCCGACCCCCAGCCCCCGAAGAAACAAATGGGCCTCGGCCAATCCCTCTTCTGGGGCACAGCCGCTGACCTAACATGGCGCGCCACTCTCCCCTGGCTCGCGCTGCACACGAAAAAACCACTCGTGCTGAAGGGTATTCAGACACACGAAGATGCTTATCTGGCTTCCCTGCATGCTCCGCAGGTTAAGGCGATTATCCTGTCCAACCACGGCGGGAGAGCACTCGATACCGCGCCTCCCGCGGTCCACACGCTGCTTGAGATCAGGAAGTACTGCCCTGAAGTGTTCGAGCGCGTGGAGGTCTGGGTCGACGGCGGGATTAAGCGCGGGACGGATGTGGTGAAGGCGTTGTGTCTTGGGGCGAGGGGGGTGGGGGTTGGGCGTGCGGCGCTGTTTGGGCTCGGGGCGGGGGGGAAGGAGGGCGTGGGGAGGGTGCTGGAGAGTATGTTTTCCGCTTTCTTTTACTCCCGTTTTCTTGGTGTGAAGGTGGATGTTGGTAGGGTGTCATGTGCTAACGCGAACGATAGTTCTCAAAGCCGAGACGGAGACGTGCATGCGGCTCCTGGGCGTTGAGCGCGTGGATCAGCTCGGTATGCAGTATATCAACACAAGGGCTGTCGAGCGCGATATTTATGATGGGCCGGCGCTGGAGAGGGGTCTTGTAAGGGCGAAACTGTAGGTTCTGGTATTCAAGATGGGGAGTTTGTGTGCTTTCTTGATGGCGCGGCGCAGATATGTGGACTTTTTCTGTGCTTGGGGCGGGTGGTGGTGTTGTTTTTATGGGATATGCGTAGAGGGCTGGCGTAGAGGCGCACTGGCTGATCTACTTCCATCTTTACCACCACGTCGCTTTGCTTGATCGGCCCAGAGATATACAAAGCCTGGTGCGAGTCTCAAATGCTAGAATCGCCGCGGATGTGTTTGCAGGTCCCTCGACGCCGTTGATCAATCAGGGGCACAGGCACAGGCACGTAGTTCCCCCCCACACAACTGAGTGTTATATACGAATACGAATAGATCATATCCAACGAGGTGACTCGACATTTCGTGCAATCAATCAGGCTGATGTCAGATTTCCCGTCCATGGCTGGGCTACAAAGACCATGATGCCTGCAACTACTGTAAAGCCGTACGCGGATCGAAGTCCGGCATCAGTATCTTCAGAGCGGAGAGAATACATCCCAGCGAGCGTCTTCCATAATGTTGTAGATTCAGGATTGCTCTCCTGTCTTTTGTTGGGAACCAAGAACCACAATCTCCATTCCATTCCATAATTTTCTCGACTGCATCTGTGGAGATTCAGCAAATAGGAAGCGAGGGAATTTACAGATTAAGTATTGATGCTTCAGCGTATTTATGCAAACTGTAGAAATGCAGTCCTACGTAAAATCATACACAACCAACGCCTGACTACCCCCACTCTTCTGCCGCAGCACAACGACATTCTGCTCGTCGAAGCCAACCCACCCGCGACTCACCGTCGCATCGTCGAACCCACGCTGCGCGAGCGCAAAGCGCAGCCCGGAGTCCTGCGCCGTATCTTCATCAAGCGCGTCATTCGGCTGCGCGGGCTGGACTCTGACGCTGCACGGGGCGATGCGGGAGCGTCGTTTGTTTGCAGGTCGGCCCTCGAGATCCCAGACGCGCAGCTCGTCGCCCAGTCTGCTGACCGAGACGGCTTTGCCGCGCATGCCGACGTGGGCGCCGGAGATGGAGGACGTGTGGCCCCAGAGGCGGGTGCCGGGGCTGACGGAGAGGGTGGCTGTTGTGGATTTGACGAGGTAGAGCGTGAGGGTGTTGTCGGGGTGGGCGACAAGGAGGTAGGGGTGGGAGTATGAGGTTGATGTGGGGGGTGCTGGGCTTGTTGAGGGGAAGTCGCGGGGGGTGCCGAGGAAAGGAGAGGATGGTCGTGTCGAGGGCGAGGATGCAGAGCGCTGGGATGATAGAGTGAAGGAGGTGTCGTCCGCGGCGGTGGCTAGGCGCGACTCGAGGAGTTCTCCTGTGTGGGATAGACGTAGTTCTTGGACGCCGACGGTCCAACCGGATAGGTACGTGGGGATGGAGTATGCGATAGCGGCTGTCATACTGGTGGCTGTGGTGCGCAGGGAGAGCGATACAGGTGGCCATGCGGTGTGGGAGCGTAGGGAGTAGAGAAGGCGTGGTGGATCCAGCGTGTTGGAGCCGGCAGGTGGCTCTCGAAAGGCGTATAGGGAAAGCAAGTGTTCCTCGGTCATGGTTAGGAGGTATGGTGATGAGTATGCGAGCGCTGACAGCATTCCATTTGTCGAGGGAGGGTGTGTGAACAAGACTTCAAACTTGTTGAGATCCTTCCTTAGAGCGAATATCGAAAATGAGCCGTCCTCGAATCCCAGTACGACTCTTTCACAACGCTGTTCCTCATCACATACATCTGTATCTATCGCCATGGAAACTGGCAACTGGAGGGCATCTGTTTGAGCACTTGTGAGCATGATAGACGCGAGCAGTTCGCGCTGGTTCTTAGAGTTCCATGCCCTCAGTCCAGATATCGAATCGGCAGCGAAGACGGTACTGTTCGACATCATGACCAGCAGCGGAGGATCTGGAGATCGCTCAGAGACGACGATCTCGCTGACGGCGCATTGTCCCTGAGACCAGTTGTGTCGCAACCGATACTGCTGCTTCCAGTTTGTTTGGACTCCATCCTTGACAAGATTGCCATCATCCAGCCACTGGGACAGTCTCGAAGAATAGCGTAGTCGATCGGATGCGCCAGCGTCTCTGTTTCCGGGTATTCGCGATGCTCTTGGTAGAACGAATTTCTCATAGTATGCGGCTTTCCACAGTTCGGAGTCTACCGCAAGACCAGCGATCTTTTTAGAGACTCTACACTTGTCAGCGTATGTTGTGAGCGCAAGTCGACTCGTCATACCTTTGGCAAATTAGAAGCGATGCGACCGGAATGAACGACAGGATGCGCACAAGGAGTTCGTCGCTCAGTTTCGACAGCCTGTCAACTCTCGACACCCGGCGCACCTTTGACGCGTGCTCGCCGTCATCGCCCTCTTCACGCGATCGCTTCATCGTGAATCGTTGTGTTGAAGACGCATCAGACATCGAAGTCGAGGGCGTTATCGTCGTTATCGCCGCCGTCCGTGCGTTTGTCGTTACTCGTGATCACGCGTTGCTGTTAGCGTGTTTGCCACAAGGCAGCAACAGCAACATCCAGACAACATTGAGACAGCTCCAATCACTAAAGTTTACCGTCTATCTACAATGCAGTGCAAGTGAAATATGTCCGACTTTTCACAGTGGATAGAAAACAACAAGGCGCTCTGGACACGCGTATACGATGAGGTCATCGCGCCCGATCTCGAGAAGGAGTGGAAGCAGAGTGTGTATACTGAATGTAAATGATGACCATTGCTAACGACGCGTCAGGGGAGGACAAACACACAGAAGAGCTGAAAAATAGTATGCAGTCATATACTAGCCTTCGACGTCAGCTGACAGGCAGGCAGAGGATGAAAACCAGAGAGTTCTTTACAGGTGTATCAAAGAAGAAGCGGACAAGAACGACCGGCTCATCGCTGAAAATGAAGAGCTGAAGAAGCAGCTCCAGGAACCGACTGATATAGTCGCACCGACGTCTGATCCTGAGGGCGTAGACATTGAGAATTCCACCGTGTCTGCAGAAGAGTTCCGCCGCGTCGCTGATGAGTTGAACGACTTGCAAAAGAAGTATCGTGAGGTTGCTCTGAGAGCGAAGTATCTTGAGAGGAAAAACAAAGACGTCCTGCATAAAAATAAAGAGATGAAGGCCAGTGTGCATGCCTGGAAAGACTATATCGATCGCGAGGCAGAAAAACAGAAGCTCAAGAGCGAGGCCAGAACGGAAGGTGGCCAATTGCAAAAGTTGCTATCTGCGCCCCCCGAGGATGCTCGTCCGTGTATTCCATCCAGTCCAGGATCAGTCTCGACTGTTCGGACGCCTCGCTTTCTTGCCGACATGGAACGCCCCTCTCCTGGACCAATCGCTCCACTCGCACTTCAAGGAACAACAACCACATCCGCGACAACGCCCAATCAAGCGGATGACCGAAGTTCAAACGCCTCTCTGACGCCAAAACCATTGGGTAGAAGTGGATCTGTAGAGCAACCGAACACCGATGGCGATTATCTTCCTTCTGTCCACTTCCCTCAGGCTGTGTTTACAGGCCGGGACAATGAATTGCGCCTCCAAGCACGCTCCTACGCTGGCGTTCCAGGCTCGAGCCAAACCACTGTGGATGAGAATGTTGAGCAAATCAGACTCCCCCAGGTACCGGAGACCGAGGATGACGACATGCCCGAATTTGTCTCGGGGCGATCACTTAAACGAAAACGAGGACCATCCTCAAAATTCGAGGTGTTTGCCGACCACTCTTCCGACGGCACTCCCGTAAAACCCTTCCGGGTGAAGCAGGAGGTGCTCAGCAGTCCACCCAGTAAAGCACACACATTGTCGCGCAAGGAAACCGTCGATCTAGACGAACCCGCGCCCATCATACTTCGCACACCGCGTCATCCTAGAAGAAGCCTTGAAAGTAACTCAAACACAACGGGCACACTCCGCCACCAGAGGTCAACCAGTCTGCCTGCATCGCAGGCTATAAAGCCAGAGCGCGATGATGATAGTCGTGATGCAGAAGGGCATGCTGCTGTTGTTGGAGACGAGTCTGGGTTGTCCCACCTCACGGCTGCCGAACAACGAGCACTCAGCGAGCCATCAGGCCCGTTCCCAGGTGAGATTCTCGCACCCATCGATTCGAATATACCAGGAAATACGCCCGAACAATCATCCGCCAAGCGACTGAGGCGAGCAGAGACTCGACATCAAGAGAAGCACCGAATGCTTACCGAGTCTGGCGAAACGCCGCCTCCAATGGACGACAATGAAAAACAACTGGGACCACGCCTCGCTCGAATACAGTTCAACCGAAGACTACAAGCCGCCAAAGAAGCGAATTCGCCCGCCAAAAACATCCTCCAAACGCCCAAGGCAGGACCAGTCAAGATCAAAGTTGAGCAAACACTCACTCCTCCATCCAGCGCCTCTCGCTCCACAACTACTCTCTCAGGAGATCGTACTACGCCATCCAATCCGCGTCCAAACCCACGAGATATTTCCACTCCCATCGATCGTCCAATCTGGACACTGAAAGCCTCGGAGACGGGTTCGGGATCTCGGACCGGACGCGCCTCGCCCCCAGAAAAGACCAGTCCGCTTCGCAGAAAAAAAGTCACTGAACTCAAAGTTCACGATTTCAAGCCCAATCCGGCTTACAACCAAGGCTACAGCTACGCTTTCAGCGAGACCGTTCGTAAACGCGGCGATCGTATGTGTCTCCCCGGTTGCACAAACCCGTCATGCTGTGGGTCTACATTCCGAGCTTTGGCCGCTGCACAAGCCCGCCTCCCACCCTCACAGGAAGAAGCGCTGCTTGAGGAGTACCTTGGCGACGCGTACAATACCATGAACATGACGCAGATGGCGTCAGATGAGCGCGCTGAACTAATCTTGCAAGCACGAACGAAGAAGATGGCGAAGGACACTGGGAAGCATAGGGAGGCGTACGAGAGAAGGCGCACTCCGCCAGGGTTCTGGAGAGTTGACTTTCCGACGACGCAGGAGCAACAAGAAGACAGGGAACGTGCGAAGGAGCAGGAGAAGGGGGTTGTGCAGGAGCGGTGGTTAGAGGCGCAGAGGAAGGGCGGAAAATGGATTTTTAGAGACGAGTAATGTCCGCCTGATCAATATATCCTTCCAACACCTTCTGCATTGCGGTTGTTTGCCTGCCGGCGAGGCGCATGTAAAGTCGGGCCTGCTACCCCACCTGTCAAGCGAGCTTGGAATGACGTCACATATGAACCAGAGTCAGAATCTATGCTCAGAGGTGAGAGATATCAAGTGGATTCTCCACAGCTCTTAATAGTATCTTGCATAGGCTCACCAGAGAGGCAATGACCTCACCAACAAACATTGGTTGCGGCTTCGACTGCCGTTCCAGAAGAATGCAACGGCGGTGCTAGCGCGTGTGCAGTTAGTCTGAGCGCACACTCCACCCGCTGCGGGCAGATATTTTCTCTTGAGGTTGCCTTTGCCCCTCGCCCTTCTCTCTCCAACCCAACAACTCCAGTTCAATTGACAGAAGATCTCCTTGACACTTGGATATTCTCAGCTCCTGCAACACTTTCCCACCCTCAACTCAAACCGTAAGCGCAGTCCTCGCGTGGCTTTTGTGACGCTTTGTGGTTCACATTTTTGTGGCGCAACTTTGCTGACTTGCGAGAAGTTCTTATTTCAAACTCCACGAACAATGGATTACCAGGCTCCTGCTGCTGGCGCCGGTGGCCGCGGTTGCTACAACTGTAGGTCTTTTTCTGTTTTTGCCTTGCCTCTGGATAAACTCGACTACGACAAAGACGAGAGCACCACGACTACGCCAGGCAGTTGCTCAGTCGCTCTGTGTTTGCGAGCATGCTCGCAACCACTCACCTGCTTCAACTTTCCCAAACTCTTTTTTCGGTCGTTCGCGAACGCCACTTCTCTATGCGACTATCCTTATGCTAGTCTTCTGCTTCATTCGCAACCCTTGCGCCCCAACTTACAATTTTCTAGGCGGAGACTCGTCTCACCGCGCTGCTGAGTGCCCCACCAAGGGTACCCCTACCTGCTACAACTGCGGCGAGAAGGGTCACGTCAGCCGCGAGTGCTCTTCCCCCCAGGCCGAGAAGACCTGCTACCGCTGCGGTGGCACCGGCCACATCAGCCGTGAGTGCACCAAGGATGGAGGTGCCGGTATGGGCGGCGGTGCTGGTGGCCAGGAGTGCTACAAGTGCGGCCAGCGGGGTCACATTGCCCGCAACTGCTCCCAAGGTGGTGGTTACGGTGGTGCCGCCGGTGGCGCCAGCTACGGAGGTGGCCGTGGAGGCTTCGGTGGCGGTGACCGTGGCGGTTACGGAGGCGTTCGCCAGACCACTTGCTACTCATGCGGTGGTTTCGGTCACATGAGCCGTGACTGCACCCAGGGCCAGAAGTGCTACAACTGTAAGTCGATACCACAAGTGTGATCATGACGAGTCTAATCCTTTCATAGGCGGTGAGGTCGGTCATCTCTCCCGCGACTGCCCCCAGGAGTCCACCTCGGAGCGCGTCTGCTACCGCTGCAAGCAGCCCGGCCACGTCCAGAGCGCTTGCCCCAACTAGACTCATAATCTCTGGGTCCCGTCGATTTCCCTGATCTGGTCTGAGTTTCAATGCAACGGATCGCCTCCGTCCAACGGTTGCGAGACGGCATTTTCGATTGTTTAGAGATTGCACCCATGGTTCACGAGTCATCGACACGATAACGATTTCTTTTCTTTGTACATGTTCTCATTCTGCGGCTGGCTGCCGTTTTTCGACGCTTACACGAAAAGCTTACGATCGCCTTACATGATTGGACCTGGTCTCGACACGAGCATGTGTTAACGGAAAAGTCTTGAATCAGGAAGATTTTGCATCTGGTGGGAGATACTGTGGGTGGGTATGAGAACGGATTCTTTGAAGCGGACAATGAATGGGAGTAGGGCTTCTTTGTGGGACCAAAATGGTTTGCACGTGGACTACGACTGGACGATGAGGCACCTTATGTTTGGCGGATGTTCTATTAGGCTTCTGGCTGCGGTTGGATAGCTGATGAACTGGATGGAAGTCGAATACTTAGGAAAATCTGAAAAGCATGCCGCATGGGCTGAGCCTTACAATATCTGGTGCTCTGGTTTCGTTTATCTGTGATGTGCTGGTGACTTTGATGTGTTGTTGTGTGAGCATCGAAGGACTCTTGACTGGACATTGATGTTTTGGAACGATGATAGATTGATGAACGTGGCGAGCATTCGGGGTGCGTTATCGTGTGCAGTTGATGGTGTTGATGTTGTGGAGTCGTGCTGCCGTGCCAAGAGCTTTAGTTCGTTTACGAAAGAGCATCCCACCCCAAACAAAGCAATGACCCCCTCGAACTCTCCACCACACTACCACCGACGCGTCAACTAAAGCTCCCCACGCGCTCAGCCTTATCTTGAACATGGCGCCCCAAAGGAAACGCGAAAATCGGGAGAACAACTTCTACAATGTTGGTGTGCAGGGCAGGTAAGCAAAACGCGCTCTACCCTTATCGCGCGCGTTGGCTGACAATGTGCGCAGAAAGACTGGCATCACACTCGAAGAGCGGGAGCGCGACGAATATGGCCTGGAAGCCATTTCGGGCATGTTCTCCTCGCCGGAGAAGTCACCGCCTAAGCGCGTAGAGATTGCGACCGGCTCAGAGTCGATGGATATACAAGAGAGTACGTGTTTTTGAACCTCTGAGAACTTATTCGCAATGCGCATGCCTGGTGACAATGCGCTAACCTGTTCCCAACTGCAGGCTCCATTCCCGACCTTACGACATCCAAGCAGATACTGCGCAACAACCGTACACTCCTTCCTCCCCCACGGGCGCGTTCGCCCATGAAGACCACCCTTGGGTCTTCGCCGCGCCGGCAATCTTCCATGGCCCCGAGAGCCAGCTCCGTTGGCCTGTCCAGCCCAGTGCGCGCTACGTCGCATTCAGCAGTCGCCAGGCGTTTGGATTTCGAGCAGGACGAATCGAGCTTGCAGGAGACGCCAGCATTGAGTGGCTCGGGCCAGCGCCGTAACAGACCTTCGGATATCTACGCCATAGAGCAATCGCCCACACACTCCCTGCCAGAAGAGAGCCTGCTTCAGGAGGAGATCGCTGCAAACGAGGCCGCCGCCGACACTGACGATGCTACCGTAGAGAGCTTCTTTGCGCAAATCGGAGACGAGACAATCACCGGAACAGAGGCGGAGGTGGAGGTTTCTCCAGAGATTGAAGAAGAGGTGGAAGTTGTGCCAACACCTGTCAAACAACCAGCTAAGAGGGGAAGGAAGCGGAAGAGCGATGCCTTGGAGCCCGCGACAGTAGAGGAACCACAGTCAGCAAAGTCGCGCAAACGAGGAGCCAACCCCGCACAGGTTACAGAACCTCAAAAGAAGAGCAAGAAGACTGCACCTGCGCCAGCTGAGAAACCCCGTCGCTCCAAGCGCACATCTGACATAACGGAGCTTGAGCAAAGCAATCTGGACGATTCCACCATCGCTGTCGAAGATGCGTCCGAGCAGGTTGAGGAGCCGCCTGTCGCGCCAAAACGCCGAGGACGACCTCCGAAGGCCAAGCCTGCAGCAGTGGTGGAGAAGGAGAAGAAAAAGGAGATTGTTGCGCCAGCAAAGGTCAACAAGAACGCCTCTTCGAGTGAAAAGGAGAATCCGGTATTCAAGAAGCCTGCAAAGCCTACAGCGAAACCCAAAAGCAAGCCAGATGCGCAAACCACTGAGAAAGCACCACAAGCAGCTGGTATTGAACCGGGCAAAGCTGTGGATGCGTATGGCAATCCTCTCAGCAAGGCAGATATCGACCGAATGTCCACTGCCTCCACTGGTTCGCGATACGGTCGGGGACGCCACCTCTCAGTCTACCGTGAAATGGATCCGGAGGCAGTTGCGAGAGTCGGACGAACAGGCAGACATCGCGTCAACCCTATCGATTTCTGGAAAAACGACCGAATCACGTACAACACCGACGGTAGCATGGCATCTATTGTGAAAGCGCCAGATGCGGAACCCGGGCACAAGACCTACAAGAGCACTACCAAGAAGGGCAAAAAGCGCATGCTCACAGCAGTTGAAGAGGAAGAGATTGAGCTCGATGCATGGGAGGCTGGTGAGGGCATTTTGACCGGCAACTACAAAGGCTTTGACCGTACTACGAACTTTGCTTCGAAGGAGGTTATGACAGATAGAGGTATGTTGCAGTATATAAAGACTCTCGAGACAATAATCCTGACCATCACTCAGCAATCGCCTGGGCTCCGAAGGGCATTGACCCAGTCGAGGCAGGAGACGGCACGTTCAAATACGCCAAGATCGGTCAATGCAAATTCGAGGGATCCAAAGCAGATTTCCTGAGTTGGGGCGTTCTCGAAATCCCAGTCGGCCAGATGAAGCGCTCAAAGAACTCACGGAAGATGCACATGGTTTTCAACGTGCAATCCGGCACAGTAGAAGCCAAGGTCGACGAGAACGAGTTCACCGTTCACAAGAGTGGTGTATGGCAAGTTCCTCGAGGTAAGCCCAATTCCTTCTTTTCTCTCCTCTTGTCGTTCGTCTTGTTCTTCTCCACATACGCACATGCCATATCTTTTTGGTATACTTTGTTAGTATGCGACGCAGCGACAGTGTTGCCCGCCTTTCACGTTTGCCCCGCCTCTGTACGACAGTAGTCTCATTATGCTTATCTCCTGGCTCACTACCAGACGGGATACTGCATGTGTAGACTGCGTCTTCGTGTTGCGCGATCACGTCCGCAACGTCGTACCGCTGAAAGGGGGGCAGGGGTCCCGCGAAGCGAGCCTTTTTGCTGTTTCCACGACGTGCAGATGGTGGCGTTTGTTGGCTGCATGTTGTGCATGCCGTGCCACACTCGACGCTCGCATCGGCCCCTTAGTCTGTCGTTTCTTTGTCGTTCGCATCTTTGCTTTTGACGCCGCCGGTCACACGCCTCGGAGTTTCGTCAACGACATCGTTGTCGACGTCGATGTCCACTTTGAACATGTTTCGCATTTCCTTTCTTCTCTGCGCTTTTTCCGTTTCATACCCACGCGCTCTTTGCTTTCTTACCCTGCTTTTTCCCTGAGGAACGCCTACTGAACTATCGCCACAGGAAATATCTACAGCATCAAGAACATCGGCAGTGGGACCGCTCGTGTCTTCTTCGCACAGGCTTGCGAGGACCCGGAATGAACCCGTCGATGTGTCTTTCTTCGGGTCCCGGTCGCTATTTTTACTCCCGCCTGCCCATCCATCCCTGAACCAAGCGCATGTTTGGTTCGGTTCCTTCCTTCTTTTTTTCCCGGCGTGCAAGCCAGGTGGCGCTTACTTGACGACAATGACCACAACGTTGCAGAGCATTGTTTCCCCTCCCCACCGCTCGGCGTACTTTGCCTGGCGTCTAGATGGGTTCGGTTGCCTCGCACTCGTATGCGGGGCACGGCTGTGGTTCGAGACTCGCGGCCCCCCCCTCGTCTAGGGTGGGTATTTGGCGTTGGTCGGCTCTTGTCTGCGGAGAAGCTCGTTCGTTTGCTCAGCCGTGTTTGTTTCTGTAGTTCTTTGTCGGGCGTGGCTATGCAAGTAAGCGAGCGAGCGTCGTGTGTGGTGGTGGTGGGTGTTCGGATAAGGGTGTTTTTTGTTTCGGGGCGGGATGGATTACTACGTACGATACTATACGATACGATATTGTACCTTGCTGTGGTATGCGATGTGTGAGTGAGTGCGTGTCTTGCTTGTCTTCTTGCTTTCTCCTCCCTTTCGAGGGATGTGTAGTACCAACTCCACACACCATCCCATCAACCCCTCCACAGTTTTCACACACGAACACATGCCCCCAGTCCCCGCGAGCCCAACACCCGTTCACCGCCAACCTACCAACGGGATCCCGTACTCCGCGCCGTTTCACTGCGGCTGCGTTGCCGGTTGCATTCCCGTGTCACAACAGGCAGTCGGGCAGTCGCACAGAGCTGTCTATCTATCTAGCAGATGTTGTGCGACGATGCGGTGCGTGTATCACCGTGACACTGTGACGTTGTCCACGTTTTCTGACAGGTATGTTTGTTCGTGCGTACGCATGTAAGTGTGTGGGTGTTTTGGTTCTGGGGGGTGGGCGGTGGACGGGGCGGGGTGGTACGATGTGGTATGGTATATGACGGAAAGGAGAAGAGGGATGTGTGACGCTGGGAGAAGGGTGGGAAGTTTATTGTAGTGCAGTGCAGTGCAGTGAATGGTGTACGGGGGAGTAGGTAGATGCAGCTCTGCGCGCGAGAATGCATGGTATATTTTGGTATAATTTGATTTGACTTGACGCTTCAGAATCACATTACTGCATATCACAACATAACACAATACTACACTTACCTACCTATCTCTCCCCAGTGAAAAATCTAGAGATTCGAGTGCGATCAGAACATCACAGAACAGCATTCGCCAAACGTGTAGACACGTACACGCATACCTACCCATACGCTTCCTCACTCGCTAAGCCACCGTTTCACACCCCCCGCCCAACCTACCTACTTACCTCGTGCACCCACACCCCCATCGCCACACCTCCCCCATTGCATCTCACCGCGGACCCGCGCCTACCGCTCACAAACCGCAAGGACAAGCTCGCTCCGGTGCGCCAGCCGCATCCGCAAGTGTTTGTGGAACCAGTCATGGGTGTGCGGCGGGCGTTTGCATGGTATAGCACAGCATAGCCTGACCTTGCATGCCATGTCGCATCTTGGATGTCGTTTCGGTGTAGATGTGATCAGGGAGCGGTGTACAGCGGTGCGGTGCGGTGTAGGGGGTCAAGGTGCTTGTGTGGCCGGAGAGCGGGCATGGGTGGGTGGATCTTGGGGGGTGGGGCTTTGTGTTTGGGAGGGACGTGGGTGGGTAGGTGGGCGCGTGGGGCCGGGGCGGAGGAAGCGGTCTGCGATATGATCTCGTTGTCGTTGTCGTTGTCGTTGTGCTGGCGGAAGTGGTTGGGATTTGAGATGGCGGACTTGGATGAAAGCGCGGTGTGGGTTTGGGGTTGGAAGTAGGGATGATGGTGGTTTGGCTTCTTTTTCTCTCCTGCTGGTGGTTTGATGGGCTGTGCATGTGCTGTTGCTAGACTCGGTGGCTGGGAAGTTTGTGGATATGTTGTGGTTTCCTCATCTTGACGTGCATGGTGGATGGGTGTCGGTGTGTTGCTGAGCTCGAGCCTCTGGGTGTCTTCTCATAGCGACTCGGTCGCCTGGTCTATTAGACATGTTTTCCACTTTTTCGCCGAACTCTCGAAGATCCGGTGAGTCCCTTTCCATCTCCCCGTGACCCTTTCTCTTGCCCTATGCTCCATTTCACGCGTCGTTCACCGTCTCCCCAGTAGCGTCAGGTGCATATACCTTTCTATTCGACTTGACGAGTCATGAGATAACGTCGGAAGCAAACTCGGTCTGACTTACGGAACACCCTAGGAACTGGTACAGTAGTTTAGTTGGAGTTGTTTCCAGGCGTTGTGTGGTAGCTCGTACTGGATACCCGCATTGTGGAGTGCGGATGTCTGAGTCGCTTTACAGTTCTGACAGCTAGTATCGTGGTGCGATGCCACACCTGGAGCTACTGGTTTAGTCTGATTAAAAAAACCCCTACTGGGACAGAATGCGCAGGAGTGCCGAGAGGTCGCGGTGGTGGCTGCTGGGCTGACAAGTGAACGCCTGTTCGAGTCGCGTCTCGTGTCAAGGTCATGTGTTCAAGCCTCCGAGGCACATCGTTTGATTTGCATGACATTGCGTAGCGAACTCTTCATCGGACGAGCGGTAAAAGTCGATATTCATTCGGAACGCTTGCCTGTTCCAGCGTGGTCGAGTGTGTCGGCATGCTCGATGCCGAAATATAAGGGTGGTGGAGTCCTTCTCGACGCTGTTCGCCGTGTTCTAGCTTGTATCATGATCAGCCGGGGGGGGGAAACTGGTGCGCTTTCATCTCTAATTTATGCTCGCCTTGTCAGTCATGCGGTTCTGCCCAAGGCAACGATCCCGGGCGATCTAGGAGGCCCATCTCCGAGCGATCAATGGAAGTCGAGGCAGCCCTGCACGGAACTTGTCGTAGATGTCATGTTCGCGATTTGGATGTGTGTGGGCGAACAGGTGATGGCGGGAAAGCTTCTCGAATCAGATCATTCGCCGATCAAGCCCGCATCATCTACCCACGCCAAGCATGTGATGTGTTTGAACGTGTTCGCATGGCATGCAGCCCCAGAAAAAGAACAAAGGGTTGGCGTTCGTGTCATGGATTGGTTGGCCGCTTGTTCTGCATGAACGTCAGCACGTCAATGCCGAACATCAGCCTGATTGAAGGGCCTCGTCTACCGGCTGCGAACGACAGGTATGACCCAACAACACCAGGAAGGACTTCGGCCACAACGCAACGTGCAGCATGACAGTAAACAACAGCCCATGCAAGGATACCACTCCCTTTCCCGCGTTTCAAGACGGCTTGTCAACTTCAGCCTTGTGGCCGAACATTCCACGCGATTTCTCGAACGCTTGTGTGCGTGCCTGGCCGCACCATCAGCAACCCTGCGAACGCCGACGATCCACTTGTGTCATCTGCTACTTGTGCGGTTTGAATCATGACACAACTCTCGGAAATGGGTAAAGGACGGTGAACGGTTCAGCTCAATTCATGCAAAAACGCCACTGTGACTCAAATGCAAAATGAGGCTGTGCGGCCAACGCAGAGACTCAACTCCACGCCACTCTATCTTTTGCGGTGACAACGCAACTCGCAGATGAACACGTAGGTCCTCCTTGACCGACGCTAGGTACGTCATTAGTGTTGATCCGGGGTAGACGAAGGCGGTGGGAAAACGGGTTGTCGTGTCGTTCACCGCCACGAGCCGGTGTGTTGGATGCTTGATTGATGAATTTACGCTTAATTCGCAACGTGGAATAGAGAGGATTTGGTTTCGAAAACGGACCGAGTCTGTAATCTAATGTTTGCAAGCTATGCTGGTTCTAGTGTTGAAATGCTGTGATGCGAAAATCTAACTTTATGCTGAATGTATCGACAGGCTGATGCTTGGCTAAAAAAGTACAATCATTGATGGCTACTCCCTGCCATATTGCTTAAGACCAAGAATAACAAGAAACGTAAAGTACAACTAAGTGAAGTCTTCTAATAGCGATGCTGATGGAAATGCATACAATCATGACCGCTCCAATGGGTGTATAAACAATACAAAAAGAAGCAGACAAACAGACAGACGCCAATGACCCCAAAATGTCCAACGCTATGATGTTCTTTGCGAAATGATCAACGAGATGAGAGAAATGCGATGTAAAAAGCCAAACCCACGCTAAATGCCACAACCGTTGCTCGCTATGCATCCCGTCCTATGCGTCGTGGTATCTTTCTATGACAAACATCAAATGCTTATACGCCCGTGTAAAAATCCTAAACAAATCCATGCTCTTTCGGTTCCTGCCCGATTCTCTAAATGTGATCTCCCGTGTGGAACTTCGCTGTGATTAAAGTAACTTGCTCCGCAACCGTTGGCAAAGCCTGCTGTGGGGAGAAGCGACTACACAATCAGGGCGCGCCAGCGGTCGGGGTTGGCGAAGGCATGCCAGACAGTCGTTGAGCGTCGCTGTGCTCTCGCTTCAGGCTCTTCACGCTCCCAGTTCCACTGCGCTGGGAGCGTCTGTCAGGACTCAAGCCTCCCTGACTTTGAGCGTCGAAATGTGACCGCGACGGGCCCGCAACGTCGTCCTCTCGTCTTCTCTTCTGATATGGTTCAATGTAGCTTGACCACTCGCCTTCTCGCTTGATCATCGATGGTACTCCTGGTACAGGCGCTGTTCTTACACCACTCACTAGATCCTCTGCAGTTGCGGCCTGTATCTGGGGAAGGGGATGGTTGAACTGGGGTGGAACACTTGATCTAGATCGAGGGTCAGCCCGTCTGCGACTCAACGAGCTATTCCTTGGACGACCCTGACTTGAGCCGCTATCTGTACGAGCGTGGTAGGAGTGTAACGGACCCTGTTGTGGATGCGGCGGCTGAGATTGGTGGTGTTGCGCTGGCATTGAAGTAGGAGTTGGCATGAGCTGAGGAGCATTCGCGGGAGTAAAGCTATGCGCAACGGGAACCGGGATGCTTGGTATCTGCGAAGGCGAGCTGAGTGATGTTGCGGATGGATGCAGCTGAAAGACAGGAGCATTGGCCCGAGCGCTCATTTCTTGTTCGCCCAGTTGCCAATGCATTGACTCAGCTGAACGCCAGGGAATGCCCATTTCCGTGGCGACTTTCTGCCACATTTGATCTTTGAATCTGTTCCTGAGGTCAGCTTTGCTACCATCTGACGAGACAGTATGACACTCATATTAAATAATGGAAAGGATGCTTGGTGAGATCGCGCAATACATACCGAGCATACAGCCTTGCAAGCTTGTTCTTCTTCTCCTCGTCCCAGATGGCTCGTTTCTCCAGGTAGTTTTGGTAGCGCAGTCGACAGGATATAGAGCTTCTTCCAGGTAAACGTTTCGCAATGTCATCCCACTTCATACCCTGGCCTCGTAGTTCGATCGTGAGATTGTCTTCTTCGGGTGTCCATTTGGATTGTTTCTTAGCTGGGCTCTCATCGGGCAAAGGGGTCTGCGAAGCCTGTCTTTTGAGAGCATTAGGAGGGGATCCGCCGGTTCCAGGTGGACCTTGTTGGATGTTGGGAGGGCACGGGGGACCAGAGTAGAGTGGGCGGAATTGAGGGTGTGGCATGGGATCTGGGTGTCGCTGAAGCTCTGAGATTGCGGGTAACACAGGACCACCTATCATTGACCCAGGGCCTAGGGGTGCCGAAGTCGGAGCCTGAGCGGGATACATCGAAGTTGGGCCATAAAGTGAAGTTGTAGAGTATGCTGGTGACCCACTGATGTAGGCAGTTGGTGCTCCAGGTGCAGGAGACCGTGCGTACGCCGAAGGAGCAGATGTGTATGCTCTTGCCGCCGCGGTGGAAGTGGAAGTCACTGATGCTGAGCTCCTCTTGCTCGCTGGTGACTCGGAGCCCCGAGGCTCGAGCAGCAGATTGATATCCACGATGGGCGAGTTAGACTAGCTCTTGGCCAGCCCATACGTTAATGGAAGTTTTCCGAGTCTTACAACACCGCCAGAAGGAGTTCTCAAATAAACTGCGCAGATGTGACAGTTTGTGGCGAGGTTGATGGCTAGCTTGTTTGTACACGAGCGGAAAAGGGCTTTGTGATTTGGGTGGTTACCGGTCGGGCTGGTCGACTAGTTCAGGGTTCGATGGGTTCTAGGCGTCCGTTGTGTGTTTGTTGCGAAAAGCAGCTCAAACTGTGGCGTCGAAAAGAAACGCCAAGACAGAAACAAGTGCAGCGGCGAAATGCAACAAGAGTTGAGTGCAGCGTGACGGACGATGTAGATGTTGTTTTGATCGACACTGACAGGAAAGCGGCGCGAGGAGTGACAATCCGTTGCCGAGGATTTGAGACGAAAATGGGAGGCTGTCGTAAGGTGATGAGATCTGAATAGAGCTAGATGTGTGCCGAAGTGACCAGTTGCGAGGTACTTTGGACGATAGACGTTCTCAGTGGTTGCCCAAGTCGGGCTATTTAGGAAACGGGGCAGGGCAATTGGGCAGGGGCCAACGTGAAACAGGCCAGCCAATGGGTCGGTGGATGACAGACGTGCTGAGCCACTGACTGTGCTGAAGAGTTGAGAGATGAAGAAAGTGTCGTGTCGCGGGATGATGGATATGGCCTGTTTAGAGCGGACAGTAGGGTCCTGAGGTACTTGTCAAGACGGGAGCGTCAGTAGAGTGACTTAGTATACGGCTGTAATACCAGTGACAGGCATCCCTTGAACAAGCCCAGATGGCTGATGCCGCCTCATTGCCCGCTGCGGCAGGGATCCGGGGGCTTGGGATTAGGATGTTCGTTTCTTGCTGCTTGACGCTTCCTCGACTTGTGTTGGCGGCGCCACTTCGACGACACACGGACCACAGCTGATCTTAGGGCAGCATCTCCGCCGGGAATTTAGCGAGCATAAAAGAAAAAATCGAGAACCCCCGAATGGCCAACGTCTATCGTAGCTACAATCCAAAGCAGAAGCTCCGTTCTTCCCAGCCTTGGATGAAAGATGGTGCCGATGACGTATCCCTCACTTCACACCTCACTTATTTTGCGGCTTCGGTTCACCCTTTGTTGTGGTCTGATATCGACTTACTCGTATGCCTGGGCCCATTTGCTGCCCTTTCTTTTTCGTTAGGCCTCAGTGCGCCCTATGACGGGGGCTGCGGCGTCTGCAGATTTTGGTATGAGAGCTGTCATGGTCACCAACACATCTTTCGAGATGACTCTACCCAAAACGAGAGTTGTCAGAGAGGGCAACGAATCAGGCTCTGAGATGAGCGGTGAACCTGGCTGGAAATTCGTTGAACGCTTGTCCAGGGTTAGGTTTTGGTGTAGAAGCGCGATGACATGGCGTCGCGGCGAACAAGATCTGCAGGCCCTACGGGCCATCTGACGCCAGAAGCTACCGTTGCCGAACGGAGCCTTGTGAACTCTGACTTCATTTTCGCGGTGCAGGTGGTGATGTGTTCACGCCCGCAAGCTTGAACACGTCGATAGCGCTCCACGTATACAATTTGCCTCCTTGATGGCTCGGTAAGGCATCCCACAGTCGACGCAGATGTCTGTCCATATCAACTACAGGCTTCACTTCGGACAGACAAGCGGTGAACTGCGGTGAACTGCCGAGCAATGGCCGTGCCCATCTGATGGTAACCTTCGACGGCGCACCAACCTGTAACCACGCTGCTGTGACACATGCGTAGACGGGGCCTTAATGTGGTAGCTCCGGCCTGACCCGTGGGCAGACAGATTCAGACATAACTTGTGCTACTGCGCCCACGTGAGACACGTCTTCGCCGGACTGCGGCAGTGTCGCGGATTGTCTTGTGCCCGAAGGCCACGTTATATTGTAGTTGTCCTACATCGATATTCCAGGTCAGAGTCCTGCACGCAGTCCTTCGTGGCATCGACCCGGATGCAGCATGGCTGATTGCATCATGAATCGATGTCCTTCAGGGATTGTTGTGATGCGCATTAGGCGGTGAGTGCTGCCCGAAGCGGCTCGCACTTGAGTCGATGTCTAAGTGAGGTTGGTACCGGACGATAGGGCTGTCTGCGGTCCCAAACCCCCGAGGTGCATTAGTCGGTCGAGTGAACACCATCCCCGTGCGTTCTCCAAGTAAGATTAAAACCTCGTCAGCGGAGCGTGCTGAGTGATGTAAGAGCTCCTCACAGACAGTTTTGTAGTCTGTGTGCCATGCGAACATGATTCTTCCAACGCCCTTGGTCCGAGAATGCAACCCTCCGACAGAACGTCTCGAACCGCTGAATCAAGAGCCACAATTTGTGCATCTCACTAGGTAGCTGTGTGTCACAGGCTTATGCTCTGCAGCGTTTGGCTGGCTGTAGCAGCTTCGGCTACCCACGCCAGTGTGGGCGTTGTGGTGCCAGCTGGCTGTCAGTTCTAGCGAAACAGTTCATCAACGTGGATACAAAGGAACTGGTCTGGCGCAGTGCCTTGTATTTTTAGAGAATCGCATTGCATTAAAGTAGCGGTGAGGCCCAGTTGCGATTGGAATGAGGAATTGACGCGCGCAGTGCAGTCCACAACTCTGAGGCACAGGCGGCGGTTGGTGCAAGCGCTTGTTGTTCGTACGTGTGATGAGTATTTGATTTATGCTCAAAGCAGTCCGGACGACCGCCGCAGCGCCATTGTGCCAAGAGAGATGCGAAATCATCTTGGCTGACGAGGGGGTGGTTTCGTGAAGGGTAGGTAGCATGAGCCGGCCGGCGAGCCTCAACCATCACATACGAGCCCAAGACGAAACCGAGTCCGCAAACGCCACCTAAACACGCGCGTGGGGTTGTGGGGACAGGTGAGACATTCACTGGAGTTCTTGCGTTCATCTTGGCGTCTCGCTAGAGCTTCCCAAAGAGGGAACACGCGCATGTCTCTGTCGACGGGCTGGTGGGAGCACCGAGTAGCTTTTCTTCGCCCTACACCTCCTCTGGAGTGGCCGCATGCAGAGCAGGTCATCTGAAAACCTTGACAAGTCACCATCCTGTATACGTGGGGTAAGTCGCGCCTGTCACCTCTGCAAAGCCGTCCTATCGCACCTCTACCTTCTAGAACCCCACCACCGTTGTTGGCGTATCGGTTCTCCCACCACCGCGCCATCGTTCCAAACCCTTTGTTTTGGTCTAATTCTGGTCGCTCACTAGTTCCAACCGGATCGCAGTCCTTAACTCGTCTTGAGCCGAGATGTCACTCCATAGCGCGGCAGACGTGCCTCTCCTTATCAGTTCGCCCAACTCGTCTTCAGAGCGCCGCATTTCTCCGTCCTGGAGCATTGCCCATCTCAAGTCGCGTCTGGAGCCCATCACTGGTGTTCCAGCAGGAAGCCAGCAACTGACTTTGCGGGTTGGGTCTCAAGATGCTGTCTCCATCACTGCAGCAGATGAGGAGCAGGCAACCCTAGCTTTGTTCCCGCTGCAGCCATATGCCCAAATAACCGTAAGGATATTTCTCCCTTTCTCATTGCATATCACTCCTGGCCCTATCCCTGAGCCATTTCGTGCTGCCGACCTCTCACCAGCTGCCACATATGGGCAACCCACGGCAGCTACTATACTACAGTTTCTAATGCAGCGCTCCATCTCTCTTCTTCTTGCTTTTATTCGCCGCCTCGGCTGGATATTGAGGCTGTCAAACTGCCTAAAATCTGCAAAGCTACCCCGCAGCAACCCCTCCATTGACTCAAGCCTAACCATTCTTGTCATCAGCATTGCCAGATCTGGCCCCATGGATCGACAGAACGTGCTGGGACATGGAGTTGAGACCCTGGCCAGTCGTTCACGTTGGCCCCACTCATACCTGTTTATATCGCTTGTTCTTTTCTTACTCGTGCTTGTTTTTGTTGCTTTTTCTTCGGCTTTTTAGTATCATTCGCCATTAGAATGCATCTGCAGTCGATGCTTGATCCAGCTATAGGGGCGCTCTCAACATTCTTCCGTGGACAAATGGCTGCGCGGGAACATGGAGCATTAGCTAACAACCTTGCCCTAGGTCGTTGACACTCGTCCACCTGCTGCCCGTACGGATTTCTCCGATCTATCGTCCGTTCCCAAATATGAGATGCCAACGACTGAGTATGAGACACGGACTGACAGCGTTCTGGCTTGGAAGAAGGCCCAGGGGCTTGGCCGTTTCGATCCAAACGCTCCGAGCATCGAGCAGCAAAAGATACAGGCCTCGGAACGTGAAGTAGAGGAGAGAGGTAAGACGCAATATGTTTCATATATATGTTTCTTCCAAACTGCACTGTGGTCGAAAAGCATGGCGAGCAGAAGCAGAAGGCGTTACACAGTATCAGATACGGTATGCCGGCGTTCTTCAGAACTGTGGTTCCGCGGCACAAACATACCATGCATCAGAACTTTCCCAAAATGGACGACTGCAGATCAGCAAATCTACTTCTTCGATGCTTCTTAGAAACCCAACCCCAACTGGTCTCACCCTGTCATTTGCCGCAATGTTAGACTTCGACCGTCATTCAAGATTATGGAGGGAAATCAGCCCATCACCTGCGCCGCATCATCAAAATTCTGGTCGTATTTCCTCTTTGCACCTTCTGCATAAACGCTTTTGGCCCAGCGCGGCCAGATTTGGGGGGCCTTTCTTACGCCACGAACCTGGCGACCCTGACGTGGTTGTCACGATTTTTGAATACGCTCTCAGCAACCGTCTCGTATAGAAAGTTGGTACGATGATCGCACGCTTCAACGACGATGCTGGAGTTAGCCTCAACATGTGGTAACTTGCCACCGACGCTCCCATTACCCGTTCCAGTTCATCGCTCTTCTTGATCTAAACTTGCCTTCGCAGGCTGTGGTCGAGTTACAGCCATCGATAAATCTACCTCCATCCGGACCATGGCACGCCACGTAAGGGACGGGAACGAGCCGTTCGCCTAAACGTTCAGTCGACTATCAACGGCACACTGGAACCGGCGTTCTATTCCCACTGGCTCGCTTGGCAACGACATAGAGGATCCCTATATCTAGCCTCTGGGCCGCTTCCCCGTATGCGAGGCAGCCTCACCCCGCATGGCGGCAGCTATGACTGGCGATTGCGCCGTCTGTCTTTGTATAGATCTTACGGATTGGCTACTGCTCGTCTAGTTGGTTTCTGCCTAACCCCCTGTGCTGTGGCTTGTATTTGTTTTTGACCGAAAGAATATTTGTACCAGAGTTGAACCTCTTTTACATCACTTACTAACCAATCGACTGTAGGTCTGGCGCTTTCTTCCCGTGTTCGGCTTCTGCCAGTATCAGATGCCCGAAGGGGCACAGTGTCCTTCATCGGCCTTGTTCCTGAAATCCCAGGTATCGGTGTCTGGGTCGGAGTTACCCTCGACGAGCCTACAGGCAAGAACAATGGCTCAGTAAAGGGCAAGAAATATTTCGAGTGCGGAACCAACTACGGCGTCTTCGTTCGTCCTGAGCGGTGCGAAGCAGGAGACTTCCCAGCTCTCGATATGGGCGACGAAGATATGGAAGAGTTGTGAGCACGCTTTTGGAGTTCTCCGAGGCGGGCGAAGCCTGCACGGTGGGGCCAATACGTACACACCCAACGACATTTCGACTGCCTCATCGTAGCTTTTAGTGACGATACGTGATAGCTAGCAATTGCCAGGCTGATCGATTGATAAGTCACTGAGAATCAAACGCAGTAGAGTATAACATCATGATAAACAATGTGGCTCTTCTGAATTGACCTTAGTTCGTTCCCGAGTCTCCTTCCAACGCCTATAGTGTTTAGAATTTCCTTTCTTTCCACACAGACTTTTGCGAGTTACTTCTTCTCCAGAAGTCGCGACCCATCGCTTTTCCCTCACACCGCTCCTCCTCTACTCCGTACTTACTCAGTGCCTCCTGTTCACAGCGCATCCACAGCACATCTACAGCACATCACAGCGCATGGCGCACAATTTTTACTCAACGCCTCACTTCTTGCCAAAATTCTCTGTCCAGTTTCATTTCATCACTCTTACCGCCGCCCCTGACAACGAGTGTTCACGACCCACTTACCTGCATAAACACGCCACCGCTTATAATACGCTCGCTTGCCTTCTGCAACGCCGAAGCTGTAAGCGCGTCTACAGCAAATATTATCTTGCAGGGCGCCTGATGCATCCAAGGCGACTAGTTGTGCATTGTGCAGATGCGACTTGCTCATACATGGAGCTAAGCGAGTTTTTTCAATACAGTGGGAATGAGGGGCATACGATGTGCAGCGAAGAGGAAGCACAGCGTGTATGGCTACTATTGCACTCCTGAATAGTCGTAGCTATCAATGGTAGGTATTTATTTGAGGTGTTCATGGCTTGGTTGCCGGTTCGTAATCCAAATGACGTAAATGGAGACAGCGAACAAGAGACGGTGACAAGTATTCAAACGACAACAAATTCCCATCGAGAGATCGATCCTCAGACTCCGACCTTATCACTTAGGGAAGGGGGATCTACAACCCCAGAATACGGACAATAGCGAATTGAGAACATCACACCACCTCGCTTTGAGCTTTTCGTGACGAAAACCCCAGGACCTGTTTTCGCCTCGCCAGGAACACGAACTGGAGACACCACTGCGATAGAAAGTCCCGAGCTTCAAATCTGGTCATGTAGGGTATGGTGAGGTGGCGGAAGTACCAGGTTGACGGTGACATTGAGGGAAGGCAGAAGCTACGTGTATCTCAGCTAGGTACCTCGTCGGCATCTCCGATGTTCTGCTGGGCTCAGGACAGCTCGCTCAGCGCTTCTCGGCACCACTCGCTTCACACTGATTCAGTCCATCCAAATTGCCAAGGACTGTCATGTTGTCTACCAATATTGATGGAGCTTGGGTCTGAGGGATTGGCTTTTCATACCCCCCAGACGAGAACGCGCTCGAAAATTGGTTGCCCACGTATTGTAACCGAACTTTCCGGTTCAGTGTTCTCGCTTTCCTATGCATTACTTTGCCAAAATTATCCAGAGCCTTCAGGTTGGAAGAAGGTCACTTAGCAATCTTAGCAAGTGCAAGATGTTCGAAACTTCTTTGTGATGAGTCTTTGTAGTTCACGAGAGAACCACCAAGAGAGTGTTGCACCGACACCATTATTGACAAATAGGGGTAAATACCGATAGAAACCCAATGTGCGTGCGAGGTGGATAATAGCACGAATAGAAAAGCCGTTCAAATTACTACGTAAAGTCATCAAGACCGCGTGATACACCAAAAGCTCACTAATCATGCAAAGCAACACCAAAAAGACGAGGCGAGAACGAAGAAAACTCAAGACATCTGCTGCCCTTTAGCCTCGCCAACTTCGGCTAGAGGACTAGAGGGATGCTGGCTTCGCCTGAATCCGATCTTGACGCGACCAACCCGACACATGGAGTCTTCGAATTGCGTCTCCATACGCAGTACAGTCTCACGATACATCGTCCCAGTTGTCCAGTCGTAAGAACAACCGATGATCCGCTTCATGCCACCTTCAGAGCCGGCCATCAGGAAGCAGACTGGCGGGCGTTCGGCAAGGAAGAGAGTGGCTGTCATATTGCCTGATAATTGTCAGCAGCGTTTACCGGTGTGTAGAAGTGGAGAAACGCCTCACCTGTATCGACAAGCGTGAAGATGCGCTGTTGCCCAGGTCCAGCACATTTGGCCTGTTGGACCAGTGCCGCAATCGCAGGGTCGGAAGTTGGGTCATCGGGGATGCACTCTGCATGCTCGTTGCGGTGGTGTCTCGAGAGTGGACTAGCATATGGGGTCCACTTCATGCGACCCAACCTGCCTCCAAAGAGTTGACGCTCGATGGTATCGATGTCCATGTAGCCTTCAAAACCGAAAAACCAGCACTGTTGCTCCCAGAACTTACCAAGATACAGCATACGAAGCAACCAAGGGGAAAGACCCATCAGTAACAGTGAGTAGATGATGAGTATGACGCCTATAAGCCTCGTCGTTGAAATACTAGCAAGGACAATGGCAGCGGCGAAGACCACACCACCCAGACGAAGCATCTTCTTGGCGAGCCACCGCTTGAAAGATGCACGTCGAGTATGTGCGACAGGTGTGAAGGATTTCCAACGTACATTAGCGGCGCGGCAGCCATCCAAAATGATACTGTCATCTTCACCGACACCCGCAATGCCGACGTCCTGGGGCAGGATATCCCACAGTTTCGCTTTGTACGCATCATCCATGGAATGCCAGGGTTGATCTGGAGTCCTCGGTAAGACACAGATCAACCGCTCGAGCAACTGGTCGCTGCCATTGGCCAATGAGAGCCTGCAAACTATTAGCATATGACAATGCAGGTGGCCTGTGATCCAGCACTTGCCGTGCGAATGCTTGGAACGCAGAGTCAGTCGGATCAATCTTGGGACGGATGCGTAGAAGTCCCATGAGTGCATAGCTATGATCTCCGGGTAAGTACTGAGTGGTGTGTCTTTTGTGCAGACATTCCAGTGCAAGCGTAACGAGCTCAAGCTGGCTTAGTATCATGTTGCCTTCATAATGCCTAGAGCGGTTAGTCAAATGGTTTCCGATAGACGACAAAAGTCTTACTCGATAAGCTGCGATTGATCAGTAAAGGTCCTACTTGTTCAAGAGATGGGTGTAACAAACCTGGCGAGCAACGTGGGCGTCATCTCTCCACACTCTATCAGCAAACTGATTCTTCGGCACTCGCAAAGGGGTTCCGAGGTCATTTTCACGCAGGTATACTTCGACGTCCTTCCCGGCAGGTGCCAGAAGTACTTCTGGGAACGTCCAAACTCTACTACCCCATTGTTGAAGCATACGATCCACCGTGCTGATATCGTACATATCATTTGGTGGGCGTCCCACCGCAATGACCAAGGAGAATGCTCCACGGATAACGTCACAGATACGGTAGACCTACACATGTTAGAAGGAAGGTTGGGACAAGACACGCTCAACACGCTCAACACGTACATCTTCTTGGAGCTGGTCATCAGGCATACATGAGCAGCCGACCCAATAAGCCGATACTCCAGCATTGCGAGCAGCTGCATCGGCCATCTTGTGAAGAGCTATCTTATCCTCGTTGCTTCGGAATTGCTCTACTGTGTAAGCAATGAAGACATACGAGAGAGGTGCGGAGTTGTCTTCAACTTTGACGATCATGGCAGGAACTCCTTGCTCTCTTAAGACACATAGATAGCGTGGACGCAGGACGCGTTCAGCAACTGGATTCGTCTCCTTCTGACTACGGCATCCGGGGGTACTGAGTTCGAGTTCGTTACGGGCTACTTTAGGATACCCATGATATCGATAGGGTACTGGATCGTAACGACCGTTATTCCTCGATGAGACTTCAGCAGAGCTGGGACTTGAAATCTGAGCAGTGGTCAGCGTTCATACTGCAGAAGTATATACAGTACCTACCACAAAAGTGATTGCAAGCGAGGCGATAAACCACTTCAGACAAAGCATTGGGTAATCTAGAACAAGTTAGGCTTAAAATATTGACTCTGTAGAACGTACGTGCCTTCGCTGGTCGGTCTTCCGTCATTCAGATGATAATTGACATGGTTGAAGGGCCAATTGGCCAGTCTCAGGTATAGTGGCGCTATGTTCCGAATGAATGTACGCCTGTACGTTGCGGTCGTGTTGTTGTCGTATATATCGTCAACAGTCTGGACAACGAGTTTTGAGATTCTCCCATCCCACGCTGACAAGTATCCTGCTTGAGTTAGTCCTGACTGCTCTTCCGGCAGGCCGATCACACTTACGGTCGTCGTAGTCGCCGGTCCATTCGCGCTCAAACACGTCTTTATGACGATGATGACTGAGCTTCTGGTAACCGAGCCCTGGTTCACGGTAGAACCTGGGATGTTCCCACTTGATCTTTGTCCACGGATCAAATATGTGTCGGTAACCTTTCAAGTCCCTGGGCCGAATCCCCTACTTCGAGTCAGCTAGATATCCAAAGTATACATTGAAGTGATGGAGTAGTGCATACTGAGTTCTGGAGATATGATCCGTCTTGCGCATTGACCGTGACGACACCGCTACCTTTGTGTCGGTTTGTCTCGTACGTATCACTGTTGATGATACCATGACTTTGTGCAACCTCGTGCGACGAGAACTGAGCTTCGTTTGAGGCCATGATTCAAGTCGTAGTAAATCGTTCTATCGGAAACAACTACACAGCTGCGATACGAAACCTGGTTGCGGACTATACTGCGGTTGCTGGTAGCTTTGAGAAGAGTATGGAGTTGGTGTTGGCTAGTACTCTTTGTCAGAAAACATTGATTGATCACGGAACAGGAGCTCTTTACTCGTGTAGAGATAACTGGCTGAGGTTTAAAACACGGTGCTACAGCTGGAGAGGGCTGGGTGACAATCCAGGGGGTGGAAAACGGCGAGTTGGGATCAAAATGTCCCCCGCAGTGAATTTGTTGGCCCTGCACGACGTTAGAAAAGGTTGGTTAGAGACAGCGAAGGCGCCATGGTAACGGACTGGCAGAGGTTGATGATTCAAGTTTGTAGGAGTGAATGGACTACTACTTGGATCAAAGCCGCCGCCGTGTCCTTGAGAAGGATATAGAGGATATGCCTAAGTAGTGTCAGAGGTTGAAGAGGTTGGAGACTGGGTGCCTATTCATACCATCTACATACGAAACCTTGGCCGTTCAAAGTAAACTGTCCCTCCGGTTGAAATACATTTTCCTGTGTTCCCGCAGTGCACAAGCCTACTCTTATCAAGTTCGAGTTGCAACCACTTCAACGTGGGGTACAAGGCTGAAACATGATAGCCCTGTTGTGATTGATAAAAACTAAAGTCATATGCTATCAGCCTGGTCGTGGGACTCATGTCGATACTGCGGCGTATCCTAGCCACCGGTAGATTAGTGTTTCGAGCGATTAGCTCTTTTCTCCAATGGTTGATGTCCATGGACACCATGTCAGTTCGGCATGCATAACAAATAAACGAAACACTATTGAGTTCAGCACAAGAACATAGTTTGCAGGGACTGTGACCCATCAGACCGTGTAGGATAAGTGCAATATTGAGACCCTAGATAACACCAATACTGGGCAGTCTCAGATACCGAGAAGATGGTACACATTATCGTCTAACCCTACCCCATGCAGCTTATCAGTGTTGTTCTTGATGGCCGAATTGAGTGGTGGGTAATGTAAGCGTGGGTTGATTGGCCCCCAACTCGTTCATGCACGAATGGAGTGAGAAAATTTCCAGGAGTTCGTACGAGCTGACCGATGCGAAGTTTCCTAATGGGTCAAACACTCGGTCCCTGACCTGAACATACAACAGAGACAAGAACATTCGACAGGAACATAACACCCGACGTCCTCCATCCCAAAGGCTCCACGCGAGTAGTTCATAGTCGTCTAGTGAACGTGTGTCGGACTAGAAGGACTGCGCCTTGCCAATTCTTCGATGTAATCGTCTGTGATACTGTAACAGCAAACACCGCAAGTGGGACAAAGTTCGCGTATTTCGTATCAACTACCGCGATTGGAAAAGTACATGGCACCGCTAGGGTGGTACGTTTACTCTGACCTTGGTAATTTTCAGCCTTACGCCACAGAGCGTCCCGTCCTATCGTTTAGCGCTGAAAACCACCACGATCACACAAGGCAGGGGAGAACTTATTGCCCGTCCTTCAGCTTGTGTGCAAATATTCCGCTTCTGGAATGAGTGAATGCCGGTGAGAGCAAAGCCTCACTGCCAGTGGAAATTGGTGTATCAGTAGACGGGACTTGGCACTATTAATGCCGCAGCCGATCTCTGAGCAAGAGTTAGATGTTCTACCTACAGCAGTGTGCAACATCGAGCAGGCTGAAAAGGGCTGCGGTTGGGACTGGGGGTTTACCGGCTATGGCCTTTCCCCGCTGGCTGCTGATGTTCAAACTCGACGGAATTCTTTGAACGTTCAGATCGACAAGCACCAGATGCAAAGGTTTAAGAGCACTTTTCAAAACATACGGAATTCCAATACGCTTTGTTACGTACTCACCGTCTTCATAACGACTATATGGCTTCCTTCATGAGTCTGACCTCAGATCGCCTTCCGTTGGAAGCTTTCAAGGCCAAGTTGCCTAAGATCACTACCGCTCATCATACACCAAACAATGTAGAAATTCCTCTGCACTTGTTTCAATGGTCAGAAAGCGGCAATCGTGGGTCTGAGATTGGTGGTATAAGATCGATGACAGAACTGGAGACATATAGCCAGCCTACCGTACGAATACTGTGTGTGACATGAAAATTATTGAAAGAACATACTGAAAATGATAGATTTGCCCCTCAGGATGTCCCGACATCCCGTTTCGGAGACGGACTACTCGAGCTTTTTGAGAGGTCAGACATTCCAACCGCGTTCGTCGCTGAGAGTCTACAAAATGTTTCCCAATCGTTTGGAGCACGAAAGGACATGGACGGGACGACGAATGTCTGGTTCCATATGCTCTGCAAGGACGTAAAGATCGACGAAGGACGAATAGTTCACCAACAACGACCGGGAGAGACAGACAGTCGTCAAAAAGCTCAAAAGCAGAGCCAGGCGAACTTCTTTTGGACAAAACCGGGGTTCGTTCTGAAGATCAAGAGTCAGCGGAGCATGACACCAGTGCCCAACCGTACCACGACTTCGAGTAGCGACAGCACGCTGGCTGTGACTCCGAGTCGTTCAAGGGTCGAATTGTTCTGTTTTGGAGCTCCCATAACACTACGAGATCGCTTCCAGAAGTTCAAGGGCCTCGCAACATGTGATGATCTGCTACAGGATCCTTACGTACTCCTTGAGATCGTCCTCGAAGAGATGTACAAGGTACTGGACGCAACAGGCTGGGCCATAGCCGACGTCTTTGGGCACATTGAAACCGTAAGAGACTTCTCCTTGTCGTTTAAGGCAACATCAATCCTAACAGAATCTAGCGTACGTTCGGCATGGCGAGTGCACCAGGAAAGGCAGTCAAGGACTTACCGAACGACCACTTCACCGGATTGCATAATCTCGCCAAACACACCATATACTTGCGTGAGAATTGTGAATCGGCCCTTGCTACACTCGAAGCTCTGCAAGAGCACCATAACGCCACAACAGGCGATCATCCAAATCAAACTCAGGAATTCACACGAGAAGCGCTGAGATACCGAAAGACGCTGTTCCAGTCGACGCAACGGCGACTTGCAAGTCTGGACAAGCGGATGACAAATATCATTCAGCTATCATTTCATATAGTGACTCAAGGTGACAGCCGACTCATGCAGTCTGAGAGCCAAAGCATGAAGACCATTGCGGTTATGACGCTCGTCTTCATGCCTCTTGGAACGGTCGCCGCTATATTTGGGACACAATTCATGAAGCTCGAGGATGAGAAGCCATATCGTTTGCGAGTATCGAATGATTTCTGGCTACTTTGGCTCATCGCGGTGCCGCTCACAGTATTGGTGATGATCATCTGGAGAATGTGGTACACAGACGCGAAGGCACGAGCGATGGACGCGAGAAAAGAGGAGGGTGGTTGTCTGGGATGGAAGACTTTTGGGCAGGTGAGGCGGAACGATGAGCAACAGGGAATGACGCGTGCTGTTTAATGCGCGAAAGACGCCGCTGTAGGCTAGTCGTGAAAAAGATGCAGTACGTCACGCGTCATGGCTAGGTTACTTGCGGCATAGTTCGAACACGGGGCTTTCTCCACGTCTTTGCGTACATAGTCTGTATTTTTTCTTTGCTTTGAACCAGCATTAGGTCTTGAATGCTTGTCACACAGCTTCGAATATTCAAAGCGTAATTATGTTCTGATCGACCATCAGAGGATCTACAGAGACATAATCTTTCGCGATGTCCACAGCATTACTGACCTCGATGAAATCCTCAAGCTCCTCACTGGTGGTCTTGAGCTTCTCTTTGACTGCAGTCACGCCCTCATACCCAACGATATGCCTGGCCGGAGGATTGTCGTGACCACCAATGGCCGTGAGGGCATGAACTGTCTCAGCTATCAATAAGCTCTTGACCGCCCATGGCAGCGGAGCATAGAGCGACGTGACAATATCAGAGCTAAGAAGATCGCCCATGGTTGGCCCAGAGTTGCCTGCACCAGGACTCATGGTAGACATGCTGTCGGGTGACTTTGCCTCAACGAAGGCTTGTGGGTTGTTGACGCTTTCCAGTCTGTCGATGAGGCCAGAGAAGATTTCACGGGCGAGCGGCGCAGGGTTCTCTTCGTTGAGGTATTCTTGCATCGGTGGTACGGATGTGATCCGGTTCGTGAGCACGTTGACCTCCATGCTGGCCTGGACGATAGACATCTTGATGTTGAAAGGGGCGATCTCGTAGGCAAGGCTCTGAGTCTGGTCAGTATGTAACCCACGTGTTTTTATCAGGGGAACTGTTACATCGCAGTAGCCTTCAGTGGCCCATTGTGACGAGCAGTACAGCCCAAGCCCTGGTGTGCCGAGATGACCAGCTATAGACAGTTAGCATCAAGCCATGCAATCCTGCCAATAGTCGTACTAATCCCAGTGATCACAATGATGTGCCCATTTTTCCTCTCTCTCATCAGAGGAAGTACAGCTTTGATGATGTTCACGTTGGCAAAGAAGTTGATCTCGAAGATCTCGCTCACGAGACTTCTCGTGCGGCTGGTCTGGGCTAGCTCTTCGACAGCTCCGATAAGGGCTATGATAAAGACACAGGTTAGTTGAAGATCGACTATTCGGGACGAAATAAGTACTTTCGCTGGCACAACACAACAAGACATCGATTCGACCAAATGCTTCGATAGCCTCAGCAACGGCCGCTTGACATTGGCTGACAACCCTGCGTAGTTTTGTCAATCGCCGTATTTGACCACAAAACAACTTGAGCATCAATACCGTGCATCAAGCCTGACGACTCGGATTCGCTCTCGCCATCGTTCAGTTCTTTTTACATCTTCCAGAAAAGCCTGAAAGTCCTCGCTTTGACCTTCTCCTCTCTCAAATTCGGTGGGGATGACACCTGCTACAACATAGTCGCCATGTTCGAGCACTTGTCTTGCTAGGGCAATCGCAATGGGCGATACTCCTCTTGTGATAAACCAGACGCGTGGAGCGTTATGTGGCGGAAAGTGAGGGGATCGCTGGCGCGCCGGCTTCGACGACGATGGCGCGTTGCTAGTCATGAGAGTCTGATCTGAGAACGAATCCTCATCGCGCGGTCCCGTCCGTCTTATACGCTTCAGATCTTAGATGGTTCAAAGCCAGGGGTATGTTCATCATGCACCGGTGTGGTCGCAGAACGGCAATTGTAGCTCCACCTAAGTCCGATCACTAACCGGATCAACACTAACGCACACTCACTGAGTTTTGGCTCGTGCGTCCACCACACACATTCTCATCCACCACGACGCTGCCAAGATTAAGATAGTTTTCTAGTAAGAGCTTCGATTTTGGACGAATAGGTTTTGGTCCACTGACAGACTTGGTTGCAAGTTGCCTTTGTACAGTCACGAAATTTCGGAAGTGTTGATCGCCGATTGACTTAAGCTTCACGTCGTACTTGCATCTTTCACTTCCTTTCACCAGAGGTATGTATAAGATTTCGTCACGTCTTCCACTACTGCCTGCCACTTCCCAGCCACCATGAGTGTTCTCTTCATCCAAGTTTTCATTTGGTTTATCGTCGCCCACAAAGCAGACTTTTCTCTTCCACTCTCCTTCAAATTTCATTCTACATTCTTGTGATCAATTTGGGAATCTCTTCTACTTAAGTTCATCTCTTCCAAACTCGCGATGTACCGACACGAATACAACTTCAGCAACGTTGACTGGGACGCAGTCCTCAAGACTCCCGAGCTTCTACAACATCTCATTCCCGAGGACGGACGCCTGCCTGACTGGCTCGTTGATTTGCGCGAACAACGACTCACTGCGCCTTCAAAGCAAACCACTGTCAAAACGGCCAAGATCCGCGCCAGCAACTGCAATCGCTGGATCAAGACGAACAACCACCACACTGGTGGCGTCCGCAAGCGAAAGCCTGAAGCCCCCTTGCCCACCTTCATCATGGCACGACCGGCGAGTCTGGCGCAATATCAGCGTCACTCGGCTCACCTCATGTCAAGAGTCCTCAACATTCGCGCTAATGCCTCACCTTTCACACTTGTGCTTGATGACCTGAATCAGCGCGGTATGCCACTTGTCGGCGAGCTTATCCGTCGCGGTCTATCTCGCAACGTCAACGTCGTGGTTGTCTCCTTCGAAGCTACTCGCTTCCATCCTGCAGTCCAGAACATCGCCGCCTATAGCGACGACAGCGGCGAGCAAATCCTACAAGATGTCCGCAAAGCGATGAACAAAGCCAAGGAGAGTCTGGTCATCGTCGACTCACTCTACGAACTACTCAACGACAAGAACGTGGACATGGGCGCGCTCTTCAATCTCGTCGCGATGGAATTCGCATCGACCCTCGTCGGCGTATACCATCAAGACATGCTACCCACACAAGATGCGCAGACCGCGTATGCTCCACAGCCGCTCGACCTGTTAAAGTACATGGCCACAACAGTCATCACCTGTAAATCCTTCGCTCACGTTCTCGCCGCCAAAGCCGCTAAAGAGCGCAGCTTGCCCGAGCCGACACATGGTCTCCTCCAAGGCGCAGAAGGCATCGTGCAGTGCCTTGACGCAAACGACCACCGCGGCATCGTCCTCGAAGCAGAGTTCCGGCGCAAGTCTGGCCGTCCCGAGAGCGAGACGTACTCCCTCCGCGCCGCGCGCCCGTCCGACTACAACGTGCCTCTCCCCGGTTTGGCCTTTGGCACTTTGAGGCAAGAATTTGTTGTGCTGCTCGACCAAGTCCCTGCATATGGTAACAAGGAAGTCATTGGATTGGTCAATGCGGCGGCGAACGAGATGGAGTCGACGTTCAATCTCGGGCTTACGGACAAACAGAAGCAGGCTCGCGAGGGCGTTGTACTTCCCTACTTTGACGCACAAAAAGGCGAGGGTGGTGAAGGAGGTAGGATATTGTATGACATGGGCAGTGAGGACGACTTCGACGAGGAGGAGGATGAGATCTGAGCATGGCACATTGTAGGTGTGACGTCATGTAAGAATGATGAGTTTGGCGTTGATGGTGGACTGGGTTGGAGACTGTTCTTTCGATGGTATACCCTGCATGGAACGGAGTTGGGGAAAGTGCACGGTACTGTGTACGCGTTGTGTAGACGGTGGCGTCATGTTCGTCCTTTAGCTATGCGGAAATACACAAATGTGTCAATCTCTAAGAAGTTCTTTGATGTGAATTTGATCGAATATTAAGAGGCTTTCTTCAGTGTCTTTTGTCTGCATATGGCGCTACTGATAGGTAATTTGAGAAATGAGTGTTTCAAGCATGTTTTTTATCCTAAGAACTCATCATCTTGCCTTCGTCTGGCTTGTGGTTTGATGGGCCTGAGCCATTGGATAACCCTTAATTGGGTTAGTCCATGAACAACCACGGTAAATTTCAGGCCGATTGACATGCTGCACGCTCGTCATTCATGGACAGTGTCAACGCTGAAATCGATAGAAAAGCGAACTTTCCTGTTCGGGAAAATACCAGCTAGCTCCTTGGCATACAGTTTCCCGAGGCGCGCGACCCCAAGTTTGCGACAAGCCACACTCAGTCAACACCAGACAAGCAACATGTCTGACAACGAACGCCCACGCGATCGTAATCGCGAACGAGACAGTCGCCGAGAGCAACGGGAAGGTCGCGATCAGGGCGGCGCACCCAGCGAGCGGCGCAACCGCTCACGCAGCCCACGGCGAGACCGCGGAGGTGGAGGTGGAGGAGGAGCCGGTGCCCGACGCGACAACCGCTACCGCTCACGCTCGCCTTTCAAGCGAGAAGAACGAGGAGGTCGAGGACGAGGCGGCGAGCGGGATAGCGATGAGCGAACACGCAGCGGTCCTGTGCCCCCCAAAGGCCCGCGCAACGGCCCCGGACCTCGACGCGCCGACTTTCCTCCCAAGCCTGTTAGAGTCGCTTCGCCACCCGTGGAGACACCAGATATCGAGATGACGGAGGACAAGCAGAAGCCAGAGGACATGGACGATGACGAGTGGGCCATGATGCAGACCATGGGCTTCAGTGGCTTCAAGAGCACCAAGAACACGAAGGTGCCGGGGAATGACAAAAACTTCGGTATAAGGCGGGATAAGACTATGGAGGCGAGACAGTACATGAACCGACAGGGCGGGTTCAACAGGCCACTTTCGCCAGGCCGAGGATGAGGAGGGGCAGGTTTTGGTTCTGTCAAGGTCGGATCCTCTGGACATTTCATTTTCCGTGTCGGGCTTTGAGGTTTATGTGCAGCTCGCAATGAGGAGGGCACATGTGTACCTGATGCGACCTGGTACGGACGAAGCCGCACGCGCTGAGGTTCTTTTGGCCTACGAGACATCTGCGCTGGGGTCCACTGGGACCTACATCTGTAAGGGACATAGTCATGGTACGGCACCCTTCCATTCTTCAATTACCTGGTGTGTTCGTCGGTCTGACTGGAATTTCAAGGAGATGGGAAATGGGAAGAAGTGGTTACTCAAGGCGTATGGCGAAGCGACAATCGAACCTAGTGTTTACTTTATTCTCTTCAAAAAGTCTTAAACGCAAATTTTATGGATATAGGTTTGTTCCACATAAACGCGATTCATATATCGGAATTCTCGGCCATCTGCTCTATGTTTCTCACCAAATGTTTGCTGTGTCATGTTTGAAAGCCATAGATGTCAGCAAAGCAGTAGTGGAGCTTTGAGGATACGACATGCATGCTACCACATGCGGATACCTATGATGGCAGCCCCACAGCGCCAAATGTCCCGCAGCTAGGTCAAGCCATCCGCAGCTTGGCCAGCTTCCACGGCTGAACTCCAGCATCCACAGCTGAACTCTAACTTCCACAGCTGAATCCCAACACCCAAGGAGATATTGCAGTCGATTTCCATCTTGAACAACTGACATAGCTCGATCCGAGACACTCCCGGCTCGAAATCAAGATCCCAGCGGGACAGGGAGCAAGGCTTCGACGACACAGGGAAGGAGCTGCGTAATGCATCCAATCACATCACAGCAAGGCCGCGGTGTCCGATACGAAATGTGTCCCAAACTTCCCACACTCGAGCTCCAAGCACAGCTTCACGCGCTGTAACCCCAACATCATGACGCGCGACTCACGGCATAGCAGCCTCTGGAAGGGGCTGGCTTGTCTTCTTACGCTGCAATCATCCCTCGTCAATGCGCAGGTCGCCGAGATTGAGAAGGCCACCAACGATAGCTTGCTATGGGGTCCCTACAGGCCAAACGTCTACTTTGGCGTGCGACCACGCATCCCCAACAGCTTGATGGGCGGGTTGATGTGGACGAGGGTCGAGGACTACAGGAGTGTGCAGCAGAGTGAGTGCCGCCACGGATTAATCAGCAATCAGAGACGACGGGCCAATAAGCTCTTCATCACATAACCGTGTTCTGTACCGCGACTGCCTGCTGACTAGCATAGCCTTCCGCCACACGTGTGAGCAGCACGAGCTCGACGGCTATGGCTGGGACGAATACGACGTGCGAAGCGGCGGCCGCCAGACGATCCACGACCCCGCCAACCGCATCGACATCACCACCGAGTTCATAAAGTTCCCTGGCGGAGAGCACGGTGGCAGCTGGGGCGCGCGCATCAAGGGCACGCCGCGAGACAATGCCTCGCCAAACCTCCGCACTACGGTCGTCTGGTATAACACGCTCGAAGGGCTGGGCAGTCTGGAAGTAGAAGACGCCGACACGGAAGAGACTGGCATTGAGGGCGATGTCGTGCTTAAAGGACAGACAACAGAGCTGGGCGACTTCGAGGTCAGAGTCACCGAGGGCAAGGGCAACCATCCGCGGACAACCCACCCGAGTTACGACGAGAAGCCGCTGGATCGCACGCTGGTCCATAGTGGTCAGCTGCCGGCCAAGGCGCTGTGGCAGGTCAAGTCGATCTTGTTCTCGCACATGAAGGGCCAGATCGACCTTCTGGTGGCCAAGTACCCGCAGGACAACCCGCCTCCTCCGGCCCAGGTGTACACCATTCAACACTTGCCCGGCAGTGGGAACATGCACTTGGTGCAGAAGATCTTCGAGGGTCCCTTCGAATTTGACGTCATCTTCTCGTCTGCATCTGCGCCCACCAAGATCACGTCTGAGGACCTTGATGTGCAGATCAAGTCTGTGACCTCTGGCTTCGCAAAGCGTTTCACCGACATCTTCAAGCCGCAGGCGCCATTCCTCAAGGGCCGCTACGACGAATTCTCTAAATCGCTCTTTTCCAACCTGATCGGTGGCATTGGCTACTTTTATGGCGAGTCTCGCGTCGATCGCACTTACGACGATGCCTACGAGGAAGAAAACGAAGGCTTCTGGGAAGAGGCCGCTGAAGCACGTGGCAGGAACTTGGCTGAGACTGACGGGCCATCAGAGCTGTTCACTAGCATCCCTTCTCGTCCGTTCTTCCCACGGGGGTTCCTCTGGGACGAAGGCTTCCATCTTCTTCCCGTTATTGACTGGGATACCGATCTAACCCTCGACATCATCAAGAGCTGGTTCCAGCTCATGGACGAGGATGGCTGGATTGGCCGCGAGCAGATTTTGGGTCCTGAAGCACACAGCAAGGTGCCTGAAGAGTTCCAGGTGCAATATCCTCACTACGCCAACCCGCCCACGCTTTTCATGGTCATCGCATCCTTCCTCGACAAGCTCGATGCGCAGGCTTCTGGCTCTAATGAAAATGTCCCACATGACGAGTCGTACCACAGGCAGCTAGCAAATCGCGAGGCAGCACTGCAGTACCTCCGCACTCTCTACCCACTACTCAAGCGTCACTACTTCTGGTTCCGCAAGACACAGGCCGGCGACATCAAGAGCTACGATCGTGAGGCCTTCTCGTCAAAAGAAGGATACCGATGGCGCGGCCGTACACCCCAACACATCCTGACCTCTGGTCTTGACGACTACCCTCGTGCTCAGCCACCGCACCCTGGTGAGTTGCACGTCGACCTCATCAGCTGGATGGGTATGATGACACGCGCCATCAAGCGGATCGCCATCTACCTCGACGACGAAGACGATGTCGTCGAATTCTCCAGATACGATGAAGCCATCGTGCGTAACATCGACGACTTGCATTGGTCCAAAAAGGATCAGACTTACTGCGACGCTACTATTGATGACTACGAGGAACACGCACTCGTCTGCCACAAGGGGTATATCTCCCTGTTCCCGTTCTTGACTGGCCTTGTGGACAAGGATAGCCCGAGATTGGGTGCTATCCTGGATTTAATCGGCGACGAGGAGGAACTCTGGACGGAATTTGGACTCCGAAGCTTGAGCAAGAAGAGTGAATTCTACCACACGGCCGAGGATTACTGGAGGGGGCCGATTTGGTTGAACATGAACTACCTGGCCGTGGTGCAGCTTCTTGTAAGTCCTCTCTCACCCATACAGTTACAGTTTAAGAAAATCATGGACGTCTGCTAACGCACATAAACAGAATGTCGCTCAACAGCCTGGACCTCATCAATCGCGCGCAAAGACGCTGTACACGGAGCTACGCAAGAACCTTGTCGGGACCGTGTATGAGAGCTGGAAGAAAACGGGCTTTGCGTGGGAACAGTATAATCCTGAGACAGGCAAGGGACAGCGCACACAGCATTTCACCGGGTGGACTAGCTTGGTTGTTAAGATTATGGCTATGCCTGATCTTGATGGTGGGAAAGTCAGGGATGAGTTGTGAGGATGGGAAGGGATAAAAAGTAAAAACTCAAAACGGAGATGGCAAGATAGGGATGAACAGGCGGAGAAGTGTATGAGGTTGGAAGTACGCGTGTTGGCCAAGGTGCGATTGTATTTTTTATACGCATAGAATCTGACACACAACTTCAATTGCTCTTACAAGTAAAGGAAGACAAGGAGACTACAAATACTTATTTGCGGGGAAGTTTCAAATAATGTCACGAACTCAATATGATGATCGATATCAAGCCGTTTCATAATAGCAATCTTTTGTCACGAAAGGCCTACCCAGAGAACATGTAGCCATATCTACGTAGCATTGGGGTATGCTCTGTAAGTGTACGATGTTCTAGTCTCGACTGACCCAGATAAAAATGTTGATATAAGACCTCTACAGAGCGTGAGCCAGCATGACGTACACAGCTTCATGCGTATCTCGGATGTCTATTTTTTGAACCTGTAAAAATGTACTTCATCACGCTAAATGATGTTTACAACTTTGCTACATCCATGAGGTTGTCCGAGCTGTTGCTAATAATAATCTTGACGTTACTCAAACCACCGATTCGATCATCTTGCATGCCAGACCCCTGTACCTTGGCTTCTCCACTAGCAGTAGCGCGTCCACCACCTTTCACAACTCCTGTCTGTTGTCGCTTTGTCGCCCTTATGAGGCACTAGTCAGTGTCTTTTCTAGGAACACCTCCGTCCGCCATGCCGTCTCCGCCGGGGTATCGATATTCCGAAGAAGAGATCAGCTTCATCCTGCGCAGACCACGGCGCAATGTAATCGCTAAGTCTCGTAAAAGAGAAGGGAGCTTGCTTGGTTCTCTCTACACTCTACTCGTCGACAATCAGATTGGTACGTCGAAGATCTAACTCGTTGCTCAAACATGACCTGATTCAATCGTAGGACTTTCAATTGCTCCCATCTTGACACTAGCCGTATCCCACGCTCTCTTCCCTGGAGCTCGCCCTCACACACGGAGGTTCTGTGAGCTCTCCTACTACGATGATTCTACGCAAACATATGCGCCCGGGTGGAATGATCTGCCAATCGTCCTTTGTTGGCTTGTAATCTTCACGGGGTTGCGCAGCGGCGTGATGGGCTTTGTACTCAAGCCGCTTGCTGTTCGAGGAGGGTTACGCAAAAAGAAGGCTATCCAACGCTTCTGCGAGCAGGGCTGGCTTGTAATATACTATGTTCTTTCGTTTGGGATCGGCCTGGTTAGTTTGCCCTTCTTCTTGGAAGTAAAAGCTAACGCAGCAAATGCAGTGGCTTTGGGCCAATTCCAAGTACTGGTTCAATTTCCGCGAACTGTGGACTGGCTTCCCTAACCCCGCGATGAACGCGACAATGAAGTGGTACTACCTCGTCCAAATGGCGTTCTGGCTGCAGCAGATCATAGTGGTCAATACGGAAAGTCATCGGAAGGATTACTGGCAGATGTTGACGCATCACATCATCACATGTACCTTGTTGTTCACAAGCTATAGCTTCTATATGACGAGAGTTGGCAATGTGATCCTATGTCTCATGGACTTCGCAGACATCATCTTATCGGTTCGTCATGGTGTTCTCTCTCTGCGCATTGCATCTTAACCTACTAATCGTCGTTGCAGTCTGCCAAAGTCTTGCGATACTTGGCCTACCAAACAGCATGCGACGTCGCTTTTGGCATCTTCATCCCTGCATGGTTCATCACACGCCACATACTGTTCCCACTAGTCATCTGGTCCGTCTGGTCCGACCTCCCCGTCGTTATGCCCCTCGGATGCTACTCACTCGCCACCGGGGATAAGTTGCCGCAAAAAGGCGCCACGCACATCGCACATTACATGCAATCGGATGGCATCGTTTGCTTCGACAGGCTCGTTCATATGCATTTCCTCGGCCTCCTTATCGCGCTAGAACTTATCATCATGGTCTGGTTTGGCATGATTCTTCGCGTGGCTTGGAGGGTTATAAAGGGCTTGGGCGCTGCTGATTCGAGAAGCGATGATGAGGGCGACGAGGAAGAAGAGAAGGTCCTGGGCGCGGTCGGGCCGGTGGAGGTGGAAGACAAGCGATCGTAACATTCGTTGCTAGCTATCTAGGGCGGAATTGAACGTTGATGAAGAGTTCTTCCGAGGATCTAGGTTTCACATCTTTGCGTTTACCATGAAAAAGTGACTGAATGTTGTTCAACGTAACGTATGCGAGATCTTCCAATCCTCAAGTACAACTTCATCGCAGCTTGGAGAGTGGTTGTCCCGCAGCATTTATGCTTCTACGCACATGACGGAGCCCCCGACAATTCCAAAGAACACTCCCGAGGTGCTCTCTACAATTCTGTACCAGCGATCTTGAGAGTTCGACCGAGGTTTCGAGATCGTCCAGTCTTGTGCCAGGCATAGTGGCACTCATCGGTTGTTTCTAGCGGCAACCATCACTTGACTCGCAATTGTGTTAGGTCCTGGGTAATACCTGTATCAGATTCTTGTACCACCACTCCATAGGTGTTCTTCCCCGACATTCGTCGAGACATTCTTGGAAAGCCTTGTTGTGAAAAGCTGTTCCCATTACACTGCGAAACTGTCTTGTGAACCCTAGAAACACGAGTTACACGTATGCGTCGAAGGCATTAGATTCATACCACCCTCCAATGAAATTGCCAATCATCAATTCATGGCAACAATTATGTCGAGTTGCTTAGCGAAGTAGGACCTTGCAACCATCTGCACTGGATACCACAATCCTGAGGGTCTGTTTCTCCTACCCCGTTGCTTCCTTCTCAACGTCGGGAGGTAGTCTCAATTGCGGAAACGTCTGGATAACCTTGGTTATCCCATACGAAGCCTCTGTCATCGCAAAATCCTCTCTTCCACGTTAGTCACCATCCCATCAGTATCGTTCCGCAGGGATAACTCACTGCTGAGACAGGTCCGCGGGCCACCGTGAAAAGGCATAAACCCCCACCCGATCGTCTTCTCGAGGTCTGTGCCTTCCCAGCGTTCGGGGTAGAATTCGCGCGCATTGTCACCGTAGAGAGAGGTATATGCCATCGGACTGAACGATGTCCGTCTCTCGTTGAAGAATGCAAGCTTGTCGTTTGTGTTAAACGTGGTATCTGATATTGAATCATACTTTGAAACAACTGACATTGCAATTCCTATAGGATTGGTGTTATACACTCTCGTTTTGTTGTCATTCATGGTGATGTACTGGATGCATGCGCATCGTCAGGATCTCGGATGTAAGCCAAACATTGTTGTTGTTTGCCGCTACCTCTGGAAAGGGCGTTCATGTGTCATGAAATCCCTTATTTTCATGTCTACTATGATCGCAGTGAGCACATACTCTAGATCTCTTGTTGAGATTCTGTTTCGTCTTGTATATCATCTCAATATGTATCTTACTTGGACAAAGCGCAAGCATTCCGCAGAATCTACGTAGTCGATAGCAATAATAGAATAGTTTTTGTTATAGAAATAACGTTAGAATCACATTGTAAAGATGTATTCAATCTTGATATAGGTTGTCATCACACACGTCTCGTCAGAAAGAGATCAGGTATAGTTTAAACATTGTAGTGATAAAATCAAGCAAGCCTTTTGTACACGGAATACTAGTTTTGGACAAGAATCAATTCATGTTTGCTGTTGTCCGAAAAGCTTTCCACGTGACATAAGCCTAGCCGCTCTACGTCAGGTCAGCTCCAACTCGCTCGCCCGTATATACACCTATCGGTATTCGTATCTGACAGTTTAACCTTCGAGTGTATTCTTTACATGTATTAGATCATCATCGTTACTCTCAACGCAGCTTCTACATCTCCGAGAGGATGGCGGCTTCAGCCTTGTCACGTGCCGTAAGCTCAGCCACTTCGCCTTGCGTCATGTTCAACTCTCTCACCTAGATTGTTCTACCCTTGCACCTCTCATTACTAGTTTCGTGGCTACCTGTCCCGCGTTTTTCTTCACTACGTCCATTGGGATATCTTTATTGCTCGAAGACTGCTGCACAAGCCCTCTCCGATGCGCCTTTTGCAGCTCCAAAAAGATGGAGGCTTCAATGTTGTCGAGCGCCTCGGCGACAACATTCCGCCTTATGCAATTTTGTCGCACACCTGGGGATCAGACAACGAGGAAGTCAACCTGAAAGACTTGATAAGGGGCCAACGCAAGGGCAAGAGCAAGAGGAAACTAGGTTATCGCAAGTTGACTTTCTGCGGCGAGCAAGCTACTCGTGACGATCTGCAGTACTTCTGGGTGGACACTTGCTGTATTGACAAATCAAGCAGTGCAGAGCTTACAGAATCCATCAACTCCATGTTTGACTGGTACCGCAAGGCAGCAAAATGTTACGTATACCTTTCCGACGTGTCGACGACTGGCTACACCGAAAATCGTGTGGCGTTTCATAACAGTAGATGGTTTTCCCGAGGATGGACACTACAAGAGCTTATTGCTCCGCAATGTGTTGAGTTCTTTTCTGAAGAAGGCTGCTTTCTTGGTGACAAGTATTCGCGTGTACAAGAGATAGCCGACATCACGGGTATATCTACCGAGGCTCTCCAAGGCAGACCGTTATCAAAGTTCAACATCAAAGAGCGGATGAAGTGGGCGAGGAAACGAGAGACGACGCGTGAGGAAGATATGGCGTATTCCTTACTAGGTATCTTTGACGTTCACATGCCGCTCATTTACGGCGAAGGCAAGAAAAAGGCATTGCAGCGCCTCCACAAAGAAATAGAAGAAGACTTCATATCTGCACGACACATTCGACCTCAGCCCTCGATGACCAATCCAATAAAGTTAGAGTCGGTACATGAGAATCATAAATATACCACTCAGGTTGGATTCACCGGCCAGCCGATAGAGAATCGTGCCGACAAACTAGCAGCACTGGAGCAAATCTCCAAGGTACCACTAACGCAGAATGGAGATGTCCGCATTCTTCTCATCGCTATTCAAGGCCAATTAGCCCAACTTTCAGATGAGCTCAATAGTCAACGATATGCCTCGCCTCCACGCTCGATTCTTGCCTCAGAGAACACTGACTGCGTCGGGGAAGATCCCGAATTGATGGAAGGAATCGAAATATTACAAACTGTAGTATCGCAAGAAGGACGCGTGCGCAGCCAAGAAACAAACCCCCTTGTCGACCATCTCGACAGTATCTTACATTCCGTGTCGGCCTCGCCGAAGAATCGTCCTGAAATCTCGTCGAAACGAAAGTCAGAGGGCCTGGGAGGGGCTGAAGATATCAATCCTCGGGAATGGAAGCGTTCGCGACGTATTTTAGCTTCGTCTCATAGCGTCAGCCGAAATGTCGGATGTAAGTTGTATACTCGTTCATTTATTAATTATACCAACCCTAACACACTTCTAGCACCTCAGTCTGAGGCACGTAAGAAGAAAAGAGTGCTCCAAAAGCGTAAAGCCAGGCAATAATTCATTCAAAATATGAGATAACCATCCCACAAAGCGAAAGCCTCCAGGACAGTGGGACTAAGTCTGTCCATTAGTCAGGCCTCATGAAATGCGTCAAGAAAATCAAAGCTCTCAAGTACTCCGGCGACTTGACAGCTCTCATGGCTGGTCTCTACCGCGTATAAGGCTGGGCTAAAATTCAACCTCTGAGACTCTGAACCCTGTTATGTCGTTTGGTAAGATTCCTACAAACGCATCTCTAAACTTCACTGCTGTCAAGAACGGAAACGTCGTCCAATTCAGATGTCTTCGAGGTACCGGTCAATCGAAAGTCAGAGACAGAGACACACTCGGAACACCGCTACTGCATCTAAGAGACTTTGCATCTGTGCAAGCGACCGTTTTCAGTAAGAATCATTAGTACGTAGCGCTAGAATTAAGTCTGAGTTGTACAATCTTCTTGCTGGGAACAGTGCGGATGCTAGGGGGATAGTGAAGATTTCAACATGTAGATATCATCGCACATATACAAGCTATCATTTGTACTCTTTGTTGTGTGATCGTTATTGTCAATTTATAATGATTGCCCTCCATTCGCAAATCACCACTACTCGAGTACTTCGTCAGTACGTATGAGCACGATGAGAAAGTCACACGGTACCCGCTAATATTATCTCGGTCTATGCACATGTGATCTTTGGAACGTAGCATCATCATCTTGTAGATACGATGAACACATGCGAGCGCCAAGGGATGGGGTATGTCAGGATATGGAGTCTCAAACTTAGGAATATTTGGAAAGATTTTGAAAAGAAGGGCAGGTTCTTGTCCGCGTCCCTTTGTGCCATCAAGGCTATGTCTGTCTGACCCGGAGTACCCATCTACTGAGGATTCCGACCGGTCAGAAGAAAAGGAAGAGTTCGAATTATCGAAAGAAGGTGTGCAAGCCTACTCCGACGAGATCTCGGAGTGCGGAGAATGGAAAGGTGTTGAGTGAAAATTGCTTGGGTTATACATAGATGATGGCTTAGTTCTTACTGACTCTGAGTGAGATGAATTTCATTTTGGGCATACTCGTGAGGTCATGATTGATACAGCCCACAATGTGGACAGAACTAGATTTGTTTAGTACCCACGAGTAGGAAAATCAAGAGCGATATTCTTAATAGGTATCGAACAACCTAAAGTTATCCGTCAATAACATCATCTCGATTAACTTTTCGGCTCTTCCGGTTCTTTGCCGCAGGTCGGCTTTCGGTCAACTGCAAAAACGGGAAGCAAGCTGAGTTCTTTGTAACCTCTACAAGCAGCAGAACCACACTACTCAAAGCATTACACCAATAGCTATCTCTCGGGGTTTCTCCGTCCAAAATTCGCTCTCGTGAGTTGCCATGATAGGCGAGATTGGGTTTCAGCCTTGGGGCCACATGCATGTGAGCGGATCCTTGGGTAAAGTCATCGAAAGAGCTATTGGATACAGTGCCTTACGTGCAGTCATACAATTGCTTTGGTGTCCTGCATTGATGTTTCATTGGCTTGTGGCCGATGGCAAGCGCTCGAGAGTTTACATGGTGCAAGTCCTATGACCGAACTTGCCTTCTTCACAGCCGTCATTCATATAGCCCGGTCTTGCCCAAATTGGGGGTCTTATTTGATCCTACAAAAGCCCTACCAGCAAAATCTAATCTACAACGTATTACGAGCCAACAAATCTCAAGGTACAGACTTATGAGAATTAGGCGCGGCACGATAGTTCATCTTGCTAACACTTCTCTCAGTGAACGTACTAGATGTCACGGAATACGAGACTCCCCCCGGTCGATGCGCGGTCCAATAGTCCGGCCGATGCAAGCTCCAAGTTGTACGATCTCATTAAAGGTCGTATTGAGTCTGATCTGAACTTCCGCGGGTTTGGTAATCAGCAGAGTGTGAAAGACACAATTCTTTCGCAGCTCCAGATGATACATCAGTTCTCAAACTTCAACAGGGAGGGAGTAGTCGAGGCCCATTACATGTTTTGGGCATATCAGAACGGGCAGCTCTTGTGGAGACTCAAGGTTGTGTGTGGTACGCAAGTTCTTGCGATTATGCATCTACTTGTAGAAGTAGCAAACTAACGTACCTCTAGACAGTGACAATCCCATAGTAGGAAGCGAGCAGACACCGCATTACGGCTATGAAATCTATTTCGACGGCCAGAAACTTGGAGGTGCTGCTGGCCACGTTTGGTTTCCAGCCAACTCCTCCCCAAGGTACTGGAGATTGCCACACCTGAGGTTTTCGGAGGAATACCGGGGCAAACACATATACCAGTTCAACTTTCCCAACAACTGCCGGATGGATGTAGCAATGCGGTTCTTTAATATGGGAGACACTGGCCTCTCGAGAGGCGAGGTGGATGCTCGCAAGGAATCAGAGTTCAACTGGCATGTTGTGGATACGTACCCGAAACCTTCGTTCGGGAAAACCTAGTTGCAGTATGGTAACACTGACTTGTCACGTGCATTGATGATATGGTATCGATCAGGGCTCGAGGCATGAATATGTATGAATATAATGTTACCCACAACTCTTACCTTTCACATACGACCATAGGACGTTGAAAACAAGGCTTCCCGTTCGCTCAGCCCTATTTAAGCAACGTACCGGCGGATCAGTAGCTTGGTTGGTGACAACAAGCGAATCCCCGCTGTTGTATGTTTTTGTCTTCGTTTTGCTCGAGGAAGATCTCTTTTTGCTTGCGCAGAAGTGTTTTCTACCGTAAGCGAACGCCAAGGCGCTACGATTGACAGGGTTTGAACTATCACGTGTCGCCCCAGCGGCCCGGACAACTTCCACGACTGAGTGCTACAGACTAACAAATCCCTGCTATTTTATTTTTTTCGTGGCACTTTTGTACTTAGGAAGAGGAGCGTAGTTTGCCTCTTTAGTAGCAAAGCAACCTTTTCACTATTTGCATTGTGCTACTTCCTACTACTTCTCACTTGCCCCTGATCACACACCGCCCCTCTTGTTTGTAGTCAAAAGCTTATTGAGCAAAGATATGACGGTCAGGACCTTTAAGCGAAAGTGATTGTAGAAGGGACAGAGATGCAAGGCTGGCATAAGATTGGCTGCCTGAGGTGTGGTTGTGGTTGCAGCGTCCTCATGATATCAACACCCATTGTTTCTTCTCTAACTGGCACTGGTCAAGGATTCGTCAAAGTCTTGTTGTTACTGCGCCCTAACGATACAACTGCGTGGGTATTGATGACACCGAGTTGGTGCCTGACCGCTGAATTACCAAAGACAGTCGTCCACCGCCGCCCTTCAAGCCCTCAGCCCTTACTAGTCCGTCAAGGGCGCACGAGGTAGTAGGCACCACGTCAACAGTGCTGCTTATACTTTGATCGTATATGTATAACTACAGTTGTTCCCTTACTTCTTAGACATATACAACTACTTTGCTTACTCTTCGCGACACATTTCCCATTACCTCCTTGAGAAGTCCTCTTTACTGAGTGTATTTCTCAGCCAGATCTTTGCAGCTCACGGATACTGGTCAAGTCATGGTTTTAGACGACAATCTCGGCGATATTGGATCAGCAGCGCATGACGAGAGCGGATGGACTCGTGTACACCGAACCAATCGTAAACCTGTCAAGAAATGGCAACGCAATGCTAGTTACTACAGAGCGAGAGAGAGCAACGGCCGAGGAACCTACAACGAACAAACTACGACCAGACAACTCGACCACGATCTGTGGAATTCGCCCAGCATCTCGGAAACAGGCTCCATCGTCTCCTCTTCCTATTCCTCGATTCTCTCAGAAGAGAACGACCCTTTCGTATCCACAGAACGAGTATATTGGTCTTATCCCTCGTCCCTCTCGGAATGTTACTGCGAACTGGGTCGTTGGAGATGCAGCTGCTGCACCACACCAGCGTACTCTTTTGATGGATCCATCTGGACCATGGATCCGGACAGCATACGCATCTTCTATATAGAGGAGATAGACGTCGCAACCGACCTCGCTGCACAATCTCACATGAACGATGCAGGCCGCTGGATCACACATCCGTTCGGCGATCTGCGGTCAGTGGCACGCGCGAGGAATAGAAAGTGGAAAATTCGCGAGAACAAAGGCGGATGTAACAGCTACAGGTGCAGAAAACAGGGACAAACGGAGCAGCGAGCGAAGAACAAGAGGGAGAAGCGCGAGAATGTGAAGTGGGCAGTGCGGGAATGCAATGATACGCCATGCCTCACTTCTGGGTGTTGGTGCAAGGATTTCGATGAGAAGGGTAGTTGGACCATCCCAGTGCCAGAGAAGGGGCAGAGATGTAGTCTTGTTGAATGGGTTGGGAAGGAGGGAAGAAAGCTCATGTTGGAAGAGGCCTACCAGCAAGTGGATAACGATGCACTAAACATGATTATGGAGGCATGCGAGATCGACACGGATGATGTATGGGAGCTCCTATCGACTAGAAGCTCGGAGACTTGGAGCGTTGTTGACGCCAGTGGTGACATGGTAGATCTATAGTTCAATCGTAGGAATTGTCTGAGACGCTCTAGTTCAACACGAACCACCGGTGCTGTGTGTTTTCGCTCTAGTTATTGACCGCGAATTACATGATTTTGCACTGTTGGTACAACGGTCTCAATACATGCATCCCGAAGGTGTAGTCCGGGAAGTTGTGGTGTACGTCACGACTATCAAAGGACATTACCATATATAAGGATATACTTTATCAGGCCCCAGAGCCAGACAGATCAACAAACTATGTAGAGCTTCTTAGCCGTAAATCTCAACATAAATCAAGTGACCGGTTCTATATCATGGTCTCCTGACGTTCTAACAGGACGTGATTCCCACCACAGTTTGCTTGAAATCCTCAGTGTCCTTCTATCCTGGCCAAGTTTTGGCAGTATTGTGTTTAGTAAAGGTCGTAGCAAATATGAAGAGTGCTTGGTATTTACCAGAAGTTTACTCAGAATAAGCCAATGTACCAGTATGCGATTCTTGCAAGAAACAGCCCCTTCCGTTCGTAAAGCAGAGGGTGGAGACAATGAGATGGAGGGAAGAGAGAAAGGCTAGGCGAATGAACATCAAATGATGAATTGAGGAACTATCACGGTCTACTCTGGAAGAGGACACCGAGATGTGAGGGTTGACTGATGACGGAAGTTAGGTCCTTAGAATGCATAGCAAATTACGAATAGAACTGGATCGATTGCTTAACATCACGGTGTCTCAACTAACACCTGACCCTTCCAGTATCAAGCAGCCTATGAATTGTGTATAAAGCTTGCTCCCACCTACTACTTCCATCGTTTCTTGCCTGACATAGCCCACCCACCAAAGTAACACATCGAAAGCCGAACGCATACGGAAACCCCACTCAGAATCCAAGTTCACAAACCCCATCAGCCTTTCGCTATGCAACAGAACATCGCAGCTGCCGAATTAGAAGCCAACAACCAAATTAGGCGGGTTTTCAGGAACATCCCTACAGCGTTTTGGTTCGTATGCGCCGTCAGCACTACCTATTGCGTTGCCGAATACTTCCAATCCCGAGTGCTTCTGATTGTGCCTGCAGCACTTGTCGTGTGCTTCTTCTACGTAATTGACCCTCTAGTCGTGCCTGAGGGCATTCGGGTAAGAGGCGCTTGAAGACGTTCACATGGCATTATGGGAGAAGACAGAGACTGAGAATGGGAACTTTTGCATCGAGGTGAATAGTCACGTTATCATAGAGAACAACATTGAAAGAAAAGACGAGATACACCGCGGATCACTTCACATCCGAATGTGGTGATTGTGAACTTCCTATATCAGGGTATGAAGGTATTCCCTTTTCACATCTCTAGTGCTGGTCCAGTTGTTACCCAGTACTCACTGTGTCTCAAAGGTTAGTGGTACGCCTCACTGCTATTCGGCGTCACTGTTACCGGTCAATTAAATGCCGCTAAAAGACGAGACAAGCTTCACATGAAGATGGACCTGAAGTTAAAAGAGATGGAAACCCCTTAAGTGGCGCGGTGTTACTTCCTCAGGTACACACAGGAGTAACCCATGTTCCGACAATTATTTTCAGCGCGTTATTTGTAATTATTGTGCGCTACGCAGCCCTCTAAGGGTCTTCTAGATCTGCCATCTTGCACTATGCCTTTGACCTCAGACTATCCAGAGTTTTACGTGATCGGAGCGTCTTGAGCGTAGATCTTTGGCACTCTATGATGGAATCCAAGTGCACTGCCTCTTCTTGATCGCGATAGTTTCTACAACAAGGTATTTGGCAATCGAACACGACCATGAGGAATGGGGTAGTAGGTTTGGGTGAATCCGAAATCTCAGAGACTATGCCATGTATGTAATGGGCTCTGACTTAAAGTTCTGGCATATGGGTTGGATGTTGACGTCTTACATATTGAGCTTAGTAACGCACGTTCATGTCGTATTATGATGACAAAGCTCCAGGCTACAGCTCCAGTCGCACCTGAGCCGTCTCACCTAACGCGCACTCATTGATGTTAACCGCAGATGTTGATTCTGACTTTGACGAGCTGCAAGTCGGCCCCCCGAGAAGAGAGCTCGCCGATCTGCGAACTATTCGACGCCAAAGACCTCATCGAGATTGTCCGCGGTAGAATATCCGGCAGCATTTTGAGCAGTAATCTAAAACAGCAAAGATATCGCTGGGTTGTAACGTTCCGGTTGCTTGTTTGCAATGACGATGTGGCAAGTGATAGGACCGTACTCCAACTTGCTTCTGCCAACCTCGAAACGAGATCCTGCAGTTGGCGCCGGCAGGCTGAGAGCATGGCAGACGCAGGGTCTTCCAGGAGTTGCATCATGCAACAGACGTCAGGGTCATCTGCCAGCATTGACCTATCGGCCTGCGCCGTGCGCGTGCGTTCTGGAACCGCAGATCGCGACTGCAGAGGTGTCGCGCATGGTCAGGTTCACCTGCCACACAAGCGCTCAAGTGGGTTATGAGGGGTACGCCACAGCATCGCTATGGAACCTCATTCTTTGAATAGATGGTGTCGTTGATCAACTTGTAGAATGCTGCATTTGTTGGTGACAAGAGAGGCTAGGCTCAGTAACGGTACGACCTAAACATGAATGATAGCGGAGATGCTGAGGGGTACGAATGAGTCGAGAAGGGCGCGAAGGCAACCATCAAGGGACGGCAATGGGCGGCTTTGTGAGCTTCTGGATGGTGAATAGTCGGCAAACGCGCTGTGCAATGATGGTGGAGTAACTGGCGCGCAGGTCCGGTGAGACATGAAGAGCAGTGAGGGGTCGTTTATCCCCCGCAAAGCGATAAGAAGATAAGGAACATGGCAATTAAAATAGCCTATCCGTCGGTATCGATCTGGTTGTCCTGGACGCGTGAAGGGGTTCATCTCGTGACTCGCAAGTTACGGATGGCGTGAACTGCTTTCGTCTCGTACCCGTCGCGCTGTGGGGTGGGCGATCTGGCGTGTCCAGCTGAGTCGTCGGGCTTTCACATGCCAAAAAGGGTGCTCATGGGACGCACACCACCTTGCAATCAATGTGATCATTTATCGTAGTCTCGGCAGTCAATTAGATCACCAACTCAAGTAGGTATCGCCTGGCACACCGTTGCCGCTGCAAGACATGCCTCTCGGCCTGAACCCACTAGTTGGCGTCAATTGAAGCCCCGTGGCTGGTGGCGATGACCGCGATCGGGCTGATAGAGGCTGTGTCACAAGACCGCACCAACGTTGGGCAGATAGATGGCGGCTAAATCGGTGTCCGCTGCTGGTAGAAATGTATTGCTGGAGTCGGTGTGCTAGAAGTTTGCAATTGCAATCCATACTAGCCGGCCACTGACTAGCAAGGGCAGGCAGGGCAGGCAGGGCAAAAGTAAATTCTCTGGAATCTTGCAGGTCGAGCGACCAGCCGCACGTATGAAACGATTGTGGCACCCTGATATACCTATCAAGTACTGAGGAATGTGAAGCGATGTGAAACCATCAGGTTCGCTTGGAAGATGGTCAGCCTGTGCGCATCAACGGTCAAGGCCTGTCGCACAAGACTCTCCTCGCTCCCGGTAGGGATGGTCACCGCATCCGTCATCGCTGACTTGAGACGTGAGTAGTGAGTATTGAAGGAAGCCTGCCGCCGCCGTCATCAGGCTGCTGCGACACGTAGAGCGCTGATTCTGGAGACAATGCACCCAATTGCATTGGAACAGAGTCGATAAGCAGTACAGCACGGAATTGAGGACAATTGAATGCTCAATGAGAGCCGGCGACGTGTAGTCGCAGTAAGTGAAGCGTCATGGCGAAGGTTGAGATGTGGTTATGGTTCGGCCAACAGCGGTAGCTAACCGCATGAGCATTCGCGTAGGGGGAGGGAAGGAGCGACGCAGCGCATCACTAAAGCCCAACCGTGAGTCAACTCTACAACGACTCATCACGGTTCCATGCGTCGCCCTAGATGGCAACCGCAATTGGATATCCCTGATTCGTCGTCGTTCCATCTGCTTCTTGGCCACCCACATTCGTCAGCCCATGGCTTTTCCCGGCCGGAAGACGCGCCAAAGGCGTGCTCATATTCTGGACAATGATGCCTGGGGGGACGAGAGAAGGGCACATGAGCGCGGGCGCATCTGCCACACCCTCTTTGTCCGGCCTTGCTAGACCGGGGTTTCATATGGGCTGCAAAGGGCGGATGACACTGTTTGAGTGAGACAGCGGACCTGGTGCTTATAAGTCCGCCCACCCACCCCCAAGTCTGCGCGAGGATTCGTTGCCTAGCACTCGATTCGTCCTATCTCCGCTCCCAATTCCTCTGCCAGTTAGTAATTGACCATTGACGTACATGGTGTAAGCAGCAGTCGAGCAATTGGTGCAATTCTGTCGCGTTCCACAAGCACGTTTGCGAATGGTCACGTCCTGATATATAACAAGGGCACCGCCACCGTCGACCTCCACCAAGGCTGCCATCCAGCATTCACCCATTCACACCCTCTACCACTGTTGGTCTCAGCAAACGTAAAGTCCTTTGCTGCTGCCTGGAAATCATTACTATTGCCACTTGCCAGCGGTTTCGTGCTTCCCAAGGACAAACTTCACACCCCCGACGCAGCATGGCAAACTTCACACACAACATGACCCCGAGCCAGCGTCTCACAGTCTCCTCTCTCCTCTCCCCGCCTGAGATGAAGCGCTCCGAGTCGTTTGGCTCTTCAATTGCGCCCTCGTCGGCTCAATCGTCCTTCTCCCCCTTTAATTCCACGTCTGCGTCGTCCGCCATGAAATCCAACATGGCGTCCTACCAGGCTGTTGGTTACGCCTCGCCACCGATTTCGCCGTACAATTCACAGGTGCAGAAGGAAAACATGGGGGACATGGAAGAACAGGGCTCACGCGACCCTCAGCTGTTTGTCTCTGGTGATGCAGCGACGTCGATGGCGCTCGATGTGCCCCTGTTCCCCCAGGAGTCGGCTGAGGCTGCTTCCCAGCATGTCATCACGGAGCACATGAAGTCACCCGGATATGCAAAGCTGCAGAGCAAGCCTGTCCGCGAGGACTACGAACTTGCCGTCTTTGTTCAGTCGACCGTGTTTGAGCAATACGTCAAGAGTCCCAGCACGTGGTGGGCACGAGAGAGGAGTTACGACGCCCATTACAGCCAAGCAAGCCGCGTGGAGAAGCGACACGCGCTGAAGAAACTCGCGCCTGCTCCGTCGGCTCGACCTCGCCAGCCTAAAGTCGCCCTCGCCCGACTTCCTCCTCGTACGCCTCGTGCGCCCAAAGCGAAACGCACCCCCCAAAGCCATGTGCTGAACTCGTTCGACGCCACGCCCACGACTGCGTCTCCCAAGCCTGTACGACTGGCTACCAATCGCGACGACACGGATTACAATGCACTGCCCAATTTTTGCCCACCTCTCAACACACTGCCCAAGGGCAACAACAAGGTGCTCAAGGCCGAGTGGAAGGGAACGGTGCTTGATCTCTCCAACGACGTCGACCGGCATCTGCTGCACGAGGCAGAACTTCATCTGGCCGCGACGCTCCGGCTCAATTGCGCGACATACCTTTGTAGCAAGCGACGCGTGTTCCAAGCGCGTGTCGAAACGCTCAAGATTGGCAAAGAGTTCCGCAAGACGGACGCTCAGCAAGCGTGCAAGATCGACGTCAACAAGGCCAGCAAGTTGTGGCAGGCGTATGACAAGGTGGGCTGGTTTAACGCCGAGCACTTTCGCCAGTATCTGTGAGGTGGCGATGCATCAAGTGTGATGGACGGGTTTGTTTTTCTTCATTTAGGTCATTTAGCATATTGCACGCCGCATATTGCATTCGAGAGGTCGGTGTTTGGGCTTGTTTTCTACATGGGCACAGATTGATTACTACATGGGCGTTCATTTGGCGAGGACATGTATTGGTGCGAACGGGATGTTCAGCCACGGCGTTTGTTGTTTGTCTCTTCTTTGTATGCATGCGATACCCAACTCAACATGCACCAGCATATCATGTCACAGTCCAGGATGGACTTTCGTGCTCTCTACCACGATGTAGTCTAGAATATCATCATTCCACACTTGATTACCTCACTCTACTTGTGACCAGGTGCTATTCATGTATGATGATGACAGTCGACCATGCAAGAGGCAGACCCTGGATCGAGGGTGGTGGGTCTCGGAGACGATGCGGGGAGTGGGCTGCGTGGTGGCGCGGCTGTCACTAAGCTGGAACAAGGCTTGGCCAAACGTCGCGTCCCCGTCAGCCGCAACAACCTCACCTTTTCTCCCACGCCGGCCCTCGACGCGGAAGTGCGCGGAACCCGATCGCCAGCATGTCGCAAACACAGCAGGTGCAGCACACCGACTCGATCAACAGCCAGAACCCGGCCCACGACGACGCGAAGAAGACCAAGAGCAAGCGGCCGCCGAGTAAGCGACACTAGGGCAGAGTGCATCGCGCGCGAGGGAGCTGACAGCAGGACAGACACGGCGTTCCGGCAGCAGCGACTGAAGGCATGGCAGTATGTGTAGCATCACGTGTAGCATCATGTGCAGCATTGATGTGGGAGAGAGAGAGAGAGAGAGAGAGAGAGGCTGACGACCCATCCACAGGCCCATCCTCACGCCCAAGACGGTGCTCCCGCTGTTCTTCGTCGTCGGCGTCATCTTCGCGCCCATCGGCGGCCTGCTGCTCTGGGCAAACTCGCTGGTGCAGGAGCTCTCCATCGACTACACCAAATGCGCCTCGTCGTCGCCCTCGGTCCGCGTCGACTTTGACGCCTCGCAGCCAAACGACCTCGAGAACATCCCCTCCAGCCGCGTCTCGGCCACGTTCAAGACGGCCATGACCTCGGACCCCCAGTGGGGCCACGGCTTCGAGACGTACACGTGGCCGCTGACGGGCGTCGAGCAGAACACGACCGTGTGCATCCTGAGCTTCACCATCCCCAACGAGATCAAGCCGCCCATCCTCTTCTACTACCGCCTCACAAACTTCTACCAGAACCACCGTCGCTACGTCAAGTCGGTCGACATCCAGCAGCTCAAGGGCACCGCACGCACAAACTCCGACCTCAACGACGGCGACTGCGATCCCCTCGCCCTCGCCCCCGATGGCCGTCCCTACTACCCGTGCGGCCTCATCGCAAACTCCATGTTCAACGACACCTTTGGCAACCTGACTGTTGCAAACCCCCAGCAGAACGGGGACCAGGACTCGGCCAAGTTCTACAACATGACCGCCGCCGGCATCTCCTGGAGTCACGAGGGGGACCTGTACAAGAAGTCGGCCTACAAGCCCGCCGACGTTGTGCCCCCGCCCAATTGGCAGAGCCAGTACCCCGACGATGGCTACAACACTGTCGGTCTTCCCGACCTGCACACATGGGAGGCCTTCCAAGTCTGGATGAGGACTGCCGGCCTGCCCACCTTTAGCAAATTGGCCCAACGGAACGACGATACGCCCCTGACCATTGGCACCTACCGCTTGAAGATCTACGACCGTACGCTTCTCATCCCCTGCACTGATAGAATGCATCATGCTAACCCGTGTCCAGGTTTTGAGGTCGAGCAGTACAGCGGCACAAAGTCGATTCTGATCTCTACCCGCACTGTCATGGGCGGCAAGAACCCCTTCCTCGGCATCGCATACGTCGTCGTTGGCGGTGTCTGTATCCTGCTGGGTGCTGGGTTTCTCGCCACCCATCTCATCAAGCCAAGGTCAGTCGCGTATTCGTGCATATGTACATGTTACACACTGACACACATGCAGAAAACTCGGTGATCACACCTACCTCACTTGGAACAACGACCAACCCAGCACGGCAACAACCACTGGTCGCAATGTTGGTGGTGCATAAACGAAACTCGCAGGATATTGCTCTATATAATTGAGGCGTTGATTTTGCTTCCTTGCTTCGGTTCTTTGCGCTTAGATCATGATTATAGCCTTACACTTGATATTGTACGTTTATCATGTGGTGTGGCTGGTGAGGAGTTTGGGTGTTAGGAGAAAGACTGGGTTATTGTCTCTCTTGTCTTTTGAATGCGATTTACTATAACCCACCATGATCACCCTCAATGTGACTTACTCGATAGGTTGAAAAGTTTCAGCTGACGTTGAACATAGTGAGGATGTGAATAGCACTTTTACCGTAAGGTCAAATAATTTCATCAAATTTTGGATTTAGATCGCTGGGCCTAAAGCCCGTACGGTTATATTCGACGAGAAATCGAGCATACAAGACACGTGCGAGTGACATGAACGCTAAGAATAATGGGTAGGAGAGGAAGAATAGGTGTAGGGCCAAGCTTCTCCTGCAAGCCGACGCTTCCATGAGTGGAGGACCACGTGTACGCTCATGGCATGAAGTAGCACCGCAAGGAAGGTGACATTAATTAAAACATGGATTAACAGTCAACCACAGAAATGAGCCAAGAAGCACCTTTACCACTATACCTCGACAAGAAGCCCCTCATACCAACAACCCGACAAAACCCTCGTCTACATCCTGCATTCCACCCACCCTACTCGAACCAAACAAACAACTTACACCACACCACACCCACCAATCCCAATCACTCCTCACAATCGTACAAAGATCGCAAATCAGCGCCACCCACACCCCCTTGCATCACCCTGCAGCAAACCCCGCCCACCTACCACGACCTTCCCTACAAGTATAAAAACACAATGCCGCCTATTCACCAACCCCACCTCCGCTCATCCTCCACATCACGCCTAAAACCACCCTCCGTCTTCCGCTACATCCTCATCCTCCTCAAAGCTCGCCCTACAACGACACACACCGACGCATTGTTCATACAATCATCAGCTCGGAGTGCGTCAACGACAAAAGTGTCGAATAACGGTACGGCGGGAAGTTACTTCGGGATTGAAGCAGTCCTTGTGCGAGAATCGGAAATAAGTCTGCCGCCGTACGAACCTTGATATGGCGACTATTGTCTTCGCGTCTGTGAATTTGGCCAAGAATAGTGTGTCAGGGGTAGAGGAAAGAAAGTCTTCTTGGGATGCCGGAGTTGGAGTGGATATGCAAAGGAGTAAAGACAATGGAGCAGTGGCGGACGGTCCGGATGTGGGGGATGCGTGTGCGGTTATGTAGGATGATAGTGCTATTCATTGTCTGTGATTACAAGCTTCATCTTTTGTTCTGCATACAAGTTTCCGTAAGTGAAGACGACAATGTAGAAGATGTATACTGAAATCACCTGAAGGAGATATGTGCTTGGTAGAAAAGGATAACATGAGTTACCAAAGGGGAAGTCACTTCAACAACGATACAACCTAAAGGAGAAAGGCAAATTGCTCAAGAACGATTACATTAAACTAACGCAGAGATCTAAACTCTGATTTGACATCATATGAATACAAAAACAACCTCGACCGCGAAAATAACGATACTGTGATGCACATCAAACTCAGCCTAGCACCGACATGAAGAGACCTAGCGGAGGTGAAGTCATCTGAAAGAAGTCCATTGACAAGCCGCCAGAAGAGTCGACTTGATACGCAACCCTCTGTCCAGCTTCGCAAGGCAGACTGACAACGTTGTACTGACTGCCAGCCTGTATAGAAGACACGCTACCCACTGTACTGAGAGTGCCAACACCGCCACCACTAACGTCCGCCAAGGCCGTTTGACTTCCCAGACGAGATACACTGATACCTCCAGGCGATCGGATCTTGACTGGTGCGAGGTCTGTAAAGGGAAACGGTGGCGGCATGTAAAAAGCAAGGCTGCAGGTTTTGCCCTGATGCTCGGGGTGAACATCGAAGATGAAAACAGTGGAAATGGTAGTGGACAGCTGAGCCAAGTAACTATTTCCCATAACGTTCTTCGGGTTCGCCTTGTCTATGGGAATAATAAAGTGAGGCGCTTCGAAGGCGCCTTGGAGGCCTGTAGGATCGGTGCTGGGAATTGGTAGATCTTCAAGTGACAAAGCAACCGCAGATGCTTCAGTCGGTGTCGGCGAGTTGGGTGCGATCACAGCATCGGTAGAACTCGTGGGTTCGGTTGTCGAAAAAATACTGTTTAAGCGCGCTACACATTGTTAGCAAAAGATGCTTCATGAGTAACAACATCACCACCCCCTCTTACTCGTACTCAAAGATACAGTGCTCGTCGATATCCCAATCATACTCCCGCCGGTAGTCGCCGATGGGCTTACAGTCGTTGACGTCTTTGCATGTCCATTAGCCCGTGCATTCCAACCACAGGACTGTATAGCCCAGGTTGATGAATGTACGAGCGAATGTGTGGACTTTATGCTAGGACAGTCGAAACGTGACTGGACAGGAGGCAAGATGTATGAGAGCACAAACGAAGCGACTGAGAGATTGTACAAGAAAAAGAGAAGGAGCGGTGACAACAAGCATGACAAAACAAATGGAAAGAGAGGGCTTACAGATTTGGCACTCGCAGGGCAGGACAGGTCGAACAGTGGCTGCACCTGCAGGAGATCACCTGCGGGCTTAATGCCGAAGGACGGGACCGGGTTGCCCATCTGAACATCTTGCAGGATGTAGTAGAAAAGGTTGACGTTGTCCTTGACAAGTTGGCAGGTCACATCCTCCCAGTAGATGCGGGCATTATCCGCACTGGGCACGGCTTGGTTCAAAGTCTCGCCGGAGACGGGCCATCCGGTCTCGGTAACCCAAACAGGCTTGCCTTGAGCAGCAGCGGCGGTCTGCTCATACGCATCGAAGAAGAGCTGAGTAGAACCCTCGACACTGTTGGCCATAGTGGTCTGGAAATATGGGTACGCATCCATTCCAATGAAGTCCACAGCAGAGATGACTGCATTGTTGCTGGAGTTGGTGTAAACAGTCCATGTGTCGACGTGGCCGATTGGTGTGCCTTGAAGAGCGGTACCGCTAATGGCAGCGCGGGTCTGTTGGATGTAGTTGACCAACTCGTTCGGCTGGGCACCTGCTCCGGACTTGTTCTCGATTCCCGTGGGGGTAACGCGGTAGAGGTCTTCGCTGCCGACTGAAATACCAACAACCAAATCGGTAAACGCTGTGCCGTACTGCGCTATGGCTGATTTGAGAGCAGCAATCTCGTTGTTGACTACGTCTTGACCGGCTGAGCACCACATCCCCAAAAGAAGTGTGGTGTTGGTGTTGATCGCGGCCTCGATCGCCTCGATCACTGTGTTTGCGGTGCCGTGCTGAATCATGGTGTACAGACGGGCGCTGGTCCAACCATCGGTTCCAGGAAGTTGTTTGGCCGCATTGAATTCATATTGGAAGTCAACGAGCGTCTTCGCGGCGTCGTTGTTGAACTGGGCGCCGTAGTTGAATCCCTTGAGGGCTGCACTGGCAGTGGATAGGAGAGCCGTAGAGGCCAAGAGAGAGGAGTTGACGCGCATAGTGAAGATAGGTGATGAGGAGAGGCCCAAGATGAAGAGGTAGAATATTAAGAAATGGAGATGAAAGTCGTTGAGGCAATAGGCAAAGAAGTAAATATATGAAGGCAAGAAGAGCTATTTATTCGCTGACGTCTGGGCCGAGTATTGTGCAGGTACGTGCAGTAGCTGCAAGGGGAAGTAGCAAACGCCATGACGATCACGTCTGCAGGGATTCCAGATCCACATGCGTCCGTTCTCTCTCCAGGAGCTCATTTACGGTATAGAGATTGGATGTCCACTTGTTTCATTGCGATTACGACGCAAACATTTTGAACTTGTTTGAACATTGACTGATAGTTGCTGGTCACACTGTTCCATACAACGAGCTTGCAGAAGGCAGCCTTTTGTGAGGAAAGAACAAATGGAAGCCTTTCCTTTCCGGCTTGGCTAGCATTGTAGGCTAGTGTGGAGAACCCTGTCCTCAACCATTCTGGAAGGCGACGTCAACCACCTAAAAATAGAACTAGCATAAAATATTTACTTTGTGCTTTGTCGGCGAGTCAAACACCACGCAGCCACTCATCCAAAAGCAAAGATGTCGTTTACAGAAGCAACATCATCGAAGCCATTGCGAAGTCCTTGAGCATGGTGTGGCGAGTCGTAGAACGCGTGTCCAAGACTATCGAAAACAGTTGAACGTGGTGCGAATGAGATCACTGGAGGCGACCGGACTAATCGGCAAGGTCGCACCGAAGCCCGCGAACCAGATTCAATGCATCGCGTGTCGATACTTTGTGTGTACCCAGGATGACAGCTATCGATATATCGTCGAATGTGGAACCACAGTCGTCCCACGGGCAGTTGGTATGCAGGAAAGAGTTGCATCAATTGTTCATTTGACAGTCCAGCACTGGAGGCTGAACGTGGATACTGGCGACAACCACGTCAGGAATCTGGGTGATGACGTGGGAAGTTTTGCTTGGGAACTAAAGAACGAGCCTTTGTATGCACCAAGGGAGTCCGGCGTGGCGAATGTGGATCATCAGTGAGGCGCAGAGCGCTGGAGAGCGACGTTCGACTCCAGCACATGATACTTCGAGATGGATGATGAGTATCGTGATCAGCCTTACGGCAAGGACACTAGTCCAAACCAAGATGCCGTTAAAACCCGTTGATCGCTCGACGTGTGGGCGAGTATAGCTCTCCAAAGGGATAGAATGTCTTCCGATGGTATTTTTTCAAATGGTGAATGTGGCATATGAGAAGCCGATATGGTAGCAAATTCTCGAGGGCTTCAAAGTTACTATCAAGTTACCTTGTTCATCACATCCAGACAATCGAACTGACACATCTCGACGTGGTATCATAGACTTGCAAAAATGTTTAACGTCCAATACCATAGCATGCATTTTTCTCTTTGGTTTATCAGCAGTAAAGCTGACCATTTGTCTGTGCCAGCTTTGAGTTCTTTTTTCCACCGTAGCTTTTCAAACGCTCCAATAAGTGATCATGTCGACGCAGAATTGTAATACAGGCTCCAGAATTCCCGCGCTGATGGAAGAATCATGATGTTTGCAAAGTGGGCACTTTGGGGTGCAAGGTGCAGATGTTGACGATGTCTTGGCATTGCGAGCTTGGACGCGGTTCATGTTGCCTTGAAGCTCAAGCTCGAGAAACACACAACATTGCCGACACTGCTCCCTTTGCCTGTCCCGCGATTCTCCCTCGGCCTTGATATTCCAACCTCAGTGTCAAATCCTATTGTAGCGCGCTTCCTCGTTCTCGACATCTCCCCCGCACAAACGCCGCCAACATGGTATGTTCCCAGTTGGGCCCCGCTGAAGCTGTGTTGCTAACGCGAGCAGTTTATAGCACGAAGTGAATATGGTGAGTGGTCCCATTGTTACCTTGTTGTTTGATCTTGCTAATGGCCACCTCTAGATCGTGGCATCAAGTATGCACTCGCACCGCCCCCCGCTCCCAACCCGCCCGCTCACAATCAAACAGCACCTTCTCGCCCGAAGGCCGTCTCTTCCAAGTCGAATACTCGCTCGAAGCCATCAAGCTAGGCTCGACAGCAATAGGCGTACCTCTTCCGCTGCCCCATATCTTAGCATCCAACTCACACCCCGCAGGTAGCAACGGGCGAAGGCGTTATCCTAGGTGTAGAAAAGCGCGTCACTAGCACCCTCCTCGAGACCAGCTCCGTCGAGAAGATTGTCGAGATTGATCGCCACATCGGCTGTGCCATGTCGGGCCTACAGGCCGATGCCCGCAGTATGGTCGAGCACGCGCGCGTCGAGAGCCAGAACCACGCCTTCAACTACAACGAGCCGCTGCGCGTCGAGAGCTGCACGCAGGCGATATGCGACCTGGCGCTGCGGTTTGGTGAGGGTGCTGAGGGCGAGGAGAGCATCATGAGCAGGCCGTTTGGTGTGGCGCTGCTGATTGCGGGTTACGACGAGGATGGGCCGAGTCTGTACGTAGCCATCTCTTTGGGTGCTACTACATCTTGACAGAGAGGGGAAGAAAAGAGAGAATTCTGGGCTGACCAAAGAACAGTTACCACGCTGAGCCCTCCGGCACGTTCTACCGCTACGACGCCAAAGCTATTGGTTCTGGATCCGAGGGCGCGCAAGCAGAGCTGCAGAATGAGTTCCACAAGTCGCTTACCCTCGCCGAGGCCGAGGTCCTCACGCTCAAGACGCTCAAGCAGGTCATGGAGGAGAAGCTGGACAGCAAGAACGTGCAGTTGGCGAGCGTAACCAAGGACAAGGGCTTCAGGATCTACACAGACGCGGAAATGGAGGAAGTTGTTGGACGGCTGCCTACGAACTAGCGAGTGGCGAGAGTACACATGTATGAAACATGGTCTTCTTGAGCCATGTGTAGATGAAAGGGATACTCGAGCGTCTTGAGCGTAAATCCTAACCACGATAAAATGAAGCAACGTCTGAATGCCATCCTGATCACCGTGCTGCCAGCCAGTCACGAGCAGAAGAAATGTCTATTAAGCAGCCCATGCACTGATACACAGCATGTTAACGCTCAAGCCATGCTCCCTATTGTACATGATCCCCCCTCACGTCCTCCCTATCCCACAGAATGCATCTAAAATGGGTTGTCCTCGGGCGCAATCTCCTTGATAAAGTATTTGTTGATAACGGGGATCTTGAGCATAATGTCGTCGCGCACCTTGGGGACCTCGGCGAAGAAGAAGAGCGCAAAGAAGCCAGCAACGCCTCCGAATCCGCCAGCAAGTATACCGCTGCGGGGTGTCAGTATATATATAGGGCGCTTTTGCAAAGTCGGATGGGTAGGCGTACGCTTTCATCAGTGTGTTGGCGGTGATGCCGTGGAAGTTCTTTGCGATCTTGTATCTGAGAATCGTGCGTTAGTTCCAGATTCGACATGAACGTGGCCCGGTGGTTTCGGAATAGTGTGGCGTGGTGCATCCGTCTCTTCCTATGCTGCCTCTGACATGCGAATGTGTGCCGTCCGCTTCTTCGCAATCCTCCGCCTCATGCTTTCCTTTTCCCGCCCACACCCTCTCATGCCCTCTCTTTCCTAGGCCCTCCCTAACTGCGCGAAAAAGACCAGAAGTACGTACTGAGGACCAAAGGGGCTTCGGTAAGCCTTGTACGGACTGCGCTGGCTCTAAGCTCCTGTTAGCCTCCCGTCCTGTCTCCCCCCACACTACCCATTTCTCCTCCACCTCTTCCTCTCAATGGCGGGTGAGCTTACGAAAGCAGCAATCGACTTGCCCTGGACGGGCGGGGCGATGGGGTGGCTCATGATTGCGGTTGCGTGTGTCGTGAGGCGTGAAGTGACGATGCAGAAGTCGAAGTTGGTTGACGAAGGTGCCGGGACAGGCTTGGCGTGGGCCAATCAACAAACCGGGATTTTGCGGGTGTCAGCAAAGACATTGGAGATTCGACTTCACTTGTTGTTGGACAAGTTGACGGAACTATGCGTTTATCGGCCTGTAAACATCTACCAGCAAATAATCTTATACTCGATTGTATCCACCCTCTATTGCGCCTGGGTATTTCCACCTTTCAAATCCAAACCACCAAACACCCACTTCTAAAATGTCAATTGAGCAACCAACTCCCGTCTCTAACCCGTGTTTCAACTACCCCGTTTCTAAACCTGATTGTCACCCTCCTTCTTTGCTGCCTTCTTAGTATCGATGTTCTCTCGCCATTCTCTCCCATACAACGCAGTATAATAGGTAGCCGCCGCACCAGCCATAAGAAAAAAGGCGCCGATAGTGGAAAACCATCCCACGCCTATAGCTCTCACAGCCGGAAGACAAGCAACAGACGCAGCAGCAGCAAATGTATAGCGCATGAGATAATTCCCGGCTATCATATCATCAGTTTCTCTCGTGTCTCGAGGATTTGGAGGTGACTTACCAACGACTTCTGCACTCCTTCCCTGCATAACATCTAGGCAGTATGCATTCAGACTTGGAAAGCAAAACAGTTGCGCTACGCCTTGCAAAAACATCATAGCGACGGGCAACGCGACACCACCGACCCTCTTCTCAACACTCCAGCCATAGATGATCATGCATACTGGAATTACTCCGCCTAAGAAAGGTAGACAACTACGCAAGCGGTCTTCAGCAATGCGTGTACCCCGGATACGGATGTATTTTTTCACAAAGTGGTCAGCCCATCGGCCGCCAAAGAAAGTACCGAGCAGATAGCCGCAGCCTGGAGCGATGTAAAAAAGGCCGGATTGCATTGGCGAGGAGAGATTGAAACGAGGGTTGAGGACGTATCGGATGGGCGTCAAGAGAGCATACATGTTCCAGACCAGAGATGATGATGCTAGAGCCTTAATATGTAATTAGTGATGTTTCGTGTGTGTCTAGTAGGTTCGACGTACAGCGAGGAGTAGATTTGGATAGCGATAGAGACGAACGACGCGAAATGGGTTCAGCCATTGCCACATCTTGCGCGCTTTCGCAGATGTAGGAAGGCCTTCTAGCTCATGCGCACGCTTCTCGTGGATCGTTTCTGGCTGGAGGAAGAAGCAAAGAATCGTCGCCGTGCCTGCAAGAGCAGTTTGCAACCAGAAGATGTCGCGCCAGGTGCGGAAGGTTACGATGATACCTCCGATGAATGGACCTAATTGACGTCAGTAGATGGATAAGAAAACTCTAGAGGTGTAAGCCCACCTAGAGCAGGCCCAATGAGAGTGCCACTCATGAACCATCCAAGGGCCGTTGCGCGTTCAGTCTATGATGAAATTAATCATGATTAGAGAGTTTTGAAGGGACATGGCAGTGGTTTAACGAGACGATGTAAAATCATATTGCTAACAGAGAAAGGCGGTACGCACTGGTTTGTATATGTCCCCAATGACTGCACTTCCAACAATTAGAAAAGCAGTCCCTTGGAATGCGGTAAGAATTCTGAAAACAAAAAACGACGCCAAGTTCGGTGCCAGGGCGGTGCCGATAGAAAAACCAGTGAAGAGCGTGGCGCTGGCAACGGAGACCTGTTTACGATGTTAGTAACTCAATATAGAATGACATTGCTAGTTTTCTCGGATAAACCAATGTGACGCCGATGTAGATGCGTACCCATTTTCTCCCATAGATATTTCCATACGGTCCATAGAAGCAAGGGCTGATGCCCATGAACAACATGTACAATGCATTCGATAGATTGATGATTGACCCGTCACAACCATAAGTCGCTGCTACTTCAGGGACAGCAGACAAGACAGTGGTAGAAGAAGCTGGAGCGAGGAAGCTACAGAAAGACATGGCTGCGACTATAATCATCTTCCGGCGTTCGGAGAACCGGTTGTACACCTGGTCCAAGTCGCCGGTCGCAACGTAGCTGACATCAGCCATATCAAGGTGACTTGTAGCGGATATAGTGGTCTGGAGCTGGAGGCGGCCTTGTTCCTGTGGGATAATAGAAGCATACTGTGTCTGTTTTTCATGCTCGACTGGTTGTAGACCAGCAGGTGCTGAAGCGGATGTACTTGATTGTGCCATCGTGTGAATTCATGGAATGCAATGCTTGAAACAACAATCTTCAATGGGATGTAGAGTCATTGACCGAATAGAAAGTAAAGCCGAGGTAGGCATGGTAGGGTTGATCTCGAAGGCATTACTAGATATATATGTGGGAAGCAAGAAAGTAATGACTCAAATGTGAGTCGTATTTTACAGCTCTGCATTGCGTACAGGCGGTATCGATGCGTTGGGCCGTCATAGCCTACTCAAGCAACCACTTTTCCGAGAACATGTCTGCAATGATAAGACCATATATCCGAAAAGCGGAGTAGCTTGACCAGGGCACCGGAACTGTCACCTGTGCCGAACGCCACAACCGTTGTGATTGGCATTGCGCGCCGTTTCGTGGTGGAGTCGGTGAAGGCAGGACAGAATCCGCGCCCGGAAATAGTGAAACGATTTTTCACTAGTCGCTTGGCATCATGTTGGGTGAAGAAGGAACAACCGCGACGGTGGATGAATATTGCCAAACGCGTGCAGAAGCTACAAGAGCGCGAGCTATAGAGCTCGTCAATGACTATGTGTATTGGTGCTAAATGGACCGATATCTCAATTACTTGGCCTTTGTCCCTGGGGAATCCTATTCTCAACGCCTGTACCAAAGATCAATCCAAGATGTGGAATAACGAAGAATGCCGTCAACGCCAACCATGCATAACGCCAGCCCTAGGAGAGGGGTCGGTTCAAATACTGAGCTTGTCCAGGCTCAGACGATCTGCGCTTTGATGCCTCTTCACCATGCCGAGCTTGTAGAACTTCTCCTCGCCTGTTGCTGTCCGGCCGCCAATGTACCACTTCTCTGCGCCCAAGACCTCGTTGAAGCCCTCTGACGAGCTATCCGACCCTCTTCTATGTCTCTGCGAGGCGCCTGGGATGGGGAAGGCTTTTGTTGTGGGCGATGTGGAGCGGTGGTAGGGCGTCGCGTGTTGTCTCGTTGGCTGGAACTGGCTCGTGGTCTGCACAGCTCCCGGCGTTGCACCAGGCGAGGGCGAGCGCGTCTTGGCGGTGATTGTGCGTGTGGCATTGGCCGTGTCCTGGGGCTGGCTGGTGGACGGGGCGGCCGTCTGGGAGTACGCGGCTGCCGACACTGCCTGGGAGGCGGCGGCCTTTTGTATGACGGGTTGGGCGCGAAAGGCCGCGAGGAAGCCACCGAAGAAGGGTCTGTTTGTCGTCATGTCGGGGAGGGCTGTCGGTCCGTGTGCATCAAAGGCTCGTGGTCCCCAGATAGCGACGCCCGCGGTGGCCAGCGTCCGAGGTGCGGTGCTTCACGTGTCGCCGGTCGCCCGTGTCTGTCTGGCCGTCGACGGCTACGGCTACAGTCGGCCAGCCTATGAGTGACGTAGAGGCGCGCACTAGCTGGCGAGAGATGGGACGGCGATGGCGGGGTGCGTGGTGTGGCAGCGGGAGCAGGCGTGTGCGTGCAGTCGCGGGGAAAAGGAAGAGCAAGAGCAGGAATAGGAACAGGAGCTGGGTCGACGACGCTGGTGGCCGTGGTGCTGTTGTGGGCGAGGAACAATTCGGAGGACAGGTGATTCGCGGGCCTGCCCGATATCCGACCGAGGCGACACGCTCAGTGCCCTCTCGCCAACCCCACGAGCGCCCAACGGCTCTTTGTATCGTGTAGGCCCTCCGAGGAAGCCTTGGATCTCGCCGGCGCCTCTGTCGACGCCATCTGCTCGCTTCCCAGACGTGTGCGGCTGCGGCACCATTCGCTCACCACCTCTGGTCCTGACGAATCCCTGCCCGCTGTATGGCTCGCTCGCCTACGCCCGGCCCTCCACCCACGCTACTGTCGTGGCATGCCTGCTCCTTCTTACACTCCAACACGTCCGACATCCACACCGTCTCCTCTCGCATGCATACCAAGGCCATGACTGCTGCCACTGTGCGCTGGACGCCTCGTGTGCATCTCTTTGCTTCTTCACTCTCGTCTGACCCCACCCTGGCTGACTTGGTCTGCAAATACGGAGGATATCATACGAGAGAGGTCTTGTCCTGGGGCATGTGTCACTGGAGGCTAGTGGCTGATCAAGGTGCACCACATCATGCGTGCGGGGCATGACATGCTAATCCTCCCACCCCACTCGATACGTCGATACCAAGACGTGTGCGGGTGAAATGCCATGCTATTCGCACACATCTCCTTCAGCATGCGCATGGGCACAGCTTGATCGTCATCCAAATAGAATCCCATACCGGGACTCGTCTTTGCAATACTCATTCTGCTGACCTCGATTTTCGTTTGGCTGCAATTATCGTAATGCCTCTCGAGATCCACATTCTCGCTTGTCGTCAGTTCTCAACGTCGTTTGTATTGCTCGTGCTCACGACAGCTCATATAAGGCTCATCAACCTCCTCGCGTTGACCATCAAGACCGTCTTGCCAATGAGACGTGTCGCTCGATCCTGCAGCATAGCAAAGTATGTTGGATACACACAGTCTGTGTTAGATCTCAACATTGCACCAACTGTGTTATGCAAAGGATTGACTCCATGATTCATGCGATCTCAAAGTGCTGATCAGTAAATTGTCGATTCTAGATTTCCGTCTCCCATAAAGTGCATTCCAGACCTGCCAACACACCGTGCACCTTGTACCAGGATGTATCGCATGGGCTTTGCTCTTGGTGGCCCCTTTAATACCTCTCCTCTCTCAGCTTTGCACGTATGTTGATCGATGGTGACGACGCATCATCTCATTTCCCAGTATTCTTCTTGCATAGCTGGGTTCTCAGTACACAGCCTCCTCCACGATCGACATGTTCTAGACCTTTTCCCCCTTTCTCTCTTCTGCCAACGCGTTTCTCACTATCGCTCCACACATCTTTGCATACGGATTTGTCCTAACACTCATCTCCCTTGCAACCTCGTCCCCATATCGTGCCGCAGCAGCGAAATCCTTCGACGCCAACTCCTCTAGTTCGTTCTTCCCTAAGCCCTGAAGCTCCGTGCCTGTCTCTGCCGCTTTCAGGTAAAGGTATGCGCGATGTGAGTATGCCGTCCTCAGTATGCGTGCCTGGTACGGCGAGACGGGCGCACTCGATAATGAGGGGAGGGAGAGATGAATCGCCCGTGCAAGATCCGTAAATAATGGTTCCACGTTGGATATCGAAGCGGAAAATATTGACTGCGAGGAACCAAGAGAGGATTCTAGACGCAGTCTTCGCAACATCGCGCGGTTCACATAGACGCTTGGGTAGTTTGGGTAAGTCTCTATTATGCGATCCATTTCGCTTATGCTGAGATCGATTTCTGTGACTCTGGAAGTGTTGGATACTTGGCGCACGATATCGTTTTGTTTTGTTTCCAATGTAGAGAGTTGTGAGGATGGTATGTTGGGGTGGGAGAGCAACGAAGCGTCTATTGAGCTGGCGTCCTTTGATTTGGCGACGGAGGAGGGGAGGGTTTCGGGGTCGAAGAGAGCATTTAGAATGCGAGCATCGTTTGCTGTGAGAGAGGTGTTGGGAATCGCCATTACGAAGAAACTTGAGTGAACTTTTGCCTCAGAAAGTGTAATTAGATTGTAAGGGAGCCTGAAGTAGGTACTTGTATTAGAATTTGTATCTGAGGTTGATAGTAGATAAATAGGTTTGCAAGTCACGTATCTAGCAGTATGAGTTCATGTATACATGACTTCGTCTGTGGTAAATAGCGGCGAACTATATGTCGGCTTAAGCCACGTCGGCATCTGACGGCTTTCCTTGGCTACTGCAAACGCCGCATTCAAGCTGCAGCAAATTCTTGCAATAGCTTTACGACGGATCAGAACATTAAGGGAAAACTTCTGTGACCCAAAGTTTGTAGATTTACGCAAGGACTACCTTACTGGTTGCATTATTCTCGTAGTTTGACTGGATTCTTGGTGCCATGAAGAACACCGCTTACTTCCGGCTTCTACACTGAAGCCCTTCGCAGACTTTCAGAACTTCTCAACTATTAGCCACCGTACCCTTTGTAGCCTCGTGTAGTCGAATCTAACGCGTATCGACATACGTTATTCCGTCTGAACCTTTTTCGCATGTTGTTAAGCATCCCGCGATACCAAATCCGTATAGACGAAGTCGCGTTGTTCCAAAAGCGGATAACGGCGGAAAGTCAAATAGTGGAGGCCGAGTGTGCACGAACAGATACCATGTCACCCTGTTCTCTATGCTCGGCTCAACAATCACAATGACGCTGAATTTGAAGGATTCTGCAAGCGGCCTATTGAGGATGTCGGTTCTTGAAGGAAACTGCATGTTACTTGATAAGAGATAAAACCCAATGTCCACATAAGCTTTCACAAACACATCTCACAAACTCCGCTCAACACTCTTGATAAGGGAAACAGCCTCATCTCAACTCTCTATCCAATCTTCATCTATCTTGCCGCATTTTGATCCTATATTCAAGATGGCACCCGCTGCTATTTCCCCACCTGGTTCTCCAAGTCTCTCTGCCGCATCCCCTTCAGACATCGCATCGTACCGTGGCTACCACCATGTACACTGGTATGTCGGGAATGCCAAGCAGGCTGCTTCCTTCTATGTCTCACGCATGGGTTTCGAGCGCGTCGCATACCGAGGGCTCGAAACTGGATCTCGAGTGACTGCTTCCCACGTTGTAAGGAATGGCAACGTGACCTTCATCTTGACCAGCCCCTTGAGGTGTTTAGAGCAAGGCAAGAGATTCAGCCGGGAGGATGAGAAACTTCTGGAAGAGATCCATGCGCACCAGGAAAAGCATGGTGATGCTGTCAAGGGTAAGTCATCGCCAGTGACGGCAAACAAGGCGGTAGATATTGACCATATACAGACGTCGCCTTCGAAGTCGATAACGTAGATGCCATATACTCCGCCGCGGTCGAGGCAGGTGCTCACTGCATATCCGCACCCCGCGATGTCTCTGACGCAAATGGAACCGTTCGCCTTGCCACTATTAGAACATATGGCGACACCACGCACACCCTTATCCAAAAGAACACTTACTCCGGTACCTTCCTCCCAGGATACCGTCCAGAGCCTACGGTCTGTGACCCGCTTTCCAAGTTCCTCCCACAGATCCAGCTCTCCGCTATCGATCACTGCGTCGGCAACCAAGACTGGGATGAGATGGAGAACGCATGCGACTACTACGAGAAAGTACTGGGCTTCCATCGATTTTGGAGCGTCGACGACAAGGATATCTGCACAGAGTACTCAGCTTTGAAGTCCATCGTGATGAGCTCCGCAAACGACGTGGTCAAGATGCCGATCAACGAGCCTGCCAAGGGAAAGAAGCAGTCGCAGATTGAGGAGTATGTCGACTTCTATGGCGGCCCGGGAGTCCAACACATTGCCCTCCGAACCGACAACATCATCCGCGATATCACAAATCTGAAGGCGCGGGGTGTCGAATTCATCAAGGTCCCAGAGACGTACTATGATTCCATGAAAATGCGGCTGAAGAAGTCAGGCATGACGCTAAACGAGGACTTTGAGACACTGAAGGGCCTTGATATCTTGATCGACTTCGATGAGGGAGGTTACTTATTGCAACTCTTCACGAAGCATCTAATGGATCGACCAACAGTATTCATTGAGATCATCCAGCGCAACAACTTCAGCGGCTTTGGTGCGGGTAACTTCAAGTCACTGTTTGAGGCTATCGAGAGAGAGCAGGACCTGCGGGGAAACTTGATCTGAAGAGGGATTTGACTCGTAGCATCTTCTGGCGTTTGGAGCTCGTGCGTATAACACACATAATGCCGTTATCTTGACAGTTTAATCAAAGAGTCACAAAGACGTGTTCTCTGCATGTTTGCCAATTGTGGGTTTCTATATGACCCTGCCCTTTGATGAATCTAAGAAGGAAAATATTGTAGACCGCCGACCAAAACGCCCACCGATCCGTGTATTGCTTTTCTCACTATATATAAAACGCCTTTCCAGAAGATGCTGCCCAGATAGTCCTTACGACATTGGAAGGTTCCAGATGAAGTCAAGCGTTCCATCGTCAAAGCCCTGGAAGCTCTGCTGACTATCCAGACCAAAAGGCGCCATTGCCGGATCAAAGGGCAGCGCAAGCCAGTCATCATCGGGCATCATACCAGTCACGCTCTCTGCGAGCGCAGCAATGCCAGATTCGCCAGCGTGATGGTTGTTCAGAAAGTCCATACCAGTCGTGGCGCTCTTATCTGCGGATGTCGCGCGTGATGGTAGTCGAGGAGGTCGCGAAGATGCCACGAAACTCTCTCGTAGACGTGCAACATGACAGTCGAGAAGAGTGGCATATCGCGATGCTAGATGCATATCGTCAAGAGTGCCTGTTATAAGGTTAGTCAGGTCTAGTCACAACTGCTAGTGTCTACTTGCTTGCGCGTAAAGCCCGAATCGCCCCCTCAAGGATGTCCAAGGATGACTGCAGCTTTTGGTTTCGAGCACCCAGGCTCAAACCCTTGATAAGATAGATTGAGGAGGTCGTAATTCGCAGAAAGATCCTTACTGGCGAGTAACGAAGCGCTCCTGTTTCCGACAGCTGACAGACCTTCTGTAAAATCTGACAGCTGCCATCGACTACTTCTTGGATAAACTCGTAGTCTCGGGGCTCAACATTGAAAGGGAGGATGTCTTCTTGGCCGCCGTCTGGATCGACCTCGGCGAGGGTACGCTCGACAACGGCTTGCATACCAAGCGAGTTCGTGTATATGCGTACATACTGATATTCTATGGATAACATATCGTGCAGTCCAACTTTGAGCTCTGTTCATCCATCAGCATATGTACGGCCATTAGATTTCTAAGATCATCCACAGAGTGATTCAGGCAAGCAAATCTAAGGGTTGTACGACTCACTGCAAGGATCGAGGTACTTTTTCCTCCACGCTATCAGCAGCGGCTGGAAATGCTCAAGTAGTCCAATATATCGTCCAGTGCGTAACAAACTTCGTGTAATTGCGGCAGATGGATAGATCGTGTCTGACACAGATCGCGCAAGCTTGGTCAGCTCAACCCAAGCGCTCATGAACGATTGCCATTGCTCAACAGCGCCAGTCGCCGAGTCTACTGGAATTTTCTCCATCAGAGCGTGATTTAGGCTCTGCGGGATCATGGAGGTGCACCCCAAACGCCACGAAAGCTGCTCAAGCAGGACGTAGAGCAGTTTGCGTGCTCGGATTCGCCGCAGAACCAAGAACTCACTTGTAGACTTAGGATACGACGTCTGGTCTTTATCAATGCTGCTGTTGTCCTCGAAGAGACCTAGTTCCTGCGCGAGTGATAACGCGCATCCCATCAACATCCAAGACATCCGATCTGAGCGTTTTGCGGGTTCGATGACGTCCTCAAGCCAACGACTGGACGTTGTATCGCCTTCCAGAAGCTTCGCGCCCTCCTCTGTCGTGTTGTTTGCGCCTATCATGAGCTCGCAATCCCAACCATCGGCGGCAGTGGGAAAGTGAAGCGCACGCGGATGCCATTCTGAGAGTAGAAGTAGCGCTTCGATTGATCCAATCGTACGGCTCTGAGCTTTTGAAGGTTTGACTTGACCAAGCATGATCTTCATGATGAAACGCTGGCACTGCTCCCACAGTCGATCGTGAACGAAATACCCTCTAGACGCGCCTCCCACACCTGGCAGAATGTTGTAGCGCGATGATATCATGAGAATGGTGGTGCAAAGGAACGGATCTAGAGCTATCAACGAGTAGTGATTCTCATGAAGCGAGTAGAATTCCCCAAGAATAGGGGACAGAGGCGAACAGTTTTTGAAGAATAGGTCGACATAGGTGACAGCTTCATGCGCGGAGAACCAGCCCATCTGCACGAACCTACACGATGTCCAAGTTTTGAGAGTCTCAGGCGATGGCGTTGACATTTGTACTGGCTGCGCCCTGAAGGTATGGAATGGCGACGAAGGCATGCCGTTGAGGTCGTAGCCCGATTGTCCGGATCTTGGAGTCTCATATGCTTGAGATCCTGATTGCTCTTGGTTATCGATTGCATCCCGATGATTTGCAGCCTCAAATAGCAAGTTTAGCGCATCACTGCCACTGGAGACAACTGTTCTCATCACAGAGTGGGCTAAGTTTGGCTGAGACAAGGAGATACGCCGAAGGTGAGGCGGGGATATAATGTCAGAATGATGGCCGTTGCTCCTTGGTGGCATATTCCCAGTCATCGAACCAAATGCCGAAACAGATGATCTTGGAACTGGTGATGGGTGCGGTTGGGTGAATGAAGCTATGTTTGTCTCATGCGCGACAGTGTCGTCTGTCTGATCTGGAGCAACGGCTTGCTCTTCTTCTTCCTGCGACCTTGTTTCTCCAGGTTTTCGCCTCTTGACCCAGGATCTTTCGGATCGAAAAACACACTCTCGCATTTCGCGCTTACATCTTTGACAAGGCGGCTTTAGATCACCGCCATCTGGCCCGGTTCCTAGAATGCATTTTGCCTTGCGCTGTCGACAATTGATGCAAGCCTTGTAAGCGCGCTTGAAATCATCCGGATGGGCTCGTTTCTTGCTGTTTGCGGCGGCTGTCGTATCACCTTGGCCAATATCTGGTTCCTGCATCTCGATAGTCTGTGACTCGTGATGGCGGATTGTCCAGGCGAAATTCTGGTGACGGATTGTTCAGGTAAAAGGCGGTAACTGTCCGATGGCCCGAGCGCTTCATCATGACTCATCAATATCTCAACAACCGTGCATGATAACAGAATTCCAAACTAGAATCGAGAATTTCATCTCGCACTTCATATCGCTTTAATGAGAAAATCAATAGCTGCGAATGACCCCGCTAACACAAACTGCAAACTAGCTACAATTAACATGTAACTGGTTCTCGAACCATGGATTCTGCCGCACCAGATATTGCTAGTCATAGTGATGATTGTTTCCTCGTAGATATGGGTGATATCGCTAGCAGCATGGCACTATTCGCTCTTCTTACAAGAGTTACTCGATGGGAAGATGATGGTGCACCTAATGCGTACGATATGGTAGCTTTTTGAACAAGCCTCGAGAGACAGAGATGCGTTATGCTGCGCTGGTTGTGACCGTCCCAGCAACTGCACGCAATTGTAGATAGTTGTGAAGTCGAGCAGACGTATGCTATTAGATTCAGAGCGATAGCTTTAGTCACGCCAGATCAACTTAGCCGTGGGATCGAAAAGACCACGATCCCGTAGCAGAGCGAGGACAACCGCTTTAGAGGCACTTTGCTCACTATCAATCAAGTCTACTTTAGAGTGACCCCACCACCCATAATGCGTCATATGGCTAAGCATGAGTGTTTCCGAGGGCGTGGCCTCCTGAGCTTACTCGAACCCAAAGCTCAAATCCGCCTCCGCCTCCCACTCTTTCTGAAAGTCCTCCAGTACTTTCGTTCTCCGTTTTGCCATCTCTTTCCCCGCCCCAGTCTTCATCATATTCTCCAGTTTGACCAGTTTTTCTTCAAAATGATCAATCGCCCTACTCATGGGCTGATCCGGGAACTTGGCCGCACCGAAGGAAAAGCAACGTCCCACACCTACAGCGCCAATGGCATCCAGACGATCTGCATCCTGTACAATTGCCAACTCGGGGTGTTTTAAGATGACTGCAGCAACGGACTCTGGGTTGCGGATTTCATTGGTATAGCTGACGTTTTTGACAATGGTCTGAACTGTCACTGCTAGGTTTGTGTCTGCGCCTTTCTCCAACATCGTGTTTTTGATTTGGTTCTCAACGTCCTCACCGGGCTTCGCATACTTGTGATCTCCCACATCATGGAGAAGAGCTGCGAGGAAGAGAACCGTGGTGTCGTACGAGACGGATGGATTTGCTTTGAGCTCCGCGGCATAGATGCGATTTGTGTTGGAAAGGACTCGGAGGATGTGCTGATAGTCATGCGAGTTATCGTATTGCGACATGTAAGCGTGCACGAAGGCGTTGATCGATGCGAAGAGGTCCTGATGCTTATCCACAATGGGGACTAGTGGCACAGGCAACATCTTGTTGGGAGGAACATTGGAGGAGGCCATAATGTGCAGATATATGTTCGATGGTGGTGTGAGTGTAGTGACGGTGTCACGGATCCAGGAAAGTGGGTAAGACGTGTCTTGTCAATGGTACTGTTCAGGATTCCACGTCATGGGCTTGTGAGAAGCAGCAGGAGGGTTAAGACGTGGGTCGAAGATCGGAATGGTATGCAACGAAGGAACGTTACCGCGTGTTTTTGGTGCGCGTGATCACATGTCTGACAAACCTTTCCCTATTCTGGTTCAAGGGCCGTCCTCTTTATCACAGCTTGTGTGTGGAGATCCTCGAGCGTGCTACCGTGATCCTTTGTGACTCGTCCAATCCTACTCCGTACAGAACATATGTGTATTTCAGCAGAGACAATGTGCAGGCAGAGGCGTCACAGTGGTGCAGATGTGTCCACACAGACGAGACAAAAGGTGTAGTTCTATATCGGCTTGTAGCGTCTCTTCAACTGGTGATTAACTGTAGAGTACTAGAGTAAGTAGAAGATCCTTTTGGGCGTGCGGGGAATCATGGCCGCGGCGTGCAGGGGACCAGACAAGACGGAAGGATGTCTGGGGTCGGCTGGGTGCAAGGCTGATGGCTGGACCTCGGCAGGCCACGCGACGTCCATGACTTCACTCGTCGATATCCCCCGTCGCGCCAACACCGCCCTCTCGACGTGCAGGACCCGACCATGTACAAGCAGGCGACGCAGACGACAACACAAGTGCTGTCGCAGCCGTCGCGATGGCTGGACATGTACTCGGACTTTATCGCCAAGAACAGCAGTGCCGTGTCGCAGATCGAGTCGGCGCTGCGATCGCTGACGTATATAATACCAGGTACCCGACCCGCCGACGCGCCGTTGGGGAAGAAGCTTATCGAGTGCAGGTCGCTTCCGCGAGTCTGAAATCGCGTCCGAGTCCTGTACGTCTCGCGCCCCAGTCCGTCGCTTGGCCCAGAAAGGAGGCTGATGACCACACAGTACACAGCGGCGTCCAGCTCCTCGCCCTCTATCATGACTCTCTCCTGTCTAAGGCTATGGCGCAGATGCCAGGCACGCGTCGCCACCAACCTACCCCACACCACCGCTATACCAAGTTCTGGACGGAGAAGTCGCCAACGTATAAGCGCCTTGCGATTGTCTTGCAGATGATACAGTACACGGAGCTGTTGTGGGAGATGTCAGCAAAGAGAAAGGGCGAGAAAATGCGCTGGCGCGTGATTGTCTTGCTGGAGATGGTCAAGGCCGTGTGCCGGCTGCTGTTGCTGCGCTTGACAAACTCGCGTCCGCTACTCTCGCCCCCGCTGCCGCAGAGGGAGATTGACCCCAGCTCTCTCGAAGACACATCGGCAAGCGCAAACGGAATGGACACTCCGCCTAGCGAAAGCTCGGTCGAGGCAGAGAACTGGACCATGCCACGGACTGGGCTGTCGATGCCCAGTCTGCCCGATCCATCGGACATTTCAAACTACCTCTTGTCCAAGGTCCTCACAGCCGACGATATCAAGCCTCCCAAGGCGTTGCTGCATCGAGTGAGTGGAAAGGGCGAGCTGGCAGAAGCGCTGTACATCCTACGACCTGTCGCCTACGCGCTAGCTATGCAGCACTTTAGTGGCGACCGGAAGAGCTGGCGACCATGGCTTATTGGCGTGAGCATCGAGTACGGCGCACGACAGCTGGCCAAGAAGGACTTCCAGGAACGACTCGCGGGTGGCATGCGGGGCCTGACTGGATTGGAGCGAGACGAGTTGAAGAAGCGAGGGTGGGCGCTAGGATGGTGGATGATGCGAGGCGCCTTCTATGAAAACGTGACCAAGTAAGTCGGCTGTGGTGAGATTGTAGAAGACATGAGCTGACAAGGCGCAGGTCCTGGATACACACGGTCACGCGAACGCTCAAGAGCAAGCCCCTCTTGGACATTGCGGGTGGTGTTATCGAAGACTACGAGTACCTTTGGGATTCGTACTACTTCCCAACAGCGACCATGTAGTCGTCGCTGTGTTTCTTTGTTGTTTTGCTTTGGGGGGTTATGGGTGGATGACGGTCGGGAACGAGGTGACGGGATCATGCTCGATAATACATGGCAGCATGTTGCTGTCATGACATGTACATTACTTTCTCCAGATACCAGATGCTTTGCACGATTGATTTGTTATGTTGGAATACATTGCTTGGACACACGTCTCTATTCGTTGTACACTGGCTTTCAGCGTTGGAGTGATTGCTCACTGACGCACTAGCGTGGAAGCTTGGGCAATTCCAAAGCTTCGACAGAGCCGCACGCCGCAACAGCGAGCACCACGACAAGCCCGCCCGCCACCAACAAACACCACCGCCAACGACCACAACCACAACCACCACCACAACCACGACACCCCGCCGCCCCCAGACGGACACATCGACCATGCCCGCCACGACAGCAGAGACGCTGTCACTCGTGACCCGCAACGTCTCGGTCGCGCCTCTGGTGCTCCTCTCGGCAGCAGACCACTACGGCCGCCAGGCCAAGGGAACACGGAAGCGAGTCGTCGGCGTGCTGCTGGGCCAGAATGACGGCCACAACGTGCGCGTGTCCAACAGCTTCGCCGTGCCGTTCGAGGAGGACGAGAAGGACCCTTCGGTATGGTTTCTGGACCACAACTACGTCGAGTCGATGAACGACATGTTCAAGAAGGTCAACGCCCGCGAGAAGCTCATCGGCTGGTACCACACAGGGCCCAAGCTGCGCGCCTCGGACCTGGAGATCAACGAGCTGTTCAAGCGCTACACGCCGCACCCGCTGTTAGTCATCATCGACGTGCAGCCAAAAGAGGTGGGCGTGCCGACCGACGCCTACTTTGCTGTCGAGGAGATCAAGGATGTGAGTCACCACGTTCTTTACGTCACACTCTTAATGTCACATCATTTCTTGCCTCCGCATGTCGTGGCAATGCATATTAATTACATCTCTAGGACGGCACAACAACCTCCAAGACATTTGTCCACACACCCTCCGTGATCGAAGCGGAAGAAGCAGAAGAAATCGGCGTCGAGCACCTGCTACGCGACATCCGCGACGTCGCCGTCGGCACTCTCTCCACCCGCATAACCTCACAACTGCAATCGTTACAAGGCCTGCACCTACGGCTGCGTGACATTGGCCAGTACCTGCAGAAGGTTATCGACGAAGACCTACCCGTCAACCACGCCATCCTCGGCAACCTTCAAGACGTCTTCAACCTGCTCCCCAACCTGTCAACACCCAAGGCTACACCTCTGGGCGGCGCGGCGGCAGGCCAGACAGAGAACGGAGAACTTGCACGGGCTATGAGCGTCAAGACAAACGACCAGCTGATGGCCATCTACCTGTCAAGCTTGATCCGCGCTATCACTGCCTTCCACGACCTGATTGAGAACAAGATACAAAACAAGCAGCAGGCCGAGGACAAGGAGGCGAAGAAGGACGACGCCAAGGACGGTGATAAGGAGAAGAAAGCTGACGGCACAAATGGCGAGGTCAAGGAGGGTGAGAGCGGTAAAGAAAAGGGCAAGGAGGAGAAGAAGAAGAGCTGAGTAGAGAAGGAATGAGCTGGGACGACAGCGTGCCGGGGCGCCAAACCACATTGTTAGACCCTCAAAAGGACTGGGTCAAGTGTGGGGCTGCTCGCCCTGTCTTCCATGGCATAACGACATTATAGACTCGATATGATCAAGCACATGACATGCAACTGATGAGTATCACCTTATCAATTTGTACCTGTGATCTGCACGAAAGCGCTGCAATGTTGGAGGCGGAGCAGAAATTGATGTGATGTATAGGAGAGCGGCGGTACTCACCTCACTCATCCCGGGCTTTCGAATTTCCACATGCTCGAACGAGTTTATCATGTCAATCGCCCCATCCCGCTGCCCACCCAGCGGCCTCCTCGACACAAACCGTGCTTTCCTGCGCAAAGGCACCAAAAGTCTTAGGACACTCCTCCACCAGCACGCAAGCCAGGATGTGTTTGCATACAGGTGGCATATCGGAGCTGAGGGTTGCTCCGCCGAAAGCCCAAGTCAAGTCTCGCTTCGTCGCATCCATAGCATACCCTTCTCCATGCACAGTATCTTCATGTGGTCGCGGTTCGCTTGCAGGCTCGTAGCTGAGATCGGGGGATTCAGAGTGCATGACTGGAAACGCAGAAAAGGCGAAAGCAGGACACGAGCAGTTCCATGATTGGAGGCGGACTTCGTAGGACGTCGTAGTATCATAAGACGCGCTGTAGCGAGAGGAGCGTTGTTGGGCGGAGCGGACGTAATAAATCGTGTCGTGTGGGTTGTGCTGCAGCGGGGTTTCATAGTTGCTTGTGTGATTGTCTGTCGACTTAGAGGGCTCGTCACATGGCCTCTGCACGCCCGCTTCGTCTTTGACCTCTTCACAAAGCACCCGCGGTCCTTCCCGCTCATCCATCACCCTGAACCGCGTAACCAGTCGTCGATCCAGCAAATCCAATGCAGGCAGAAACTCATTCGGAAACAGAACCTGCAAGCTCAACAGCTGTTTCTTCGCCGGCTCCGATGCTGCATTGAGCGGATTTTCCGCATCGGATTGTGGTAGTAGAGACAGAGCTTCCAGGAGCTGCGCCACGAAGCGTCGGGATGTGGGCAACGACATGGTGGGTTCCTGGACGGACAAGGTATGGTCAAAGTCCAAGCAATGCGGGACGGGAGATGTGGGTAGTTAGCGCGAAGCTTTGGGCAAGAGGTTCAATCTGCAGGGTTTGACTTGTAGCCACGGTTTACAAGGATTTTTCTCAGGTCCAGATTGTTACGCGTCATCAACTTCTGGTCTTTGCTGTTTTTCGTAATTTATGTCAGACAAAATTGTCGCTCTGAGGGGATCGGTACCGTCCAGGCACTTGGGCATTCCATATACAATATATCTTCATCTGTCGTCTTGTTACCCCCGTACCGGCTGATTATGCATGATGAGTATGATCTGTGACAGATATCATGGAATTCTTACTTCTACTTAATTCAACCAAGTACCATGCTTATTGTTAGTCATGCGAAGATATGAAAGCGCCTGGAAAGCCCTTACGCGAAAGCTCCAACAATAGTCATAACAGTTGCACCCATAAGCACAAAGCAGAACGCTGCAGTTTTGTCCTTGCCTGTCAGAGTACGATTCGCTTCCTCAGACAGGAAATCCTCAGCAAGCAGACCAATAAGAGAAGCATATATCAAAAGACCAGAGGAGATGGCGTTGCACACACCAACGAGGACCAGACCAAACGCGCTATTTGGATCATACGTGCTTCGAGTAGCAAGTCCAATGATCTGACCGATTGGAGCGGTTGTTCCATATGCGGTGACAAGTACCCATGGCTTCCAGCTTCCTCTAGGATAAGGTACGGCAGCAATACGAGATCCAAGACCAAGACCCTCAAAGATCTGGTGGAATACGATGGCGATTAGAAGGGTGATGAAACCGTTTGCTGTAACGGAGACAGTTATGCCGATGAAGACCGAATGGAAGAGGATGCCGCCCTCGATGAGCGTGATCTGAAGAGACTGCTTTTTCAGTATCAATGGATCTACTTCATGCTCAACATCCTCATCCACGTCTGCCCTGGGAGGTGGAATATTGACCAGAGTCCAATTTCCATCCGCATCCCGAACATTGGTGGTTTTGTTGGAGTCATGACGGCCTTGATGCGGAACAGAAATTCTCAATCCAGGTTCAATGTCTGATGGCGCAAGATCCCCAGCAAATTCAAGACCAGTTGCGCTTCCATGGCTATGTCCCCCTGTTCTGGTATCGAGCCACATGTTGATGGCGAAAAGCGTCAATAATGAGCTCAACATGATAGCACCAGGCATAGCAGTGAACCTTTTCGTGAAGAGGTTTGGTAGACAGGGATTGGTAAGTGAAGCGAAAGCGGTGGGTACGAGCTGCTGTCCTTAGTCCTGCATAACAAGAGCGAATAGAGAACTGTGCTTACATGAACAAAGGCTGTAGCGATCAATACGCCTGTCCCGAAGTGCTTGCAAACAAAGAAGACCTTCAGCGGGATCTTCATCCATTTTGCTCTCCTTGCGAACACCGGAAATCCAGCGCCAGTGATAGAAGCCAAGAAAACAATGACTAGTCAGAAGTTAGATATTTCTTCGACGAGCCTGCTTATAAGTTACCCACAGATTGCGGCGATGTGAAGAGGTAAATTATAGACTTCATCGTCTATGTTGGTTCCACAATCGGGCTTGTTCATGTTGCCCATCATGTAGGAAGGGTTGAAGAGAGATTGTTGTCGAGGGAACAAGTGCTACGACTTCAAAAGACATCGACATCAGTTGCTATTGAATAGAAGGGTCCTGTTTCCACAAATCTGAGACCAGAGGTAGATTCTTTTGTGAAATCTTTGCATTTAACTCATTGGGCACTTTGAAAGCCTTAAGGCTGACGAACCGTGGTTCGCTTACTTATTACGTTTTCGAATTTTCATCAGCCGGGGAGCAAAATCATTTGATACCAACGCACGCAGCAGGTCATCGTGCGGTAGAGCAACGAGCGATCGAACGGGAGCTATTGCCAGCGGAATCTAAACATCGTGGACTTGAATCATGGCGCGGCCAAACATTCATTGCTTGTTAAACGGTTGCTATGCTCGAAGGTGATGTTAGCTAGTTGAGTAACATTTCATTGATATAGCCGTATCCATAGAGATGCAAAACATAGGCCCTTCGCCATAGTAAGTAAATGAGAACCTTGTTGTGAGCTTGTTGTCGCAAACACCATCAGTTAAAGTGACTGATTCTGTCATCTGAGATCAAGACTTTCTGGGTTTTGACTGATGTTACGAAACCTGCTGCCGAAAGCCATGGCCCGGACGCGGTGCACTTGGGACGCGAGCCCTCGCATCTTAGCGTTAGGCGTGCGTCCTTGGGTCATACAAAAGCTGGGGATACTGTACGCTCACTCCTCACTTCGCTACCTCTCCACTCTCTTCAGCATGGTTTTCCTCGGCTTTGGCGTGACTTATATAGTGTACCCACGCTTAGGATACTCCTTATCTGGCTTCACTGTCTCCTCAACCAACAATGCAGACGCCGAACTTATGGACTGCATCATGGTGCTATACGGCGCGAAGGATTTGTTCATGGCGGTAGCGATAATGGCGTCAATCTGGTATGGAACGAGGAAGAGCGCGGGCATGATGATGGCGGCGAGTGCATGTGCGCAGATGTGTGGTGGGCAAGCAGGTGGGGACGAGAGAGTGGGACCATTGGGGATATGGGGGAACGATGGGTTTGTTGGGGTGTGTGATGAGTGGATTGGTGGGGTAAGTGGGAACCTAAGCTCGAGTGTGTTTTGTGGTAACTGGCGGCATTGGCTGACCAATCCAGGTTGGGGAGTTTCGTGCTTGTGATGTCAGGACGCGTTACGCTAGTTGACGCGACGCGTCTAACCTTGTGTGGGGCATTCGGAAGAAACTGACCACCACTGCCATGTCTGATATCTGGAGTGGGGATATCCTGCTACCCGACGGTGAATCAATTAAAAGTATAGAGTCATCACCCTTTTCCACACGCAAGCCTCAAACTCATAGCGTGTAGATGTTGGCCTCGCATTACCAGCCAGTGTATCAAGTCCACTGTCCCCCACAGCTATCTTACGCTTCCTTACCACGGTCGACACCGTACAAATCCCTCTGTATCTCGCCGCGGGGCCCAGCTTGGATGTGTGGACAAGTGATGAAGCCACGGAAGCGTGGTTCCACACCATCTTGCTGAGCACGCCTGTGTCGGCAGGCGCAGGTGAAGCAACAGAGTGGTGGACGTGTCCGCGTTCACAGTCGCCCGTGGGCATCCTGGTGCAAGTTGACAGCGAAGGAGCGCACACAGCAAGGCCCAGGGTGAGCGAGATAGTCTTCTACGGCACCATTTCTGCTGCCTGTCACGACCAGTCGCAGCGCATACCCGAGTTACGAGTACATGCACTGCCCCTGTCTTCCGATCGATTGTATCAGCATGTCATTCCAGAACTTTCCCATCTCTCGCCAGCAGATGACGTGGAAGTCAACGCCCAATTCTTGACGCCACCATGCGAGCTCCACAAAGCACCAGGGTCCCCCAAACAAAAGCGGGATATCTTTGCAGAGGCCACCATGGCAAGGAGAAAGGCTCGGGGCACAGGCGGCGTGGCCATGGCGGCTACAGCTGCGGTCGCCAGGCAGAGCGAGTCACAGGGGTCGTATGCCCACCGCAAGTCGTTGTCCATTGACAGCAGAGCGTCACCGTTCCAAGACTCCAGACCGCCCTCCGCCCAGGGAGCTCTCTCTCGCCCCTCGTCACGACCCCTCTCCCGCTCGCCAAGTCTATCTTCTGATGCCCGGCCATTGAGCAGAAAGGGCCCTTCTGACCCTCAGGTCAAACGCTCCAATCTATCGCATGTCGCCACTGTGCCCCTGCAACCTGAAGAGCCCACGACCGAGTCCAAGAATAAGGAGACACTTTCAAGAGTTGTCATGGCGGCGATGCGTATGCATGGATTACAACAACGGAAGAAAACTGTGTCTCGCCGCGCTTCCGTGGGACCTGGTGCTGAAGAGAGCTGGCAAAGTAATGACGAGCCTGCGGCTGAAGAAGCGAAGGACGAAGAGTATAAGCTGATCTATCATCAGACATACAAAGGTGCCGCCTTTGCTCTGGTAAGCTGAATAACCTTCTTCGACTTCCCGCGCGAGCTAACATATTTAGCGGAAGCATATTTTGGAGAAGCCACTGCACGCACAGCCCGATCGATTGCGTGATGTCGTTGAGCAGCTGCTTACAATCTTTCTTCACGATCCACTTGCTCAGCTACTGCCATTGTCTGAGCCTAACAGTCATGTTGCAACGCCGCATCGCCTCGGTGTTCCTGGATCAACACACAACAACGCAAGCCCTTTCGACCTACCAAGTGGGGCTAGACCACCCATAGGGAGATCAGTGACCGACAGTATGCTATTTACGGGCTCGCCTGTTAGCAGGAAGAACCACGGAGTAAGCGCTACGGCAAATGGTGGACGTGATGCCGCCCCTAGATAGCCCCAACGATAGTACGAGACGAGCACAAGATGCCCTGCAGCAACTTGTACATTGAGTCTTTCATGCAGCTATATCGAGACCGTGACCCTACAGACAGGACAATGCCTACTAGACATAGCTGTTTGAGGATTTAGTAGAGTAAAAACAACTAACAACCTCAATAAATTCAAGTGTAAGAAAACTACAATATAACTACTAGATTAAGCTAAGCCCGGTAAAGTCTAAGCTCTACATCTTGAAAGTTTGTAATTTTTATACCAATGTTACTATAATACCTATAACGTTAGACTTTAATACACTAAGTATCTTATATTTTATATATTATTTCTTATAATCTCTAAATTGTATTTATAAGATTTAGTTATAGTAGTATTATAGTACAGTATAGATAGAATATTAGTATTAAGATTTATATAAGATAAATAAGTAATAGACTAGTGTCTTTTTTTAAGGTACTTTTTTTAATATTAATAAGCTAAGAGGTAAAAGCTAGTATATTACAACGTAATATACCTACTATACCCTATTTTCTTAATTAAATTTATTATCCTCTTGTTATTATATAATTATACTTTTTAGGTACCTATGTAAGTTTTTACTAATACTAAGTAGTATAAGGCGTATTATAAGGATATAGTAGTTATTACTTAAGTAATATAGGTAGGTCTACTAATCTAGCTAAATTATACCGTAGTATTATAAATTTAATTTTAAGACCTAGAGTAATATAAGAACTATAAACACGCTTAATTCTACCTATTTAGTATCTAAATCCTAAAAAAGACTATAAAGCTCTATAAGGTTTATAAAAGTATATAGTAAAAGCTTTTCTTAAGTCTTTTATACTATTTCTTTTTCTACTTTAGTGTTTTAAAGTTCTTAAGCTTTAAGTCTAATATTAGGTTTAATATAAAAGGTATTAATTAGCTTATACTTTATAATTTAGAGTAACCCTTAATTTAAAGATTTCTAGTATATTTTAAATAGAAACTACTATTTTAGTAAAGCTTTATATTTAAGATTTCAAATATTAATAACTACTTATATAATAAAAATAGGTAATTCAAGAAAGTTTATACTATTCTAGAAGTAGAAGTTATTAATTAGAATTTTCAAGATCTTGTATATATAATACTTTAACTTTAAGACTAAGAGTACTCGAAGTATTAAAATTAACTATAGTTTATTAGAACTAAATTTAATTTATTAAACTAAGCTTTATATAGAAAAGTATTTATATATAGTTAAAATATATTAAGATTATTATCTAATTAATCTATCTTTATAATAGCTTTAATTATAGAAAGTAAAAGTACTAATAAGCTAATAAGATAGGTTATAAAGAGTAATAGAGCTAAGTTTCTAGTTAGAAATAAATAATACAGACCTAGTTATTAAAAATAGAAAGATCTTAATTAGATAAGTAAGAAATAATAATAGAGTAGTTAAAAAGTTTTTATTATATTTAGTTATTTTTATAAAACACAACTTATAAAGAACTATTTTACTAAATTCAAAGATTAGTATAATTATTAAGGTCCTAAAGACTATAAATTAAACTCGAAAAGTTTATATTTATAAATGTAATAAAAGTAGTTTATTTAAAACAATATAATAAGTAATAGCTTACTAGTATTTGTCTAGAGCTCTTGAAGTTCTATTACTCTCTTGTTATACTATAGTATAGATAAAGTAGCGTTATTAATACTATATTATAGAATAAATTCTATAACTAGTATATATATCTAATTAAGGCCTCTATACCAGCTTTACTTACTGCTACCTCTTAATAAGGTACTATCTTATAATATAGACGTTCTTCTAATAGATATTTAACTTATTTAAAAGCTACTAGATTAACTCAATAAGGTAGGTAGCTAATAAGAGAGATCTTATTACTCTTAAACTAAGCTATTTTTTTTAAAATCTAATAATTATTAGAATAGTTTTATAAGATTCCTACTCTAGTTAAAAATTAGTAATTACATTTTTAAAGATTTTAAAAAATAATAATAGACTTTTAACTACTATTAAGATTTTTGCAAAACTTTTAAATAAAAAATTTTAAACTTATATTTTTTAATACTTAGTTTACTATAGAGTATTACTACTTTCTTTAAATAGACTTTTATTAAATAAGTTATAGTCGGAAATACATTATTTATTAACTTTAATATAAAGTATTAACTTATTTTAATTACTTTTAGAACTTGTATGTCTAATTTTAATAGTATTTAAACGTTAAATTTTGTAATACTAATATAATAGTTAAGTTAAAATCAAGAGAAATACACGTTGTAAAACCTAATTTACTAAGGATTGCTTCTAATTTTTTAAAATAATTTTTTTTACTATCTAGTTACTAACCTATTTTATTCTATTTTTTTATAATTTACTAATTCAGTATTCTACCTATACTTAACTACATATATATAAATAGAATATAGTTTATTAAGGTTTTATTTTCTATTTTAATATCTTATTTATTATATACTAAAGGCTATTGTCTAGTTCTAGTCTTCTTTTGTAAAGTCTCTTTTAAGGTAACCTTTATTAAAAATAATCTTCTTACTTATAATGTATTTATACCTAATCTGCGCTAATAAGATTGTGTTATTAGTTAGTTATAATTTTAGTAGTAAAATAAAATAAGATAAAATTAATAAAAAAAAAGATAAAGTATTTGAGTTTTAACTTCAAGAGCAAAAAGAATATTTATATACTAGCTTATTTATATAATTTACTTTTGCCTAGTTATATTATTATAATTACTTCTCTTTTAAAGAGACTTTTTAACTTAACTATAGCTTAACTAAACTTTAACTACTATCTAGAGTTTTGAATATATATCTGTATTAGTATATTAATTAGCTAGTTATAAAAGTATAGCTAACTAGCTTTTTATTACTCTTACTACTTACTCCTACTAATATTTACTGTATAAAAAGAGGCTAGGTATTAGCTTCTATACTAAGTTATAATATAAGATTCTTACTGCGTTGCATCTATCTGCTTGTACTTTAAGTATAAATATAATACAAATCTAGAATTATGAATAATACTAACCTAGGCCTACTTAAAAGTATTTTTATATGTAGTATAATACATAATGCATTATAAAATTCTTAGTTACTTAGCAATATAAATTTATATAAGTTTATACTAGAAATTATAAATTAAAGACTATTAGTACCCTAATAAGTAATTTAAGATAATCTATATCTATTTATATAAAATTATAGCTCCCAAATACCTTAAGTAAAATAATTCTTACTCTTATATTACCTAATTTTCTAGTATTAGTAATTTTTTGATACACCTATTTAAATAAGGTTAGGAGTTTTTTAAGTATATCTATTACGCTAGCTAATATTACTAGGCCTTAAAGTAAACTTTAGTTATAAATAAAAGTATAACTTATTTCTATAAACGTACCAAAAAGAAATTAACTATTAATTATAAGTCTAACTTAATAGGGTATAAAGTATAAAACCTTAGAGATTCTATATATAAATTTTATTAGCTTTTCATAGTAAAGGTACTAAATAGAAAGATAGCTCTTATAAAATTAACCTATATTATATAGCCCTTATATTTTGCCTAATAAAAGCATTTATACTTTAGCTTACCCTTAACTACTTTACTAGTAACGTTAACGCCTAGCTACTTAAGCCTAATAAATATATAATTGTTATAAATAACTTATTTATGTTACTTCTATTATCTTAGGAGTTATAATGTATTAGGATTAAAGTAGTAGGTACTATATAGATAAGAAAAACTCTATATAAAATTAGTATAAGAAACCTTTTTTCTTAAGTATCTTAGGTATTACTACTATTTTTAATATAATGTAAAATAACAGCTTAGTTAATAATATTATTTTAGCTACTTAGGAAGCGTAGCCAGGTTTAGAAAAGTATACTACTATTACTTATACCTTTATTAACCTAAGAAACTTAGAGTAGTTTAAAGAATACCTAACTACTATTTAAATTTAGTTAGGGGCTAAACTAGACCTTAACTACTTTAATAACTAATATTAATAACCTAGCTAAAGAATTTATAGCCAAGATTATTAGTATTAGGGCTTAGTATAAAAAGCTTAATTAGAGTACTCTTTACTTTATTACTTTAAAAAGTAGAATAGTTAAAATAATAGCCTAGTATAATAGTAATATTATTCGAATTACTATTATTTCTAGTATATTATAAAAGACTACTATATAATTAAAAAAAAACTAGGTAAAATATATACTAGAGTGACTAAAACGTATATAATATTTATAAACTTAGTTTAGATAGATTTACTAATTCTAGTACTAATTTATATATAAAATAAGTATATTACTGTGTATTCCTACTTATGTTTACTGTGCAAAAAGGGGCTAGGTATTAGCTTCTACACTAAGTTACTATATTAGATGCTTACTATTTTGCGTCTATCTGCCTGTACTACAAGCATAAATACGCTATAAACCTAAAATAATAGCTTAATATATTTATCTAATAATACACTAAACCTTAACTTTTCAAGTTTTACTTTAAGCGTTTATTAAAATTATAGCACTACTTAACATCTAGATTTTTAATAGAAAATATATTACTTTTATACTAAGTAATACCCTATTTCTTCTTTTCTATCTAGTAAGGTGTTTAGTAATCTTACTATAGAGATTAAAGTACTATAATAGTATTTTGAATTATATATAGTTGTTTCTAGTTTATTAGAGTACTATAGTTTATAGCGCTTAAAGATATTGTCTTGAAAATAAGCTTTATATAAAAAGAAAATAATCTAAACTTCGAAAAATAAGATATATAATATTTAAGAATAGTAGTTTAAGACCTTAAAAATATAAATAAAGTTTATATATTAAATTCCTTTTAGAAACTATTATTAGCAAATATTCTTAAAATATACTTAAATATTTACTTAATTATAAGTTATTTTAAAATTTCTTATAGCCTAACTAAAGTCTATAATATAAACTAAAGTTTAATACTTTAGAGTTATAGCGTATCTATTGTTATTGTGTACGTAGATAAATCTAATACAGTAAGACAACAGTATAGTAACTTAGTGTAGAAGCTAATTCCTAGCTCTTTTATATATAGTAGATATTAGTAAGAGTATATTATTTAAAGTTTATACCGTTTTTATGCTTGTTATATAAGCAGATAGATATAACACAGTAAGTCTACAGTATAGTAACTTAGTATAGAAGCTAATACCTAGCCCCTTTAAATTCAGTAAATATTAGTAAGAGTATAAAATAATAGTATCAA